CTCTGCGGTAGCCTCGTCGTATGCACAGTAAGACTTGCTGGGGGATCGATATGGTATAAGGTGAACTCGGGGTCCTGCACAGTCTAAGCTTCCAGCGATTTTGTGTCTAGTTGGTGACGCTTCTTACATCAACCGTGATCTCTCCGCCTTCTTGGAGGCTGCGAACTTCTCAAAAACAACCTCTGCGTCATGCTGTTGGTTGAAGTGGTCAATCTCCTTGCACAGCTCTGTTCTCAGCTGGCTCTGTTCCCAGGCTTGGGCGAATTCATCGGGTGTTCTGGGCACTCGAGCTTCAAAGCCTGGCCGAATGATTCGTTCGACCGGGTTGGTCAATGAGGTAAGGAAGTCTCCTGTCGTTTGTCGATCGGGGCAAAGGTAGCCCATGTCGACGAAGTACTGTCTTGCTCGATCCACTGGGCCGAAGTAGATTTGCCGGCCTTCATAGAGCACTGTCACCTTATCGAAGCACTATTTACAGCACATACGATGCAGTGGTCAGCTTGACGATTCCCACGCAGGACCTTGAGGAGGTAAAGACGCACATCGTAGGCCTGTTGCGAAGCCTGGTACAGAGCAACCACAGCGGCAGTACCGGTCATCTTGACGCCCAGCCTGACGGTTTGAATGAATTGCAGCGCTGTGGCGCTGTCCAGCCCGCGGGAGCTGTTGTCCCAGCATTGGATACAGCTCTGTGTCAGACAGGTTTCCGCAATGCTGACACGCTTCCTTTCTCCACCACTCACTCCGCGGATGAAGTCGTCGCCGACTTTAGTGTTGACGGTGTGCGAGATGCCAAACACAGCCATGACCACATCGCGGAGATGAGTTGCATAAGTCTCTCGGGATACACCTGGCAGCCGGTTCCGAGGGGTTTTGGCCAGAGCGGCGTACAACAGCGTCTGTCCGACCGTGAGATGAGGGAAGTGGACGTCCGTCTCGGCCTGGTAGATCACATCCCCACGAAATTTGCGATGCATTGTCTTCCATGGAATGCCTGGTTGCAAGGGGACTTTCGGTCAGCTCCCACTCGACATGTGATGTGGTCTGGCCTACCTTCATAGCTGAGCTCTGTGGAATCCGCCACCGATAGTCCATTGGTATGGCCTGCGATTGTTTTCAAAAGGGTGGATACGCCACTGCAGATACGAAATCTAGTCAGTCAAAGCGTATCATGCTGTTACTCGTAGGATCTGAGTGTACGAACCTTCCTGGCTTCCCCAGAACAAGGAGCATCTCGCCGCTGCGGACAATGCCATCGTGGTCTCTTAAAATCTGCACCTCGCGTCTTCTTCCAGGAACCAAACGAACCATCAAATCCCTCAGCCCCTGCAGCACGACGTTCGCAACAGTTGGCTGGTAAGCAGCACCTCCCCCATATCCACTCACGCTGAGATGACGGTATGATACACCTGCTCGGCGCTTGGGGTACCGCTCGGGATCCTGCGAGGTCAATTCCATCAAGGCCTGGACCCATCGCTTGGCGCTGAACTTGGGAGAGTTGGGATCCAGGCACGTATCCTCTGCATCCGTAAATGGATTGATAGAGGAGCCGTGCGGCCACTCATGTACCGAGTCCTGCGTGAAGCGTCTTGCCAATTTGAGGATTTGATGCTGATTCTCTGGAGATATCTGCATCGGTTCGGCTTCATCTGCCACGTCGGCTGTCCGATCACTGGACGAGGTCGACATAGACCTGCTGGTGTGGGTAGCCTGCTCAGGCAGTTCGGACAACTCAGGTATTGAAGCTGGGTCGAGCATGGTGAAGGGCGACAGAAGGAATTAGGGCACAGAATCTCGCTCGGTTGGTAAAATGACCGAGGAACAAGATTCCCGAAGGTAGCTGTGTGTTGCGAATAACAGGCTCCATGACGATTTATATCGCATTCACCACAGCACTACCTCATCAGCATGTGATGAAAGGGGGTTTTCACTCATTCTGCTGGGCAAAAAATGCAGTCCAGCCTAGTAGCAGACATGATGATAGACGGCGCCGACGAGCGACTAGCGTCGGAGGCGATCGGAGCGGAAGTTAGGGCCAGCGTGGGCCAGCGTGGGCCAGCCGGCGCGGGGCGTCGGAGCTCGTCGGCGGCGAACACAGCAACGCAATAAGGGGCCGATACTGCCAATGCTGAGAGCAGCGGCCTTTTTCTCTTCGTCTCCTTCCACCTCGACTGCTCATCTTTGTGCCATGGAGATGATGTCAGCGGCTGCATCAAGCTCTGCCGCGCTGCACAAGGCGTGCGACGCCTGTCGGACCCGAAAAACGCGATGCAGTGAGTGTGGATTCTGTGGAGTGTCAGTTCTTCCGCTTTGGCTGATTTTTGCCAGGTCTGTCAGGCACCAATGCCACCTGCGATCTCTGCCTGGTAAGTCAGGCCCCCATCCCTGCAGCCCTCATTAATATGCTGTTGCAGTCGCAAGGGCGCCCCTGTTCCTTTACGCCGGTGAAAAGGCCCCGCAAGCGAAAGTATGAATTGGAAGGTAGTCTGTGTTGAATTAATCATAATCATGAGATTCAAAAGGCTGATGATGTGCACTAGCGTTGACACCTCTTGCGGATACTGATACCACCTCGTTGTCCTCGAGCACCGGCGCGCTGTATATGGACTCTCTTCTGGTCAATCGACAAGCGTCTCGTCACTTGCGAGACTCGGGCCATCCAGACCAGGTAAGTAGCATGAGCATAACCGCGAGATGACCGAACACCGAAACTAATCGTGCTCTTGGAGCTTACCACGATCTCCGGGTTCAATCCCAATATTTCGTTCTTCCCCGCGAAACGAGTCAAGGCGATCAATGAAAGACTGGGGCATAACCGACTAGACCAACTACTCGAGCAGATCCGCGCGCTCGTTTCAACGAAGATCAAAACCGCCTGTGCCATTCCGCAGTCTTATATCCAGCGGCGGCACTCGTTAAGCCAGAGCCACGAGTTTCCTGATTGGGCCAGCATTCAAGCTCATATCTCCGGTATCTTGGCACCTTTTTCCATTAGTCCTCTTGCAGAGTATTGATGAAGAGTAGCCTATTTTGAAGCCGTCCACCCAGTCTACCCGTTTCTGTCTCCCGACACATTCCGTCAGAAAGCCACGGCCGAGGACCTGCCCCATCTGCTTGCTGCTGACCGCGCTTGGGCGGCATTATTCTACGCGATTGTTGCCATTGGATGCCAGAATAACGAGGGGGGCAGCTTCGAGGTTGGAGTGGGTGAGGCCTGGCAATACTTCGAGCGGTCACTGTCGTATTTTCCAGACTTGGTGTTCGGTCGCGGTTCATTGACTGCCGTTCAGGTTTGCATCTCTGCTTTTTATCTCGAGGGAAGGATGACACTTACATGAATCCTAGGCGCTCATGGCTATGGTATGACACTTCGTATGATCGAGTATCCCCCTCTTTCTAAGGTTGACGGCAGGCAATCTTCTCATCCACCGTGTCGGCCTTCCAATTCGAACCCCTGATGTTGTCAGAAGCCAGCATGATGGCACAAGCACTCGGCTACCATCGCTCGAACGGGGTGCAAGAAACGGCTCACCGGCGCACGTTCTGGGTTCTTTACTATCTTGAAAAGACTTCATGCTTTGGCACGGCAAGGAACTCCGTCAGTCATTCCATGCCAATCGATCTACCTAGCTCCTCTTTACTCACACCCGCCAAACAGGTCATCGATGACTCCAACATCAGCTGTGCCATTCCAGACGTGCTAGAGTCTACCTTTGGGGACTACGACTGGTTCTTCTGCTTCATCAAGTACGGCCGTCTAGTCTCAAAGGTCCATCAGTCCCTCTTCAATGTCAGCGCCGTGAGCCAGCCCTTGCAGACATACAACGCCGCCGTGAACAGTCTACGTTCGGAGCTAGAGACCTGGCGTCTTGCGATCCCCTCTCGATTCCGGCCGGGCGAGGTCCCGAGACCTCGTCTTCTGCGCGAGCCATTGGCTCTGAAGATTGCCTTACTCACGCATTATCTGTACTTCCACGCTCTTCTCACTCTATCGTGGACCATCCTCCATGTAGGGACTGCTCGCGTCGCGGTGTCGCAGCAGGACGTCTTGAAGCGCGAACTATTGCGCACGGCGAGAAGTGTTCTTGAACTCACGGCCTTTATCGAGGTCGCGCCTTCGACGCCTGTCTGGTGAGTTCTCTTTTGTGACCGTTGTTCTAGATGTGTGGTAATGACACAAATACAATAACTGTAGGATCCTGGCCGTCCTCCCGCTCTCCGCCCTCATGATCCTCTTCGACCTCGTCGTGCACAACCCCACTCACGCCGAAACCGGGCTGAGTCTCGCCCTCCTCGACATGGCCGGCGGGCACTTCAGCCGCATTGAGTATGCCAGCAAGGGGGCGCTTCCGGGCTCCCTGGTGGCCGAGTTCGCCCACCTCGCCCGGCAGTACGTGTCGGACGTCAGGAATGGCAAGACGCAGAGGGGCAGCGAGACTATCCGCGCCCCAAGGTGCGTTGAGAATACAGCAACCGCACCCGTCATCACAGATGGTACGGCTCTGGTGTCGACAGCCACCATGCGTGTCCCGGTTAGCAATCCGTCAATGAATGTCGATCGGCCCCGGGAGACCGAGCTCGATCCGACGGCGCCCGTCCAGCCCTGGAGTCCGGCCTCGTTCGACCCCATCTCCTTTCCGCTGCTCGATGATCCGAGCTATGCGCTGGATGATGTGCAGTGGTTGGGGATCGATGTTATGGGACTTTTTGATCAGCTGTATTAAGTAGAATATACTTCATTAAAGTTTTGAGTGGAGAAACAATCTACTTGTTAGTAACACGAACTTGACAACCACCTAAGAAACAGATTCCGTAGCACGTGGAGTTTGTATTACCTCCATCCTAACATACCAAGTCAACGTTCAGCGTTATAACTTTTGCTTGTAAAAGAAAGATGTACAATCTGCCAATGAGAAGAATGAATATCGATCTGAACAAAGCTGTAACCATAGCTTTAGTATGCAGGATGGCGGGTTGGTATAGGATAGTAGACCAGTAAATCAAGCACGTAACTAAACTTATAATAATGTTGTTCACCATTTATCTACCTACCGGGCTAAGCCATTGCGCGCACAGCATCTTGTATCATCGCTTGCGTTTGGGGTTTCGCAAGATAAGCCCTGGTCAGGTTCTCGATGGTTGGCAACTGGCTCGCTTGGTCAAGAGGGATATCTGCAAGCCCCCCGCCGCAGTTGAATCTGAAATAGGACCAATTCGATGACAAACCGGCAATTTCTTCGAAAGCATCATGGTCGTTCTTGATGTCGGTTGCAAGGGCAAGTGCATTTTGAAACACGTTGATGATGGTAAGCCTATCCCAAAACCGCCACCAACTGTTTCGCGCCGTCTGGTTTTGGACGGATGTTGGTTCCCCAGTCCCAATGCTTATGATGCATGCCGACATGCGGTCTCCAATACCCATGAACGATTTCTGTTTCGAAAACGTCAGAATCGGGTTGTTGAAGCCCAGCCCACCATCGATGTAATACTCCAGGGGTCCCAGTTGTGCGGGAGGAAAGTAGGTGGATGCAGCGCTGGTGGCCAGGGCAGCTTCCCACACAAGACGATTGGCTTGTCCATTTGCAAAACAGGCAAAGCACACCGCTCGATTGTCAATGATTCTCCCAGCGCTGTTCGAACGACGGCAAACCACGTAGCTAGATATGGACGACCTCAGTATGTGTTGTGTGAGGATTCACCTGCCCACCGACCGAAGTACCTACCAGTTGCAATTGGAAGAAGGGTTCTGCATCTGTGTGCGGGTGCCTGTGATCAGCTGGATTTGCTGCCGAAGCAGTCCCTGACTGAACCGTGACCCGACTAAAAGCCCACCGGTGAGAGCACCAAGATCGAGATTTGGCCAAGCTGCACGTCGTTGGAACACGGTGTTAGAGACATCACGGAGGCTATTGATGCATGCCTGCATAGGCATGGCATATTTCTTGATCATCAACGCGCTTAGGCTATACTCTGTGAGTTGCGGACAACCCGATTGATCTTCGTTTCCCTTCCTCAACTTACCCTCCGCCGCTGGTGCCAAAAGCGACATGAAACACATTGCCTGGCGGCTGGTCATCTGCAGCCAGCCCGTTTGTAATGTTATATTGACGCACTATTTCCTCGAGGATGAGGAGAGAGGAGAGGCTGCGCACACCACCCCCGTCTAAGCCCCAGGGTTGTTAGTTTCACTTGGGCAAAGTGAAGCAAAGAGCCGTACCAAGTGAAAGGCAGTTCTTTTCTGCCCGTAGATTGTGGTGTGCCATTGTGCAGATTTTGGCATCGAGTGGCCCAGTATCACCTATCCTAGTGTGGGCTATGAAGATGCCAGATCACTGTACTGTACTTTGCCTTCCCTCGGGTTTTTAACCCTCTCACTAAAACAGACCCGTCATGTGCATGATGTTAGGGTCTCACAGAATCGCATACATGGAGCGTCGATTTACGAGAACTTACCACGAATCGCAAAGCCATCACATTGAGGATAGTCATACTTCATTCGGTTTTTGACTTTCTTGATGTCGTTTTTGCCTACCCAGAAAGCGAATTGGTAAGTTATTGCAGGACCATATCTCCCATACGAGGAGCTAGTGTTAGCTGGTATCACAATGGTGTAGAGTAAGAGGTAGGTGGAGCTACAGCATCGCGACAAAGTAGGAAGAAATACGGTCGACGCCAAGGGAAACGATACGGGGGAGACAAAGGAACATTGCGCCGAAACCGAGATCTCGGTTGACAATAATAGATCATGTCTAGAACTAGCATGTTCCGAGTGGACGCCACAAATGGTCCCAAGGTTAGACGATATTCTAGGGTTGCAAGTGGAAGGGACATGTGATACATCCCTTTGGTGACAAGGGATTATGTAATTGGTGACGTATGGGTTTGACTGTTGTTTTATAGTTGCCATTTCCACTACATATTTCCATCGATAGAGATAGGGAATTCCATCGCATTGCCAGTCCTGCGATTCTCACTATGGCCTGGCGCGTGCTCTCGTTGGGTGAGTCCGGAAGCCCTTACTCTTTAATCCTTGTGGGTGGAGTATCAGCACAATAACATTATACCTCTTCAGACGGAGGGGGGATTCTCGGCTACAGTGAACTTCTGATCTTGGCCAATATCTTGAAGGAAACTCCACCGCTTCATGGGGAAGAGTCGAATTACGGCGATATATGCCCGTGTGACTATTTCGATGTCATCACCGGCTGTGGTATTGGCGGGTAAGGAGTCCTATCGATTGCATCTGCTGCCAGTATACAACTGACAGACAGAAGTGTCATTGCCTTGCTTCTTGGTCGTCTTCGTCTAACACTCGCACAATGTCTACTTGAATATCGCACTCTCTCGACTTGTATCTTGCGTGAAAGCTGGGGCGGTCCCCTTTTCGATAAGAACAAGCTACAGGAAGTGGCCGACAGTATCGTCGAGAGATACTGTCATACTCCGTCTGCTCCGCTGCTTGAAGACGATATCGCAGGTAGAGGCAAGACGTAAGGGCTTTATCTCTTCCAAGGCATCTGAGAATTTTGCTGACGGTGCAGATTCGTATTCGCTGTCCAATCGGACCGTAAACCATATTGCTTTCGGACATATCCCTGCAGTAACGATCAGGATACCGTCCCGATCCGTATCTCTGATGCGATGGTTGCTCTTCTGTCAGCCCGGGGTCAGCTTGATGAAGTTTCGCTTGAAACATCCGATGGTCTCACTTCGTTTTCTGATGATCTATTTCCTTGTGGCTTCCGCAATCCCATTCTCGATGTTCTCAAGGAGGTAAGGGAACAATGGAGCGACCAGACAATCGGACTGATCTTGAGTATTGGAACTGGAGGGGTACCGCCCAGCGATATACCTGATCTCCTCAGGCTTGGCAAGCTGCACGACCTCATGATTCCCTCTTTGAGTGACTTAGCCCTCCCTTGGAAACTGCTCGGTCAGTTGGGACATCTGGCATCCATTGGTATTGTCTTATCCTGATACACATATTCTGCTACATCACTAACATTTGCATCAAGGTACAACCGATAGGTCACCCGACGAGGTAACACTTTTTTGTTCTATACTTGAACCCAAGCTGAGCGGCTGACCATTTTCCAGATTATTGGTATGCTCGAAGACAACGAACGATATATCAAGAACAAACTTCACTATATGGGATATGAGGATAAGTACAATCGGTTCGAGATAGGGCCGGTGCAAGACACGGGGCCGAACGACTTTCGAAGTGTGAAGGAAATCGCAGATGAAACAGGTCGCTATTTGAGTCAGCACTCGGAGAGATTGGTCTCATTGGCGACTCAACTACAAGGTGTTGGTGTCAGCCACTAGTATAATCTCTTGGGGGACTTGCAATCTCATATATGACAGCATGGCTTGGGAGATATCTGAAGTAACTTTTCATGTGGCCTTTGTTCGCAATTTGTCCCTAAATTTCCAGAGTACTAACTATATCACTGGTGCTCTAAGCAGCTATCTATGTATTGGTATTATTTAGGGCTAAATGATTGACTTGCAGACACCCCGAGCATAACGATTGCCATTCCTTCCGAGAGTAGTAACAAGCACCAGTGTTGATCATGGTGAAGCGGAGATGCGAAACTCCGCACGACCTTGCACCGCAAAAAAAGAAGATAAGAGATAACAGGTAGTCTCTTGGCTGGATCGTGTGCCGTAAGAAAATGAAAAGCGAAAAAGAAATTGCGTCAGCGGGGAGTCGAACCCCGATCTATTGCTTGGAAGGCAACAATGCTAACCGCTACACCACTAACGCTGTTGCTGTGATGATTGACTCTGTACACAAAATAGAGTCCTAGTAGATGTCTTGCGAAGCTCTGGAACTATCGGAACATCTGGATGACTTTGTTCGTTATGGCAGATGATGGAACAATTCTGGTAAAGTATGTTTTGCTCGGTTTGTTTCCGTGTTCCTGTTGGCCCAACTAGGCAAGGCGCATTTTGCTCTCTGGATTACCCGCTGATGGTTGTCATATTGGCCGCCGACATATATTTTACATGATGGTTCCGTAAAGTCGAACTAGCGGTGATCCATACAACTTATTGTTGCAATTTCATGACATGCATCGTACAGAGCATGTGGGTGAAGCTATAGCCCACTGTATCCTCTCTCTTTTAGTTTGTTCAGTAGTGTCTTCAGCACCCATAGACACGCCACGTACAACCGACTGATGGCATGCCGGCAGGACTGCAAATGAAATCCTTTGAGAAGAACTACGGCCAAGAAGGAGGTAAGAACCCGCTAATACTCCGCCATGATGATTGCTACACATCCCATCCTTCAGCTGCAGATACCAACATTTTTATTTCCACTCATGGAAGGCCAGACGAGAGGGCCCGTGGCGAATGGATATGGTAGAAGAGGTTCTGAACTGGCGGTGCGGCGCGGTTCACAATTTACCAGGCACCGAATAGATAAGACGGATGTCGACTTCTATGCCCTGGCCAGAGCATGATTTTCCGCATGATCTTCTCGAGTCCCAGGTACTGGACGGGCCATGTTTGTGTGCTCACTCGGAATTCTGTAGCAGCCCTTTCTCAGCCTTGCCGCCTGAACAAGTAGGAGCGAGGCTGAGCCCGCACAGGGAGGGTGACGTGTTAGGCGCCACGCATGCATGAAACAACCTGCCAGGTGCTGCTATTCACCCGGCCTCCGGGCGCCAATGCAAAGGTTGCATTAAGCGCCGGCCGCTATGCTCCCTTCTGCGTGCGGCACCTCATTTGAAGCTGCTATGGCTTCTGGCAGGTCCTATAACTTACACTCGCGCCCGGAGCACTGCGCTCGGAAGTTGGAACGACTCAAACCGTTTCTGCAGGGAGGTATAGGCAGACGATACGCAATAAATCATCTGAGTATGTCATAAGTGTACTCGACTCCTAGATCCAACTGACGAAGAAGATAGCTTACCATAAGAGTATTCGATCCGACTGCTGATTCGATCCGACTGCTGATTCGATCCGACTGCTGATTCGATCCGACTGCTGACAAGGAATTGGAGAACGCTTTACAGGAGGAATAGATTATGTTGAAGCGAAAGACATCTCCACCCCCCATCTCCCCGGAGAGGCCCGTCCGAACCAAGCTCGCGAACCAAGCCTCACTGAACTACTACACAGTAGGCTGGATATGCGCCTTGGAGGAAGAATACGAATGCGCCTGCCGCATGCTAGACGAAGAGTATGCCGGCCCCGAGACGCTTCCAGACGGCGACGACAACACCTACGCCTTCGGTAGAATCCGAAACCATGGGGTCGTTGTGAGTTGTCTACCGGCCGGCCGGTACGGTACCGAGTCTTCCTCGCGCGTGGCGAGAGACATGGTGAGGACGTTTCCACGTCTACGGTTTGCATTGCTGGTAGGCATCGGAGGCGGAGCGCCGACAGCGGAGACGGATATCCGGCTGGGCGATGTGGTGGTCAGTACGCCGCAGGGGACACTCGGGGGTGTCATTCAGTATGATCTGGGCAAACGCCTGCCCGACGGTCGGTTCAAGCTGACGGGGCAGTTGAATGCTCCGCCGGACAAGCTGCTCTCGGTCGTTGGGGATCTGCTGCGGCGGTATAATGATCCCAGGAAGCCGGATTTTGTCGCAGAGCATATTCGGCTCGTGGAGGATGTGTCGGGGTATCAGCGACCGCAGCGGGATGATTTGTACCGTGCCGAGTATCAGCATGAGGAGGGAAAGGCCTGTGAGGGGTGCGATGCCACGCAGACTGTGCCGAGGCCACAGCGAAGCAGTCGGCGGGTGATAGCCGTGCATCACGGAACGATTGCATCGGGGAATTCCGTGATCAAGGATGCCGCCACGCGGGACTTTTACGCCCACAATCCAGAGCTGAAGGTTCTGTGCTTCGACGGGGAAGCTGCCGGGGTGATGAATAACCTGCCTTGCCTGGTCATTCGTGGCATTGGGGATTATGCGGACTCGCATGATAATGAGCACTGGCGGAAATATGCTGCCTTGACCGCTGCGGCGTATGCACGCGAGCTCCTTCTTTCTCTGAGATCACGGGCTGTGGATGTTGTACCGTCGTGGGTTGCCCGGATCGAGGATGAAGTGGTGCAAGGTGAGTCGGAGAATACATCAATCGCTGATGGGCTATGCTAAGACACACGCGAGCAGTGGCGCGTACAGTTGAGATGATAGATGAGAAGACGTAGGTGCAAATCCAATTGTGCTATTGAAGACAAGTCTAACAGTTCCAGTGAGGTCCTTTTGCAGAGGATGAAGCTTCTCGAAGACAGACTCGACCTGGTAGGGCTTCCCAGAGTCAACGGGGCCGTATTCAATGAGCATATGCACCAATACAAAGATGAGTGTCTCGAGGACACTCGCAGTGATGTTTATCGTCAGATCGCGGAGTGAGCAGGAGGTCCCAACGACAAGTCCATCCTCGGCAGGTGAGGTTAGAGAGGTTGGAGGGGAAGAGCAGGTTCTGACAAACAGAGACCAGTGAGGGGCTGGTGGAAGGAATTCGCTCTGTTGAAAGAGCCAGTGCTGATTCTGTAATACCGCTACCCCATGTGCCCTTTTGATGTCTCGGTAATGGGCTTACTGGAAAGCTGAGATTCTGGAATGAATTGCATGTCCTATTGACGGAAGGCTCTATGTTACATTAACTGAATATGTGCGAGATATATCGACTAAATCGGTATCAACAGCCGCGCAAGGCAAGTTGCGCTTCAATAAGACATTAAATGACGGAAAGAATTTATAAGGAATAAATCAACCGGGGGGATATAAGAAGAGATCGGTCGCAGGGGGGCTAAAGAGCTTTTATGCGGATCAGGAGGGTGAGGTATTTATAAGGGGGGCGCAGAGTCAATGCACCCCCCGGAGAAACTGTGTGGGAGATCAGAGGGAAAATTGCAAGGAAAGGGGAATAGCCAACAAAAAACAACGCTTTCTATACAGGGTATGTCGAGGGGGGATCACCTCGACTTTTCAAGGGGCTGTGCGGTTGTTGGGGCTCCATGCTTGTGGAGTCGACTGGGAGGACTGGGCCCGAGAGCACCGATTGCTCTCGGCTGGCGCTATCCCAGGATGTGTTGCGTTGGAGGCCGAAGGCGACACTGCTGTTTGCGCTCGTGAATTGGCTGTTGTCGAGGCGGGTCGGCGCGCCATGGCTATCCACTAAGGGCGCCACCGGCGTCGAGTTCGCCGTGCGGTCCACATTGTTTTCACCCGGATAGTGGCGCGGCACAGTGGTCTGGTGGGTGTTCTCCGGGTCCGAAGTAGTGGCGGATGCTCCACTCTCTGACGAGCCCGCCAGCTTACCGGCATCCGGTGGCACGTAGGCCTCGTATTGCTTCAGATAGTCATAGTGGCCGAGAATGACTTTCTCTCGGATAATGTCCACGTCCATGGGGAAATACACCTTCTGGATGCATTTGCAGACGAAGCGCGGGGTCAGGCAGATTACCACGGTCAGCAAAAACACGACCCAGAAGGATAACGCCCCGTAGACCTGCTTTGCGGCACCATAAAAGGTGGCGGATGATTCAAAGGACGAATAGATGCCGGTCCAGAAGAAGATCAACAGCGAACTGATCGCGTTGATCAACGTCGAGAACCAATCCCAGCGATACATGTTCATCATCACGTAGGTATTGCTCGTAACCACGGCACAGGTGGCTACAAGAACACCCACGCGATAAATGTCATCAATGCCCATTCCGTTCTCCGTTTGGAAGTTGGCAACTTGATACAACATATAGGGCATGAAGAAACAAATGATTGACTGGTAGAATCCATCGAGCATGTATATCCTGGAAAAAGGATTAGCACATTATACACCAGAAGCGGACTTGGAGTAATACTCACCAGAACTTCAACTGCGTCCACTCCTTCCGCTCGATACCACGCATGTAGAGTTGTGGGACGGCCATGGAGACCCGATCGTCAACGTCTTGATCAAAGATACCCATGAAGATGACTGGCAGTGACGTGAACGCCACGTTGACCAAGGTAATATACGTATATTCAAATAGATAGGTTCCGTCGAAGTTATCGTAGATAGAATACCAAAATAGGGCAAATGTCCAGACCAAGTTCTGCCAAATAGTCAGCAACTCTTCGTCCACTGATATCCCCAGAGCACAACGAGACAGATTCTTCGACTAACCTTGTAGAAAAAGTTGGCGGTGGTCTCACCTAGACGGCGATAGGCCCATCGTCCATGAACCAGAATCAACCGCTGCAAGAACCGGAACTGTCCGATCGCGTAATCGGCCGACATGACGGCCTGACGACCCTCCTCGCCAGCAATACCAACTCCGACATCGGCTTTCTGGATCATAGAAACATCGTTGGCACCGTCTCCGATAGCCAGAGCCATGACGTTCAAACCGTTCTTGACCATCTCCACCACGGCAGCTTTTTGCGCTGGGCTGACACGGCAACAAAGCACCGACTTACACTTCCGACAAAGAAGCAAGAACTTCTGCCGCAAGGCGTCGTCCAACATGAAGCGAAGAGTGTCACCGTCCAGCACGAGAGCGTGAGTCTGCGGAGGCGGTGAGTGATCCTTGCGAGCGGCCTCCAGCTCCTCATCTGAGCCCGTGATACCGAAGATCTCCAATTTGCTATCCAGCAACTTGGCGGCCATGTCGATATCGGAGGGCGCGTCGAAGACAATCATTTGCATGTCGTTATTAAGCAGGTTGCAGGAGAAACCGATGTTGATGGCAGTTTCGATCTTGTCACCGGTCAAGACCCAGAGCTTGATACCTGCTTCGGCAAGCAGGGAGATGGTATCAGGAACGCCGTCCTGCAGGCGATCTTCGATGGCCGTACCTCCAAGGAGATACAAATTCTGCTCGATAGCATTGGATACCTCTTCCAACTTCTCCTCGCGGTCCACAATGGCGGCGGCGGCGGCGTCGTGCATGACACTCCATTCGCGGTACTCTTCTGGTTCAATGGTACGCTCAGCAATGCAAAGTACTCGCAGACCTTCTTGAGCGAAAGTCTCGAGATCTCGTGTGGTTGCATCACGCAGCTCGCGTTGTTGGCCGGGGGCCAGGCGGGAGTAGATCATGGTATCAGCACCCTTACACAGCAAACGAATAGTACCATCAGGCATCTGCACAATCACACTCATTCGTTTACGGGTGGAGTTGAATTCCAGGATGTTCAAGATAGTGTACCTACGCTCGTCACCCATGATATTCAAGATCAAGCTTTCGCCCGATCGGCCGAGGGTGGTAAATCCACAGTCCCGGGCCGTGGCAACCAGGGCAGCCTCGTCCGGCGACTGTGCCTTGAACTCAATTTGGGGAGGGTCGCCAGGAATACGCTCCGTGACTACTGTATGACATAATGCCAATGCAGTCATGAAGTCTATCGTGGCTTGCTGCTGAGCCTCTCCCGAGGCACCACCCAGATCAGCGGCGAACTGTGGAGCCACAAAGGTCAAGTTCTCCTCCTTCAAGTACGGATTATCATGAAGCTGGCGCAGTTGCTGGATCATTTCCACACGTGCTTCACTAATTCTCTGACGAGCCTTAGCAGCTTCCTCCTCCACATTCACCAGTCCCTGCCGCCGCTGCATGCCCAATTGCGCTTCGGTGTATGCCTCACCATAGGGCACGCCGTTGACGGTACATTTCTTGAACTCCATGACGTTCTGCGTCAAGGTACCCGTCTTGTCAGAGAAGATGTACTCGATTTGACCAATATCATCAGAGATATTCCAAGACCTGGGCACACAGGACATCTTCAAGCGCTCGTAATACATGTGAATATCATAGTAGATGTAGAGGGCCTGGATGACACGGCAAATTTCCAGGGAGATGTACAAGGCGATAGGAACCAAGTTCTGGAAGAGGACCACGCCCACGAAGAAGGCGATTACACCTTGAACGGCAGGTGTGCCACCATAGGAGCCGTACTCAAAGAACGTCAGTGAAGCATCGTCCAGGCCCCAGGCAAACCCGTTGATGAATCCAGAGATCACACACATGATGAAGAGGATGGCAAAGTTGTAGACCACGTTCCAGTTCATGTTGCGCGCCATCTGTGGGCGTTTGCTTGGCGTGAGACCCTGGTTCAGCATAATTTTCGTTTCCGGTCCGGTGAAAAGCACGACACCCAACACCCACTCGGTGTTTTGTAAGCTACAGCCTCGCAGCAGAATGTTGTTGATCGTAATGGGCTCCACGCGGTTCTGCGGAGCCTCCCCGGATTCGTCATACTGATCCCAATAGATAGCACCGCTGAAGGAGTAGAGGTTGGCATGCGCGGGCGGCGATTCGACGGTGAACTCGGCTTTCTCGCAATCTCGAGCATTCCGCAACACGCGACCGCAATTTAAGGCGTTGCGCACCTTGAGATTCGTCTCTCCATCCAAGTTCTTCGTTTCGACGTAACATGCTCCGTCCGGGTCGGAGGTAGAGAGAATGGCGATGTCGGCGGGGATTTGGTCACCATTGTATAGTCGCACAAAGTCACCCACGTTGACATCCTTCCAGTGTTGGCGTTTGAATCGCGCCTTCCCTGGGGTTACCCGGTTCGGGTTCAAGACACTACCCTTGGTCCGTGCCCACGGCGAGTTTGCCTGCTGGTCGTGATCGTTCATGGGGTCGGGCCAGTCGCCAGAAGCACGGGCCTCCATGGTAGGGGAAACTGCCGTCATCTCGATCGCGATCGGCGAGGTAGGCTCAACCGAGGGCCTGGCATCCGCCATTTCCACGTCACCCGCCACATCTTTGTCGGCCCCATTCTTGCGGAAGAGGCGCTTCATGCCTCGATAGCTGGTAACCACAGCCCGGGTGCAAGCCTTTTTGAACTTACGCCAGAGGGAGACATTGTCGGCGGTCACGTTCACGTTGTCCCAATCCGTCAAGCGATACACTGGAGAGTTGTTGAGTTCGTTGTCGGACACGGTTCGTCGCCAATCCTCGATGGCATCTTTGACGGCGGTGACGACGACAATGACGATCAGCGGCACGGCACTCAGGCCGGGATCGGCGTCCCCGAAAATCTCGAAGCATTGCAAAATGATGACGAACAAGAAGTACAGATTGGCAATGTTGTGGAACTGCAGCCAGAGGTTCTTGGGGAGGAAGGTGAGCGGGGTGTAGATGGCAGTGCGGATTTTGTTCCTCGGATAGACGGCCTTGAGATTGCCTTCCTCGTCCCGCTCCTCGTCCGGAATAGGAAGGTTGAAATGAACTTTGCGCGATCCCGATTCTCCCTCGGTGATTTCCGGCACGCCTGCGGTCGCGCTCGCCATGGTATCCGTCTGGTTCTGTCGGCGCCCGCGTTCGAGGATGGAGACTCTCTTGCGCAGGCCCGAGGCGGCGGTCATTCTCTTGGTGGCCCATCGCGCGCGCTTGGTGGATTTCTTGTTCGCGTCCTCCTCGGGGCTACTGGGGAGGGGCGGGACTTCGCTCGAGGCTCGTTCCAGCCCATTCTCCCCTTTGCCGTCGTAGCTGTCCATCTGGGTCGTGGGTTTATTCCCGGTTTATCACGAGCGACGGACGGTAAGCATCGGACCGGTCGGGGATGGACGAGCACCGGTTCGACGCGGCCAGCGCAGGCCTCGGAGAGAGGGTGAGGGAGCTCGATGGTACTGTCGTCGAATAAGAATGGAGTCAGCCTAGAACAATCCTTGCACGTTAGACAGGTTTCCAGAATGTAGAGGTGAGTGACGTGGTGGATGGGGTTGGGGAGCGGAGAGCTTCTGGGTGGGACAAGCAGAGCAATTGGAGAGTGGATGCGACCGACCGGAAGTAGATGGATTCTCGAACTGCTGGTGGTAAGAAGGAAAGAATAGGTAGAGCACGAAGCTGGAGGGGAGGGGAACACGAAGTTCGTAAGGAACGCGATAAGCGACGGAGAAATGGAGGAGTAATTGAGGGAGAAAGAATGACAGAGGCGGAGGAATGCAGGAGGGGAAGAAAGAGATGGGCGATGGGCGAGGCTCTGGGCGGGCCAGCTGGAAGAATAAGCCAGACGGGCGGAACAGTGGCAGTGGCAGTGGCATTGGCAGTACAGAGACGGTCATCAATTGGCAATGCAACGGGGCATTGCCACCTCTCATAGGCGGGATTGATCAGCACGGCTGTCCCGGCATCGTAAAGCTTCACCGCCTTTTGGCCAATTGGCTGTGGCATTGCCCGTCCGCCTCATTTTTTCATATTTTCTGCCGATGTTTTCTGCTCGGGCATCCATCGGACCGGAGCGGAGTCCGGCTGCAGAATTCCCGATGCTCGCTAAGCTTGTTGCAGTTAGTGGGCAGGAAGTGGATCGGAAGGATCGCAATTAAAGTGTGGCAACAATGAAGGGTCTGAGACAAGCCTCATTAAAGATGAAAGAAGATGAATCAAAGATGATCAAGTATCGTGCTTGTCAAGTATCATGTGTTGAGGTGAAGATACCCAGTATCAGCTCCCGATGGTGCAGCAGATCCAGCCCCACTAGTCACTCAACCCCCCCACCTCAGGCTGTCCTATCTTCCTCGAACCTACACGTATGTCTCGTCCTATACTTTCCAGCAAAGGATCCACCCGACGTCATCCCTGCCACCTTATTTTCACACGGTGAATCTAGCTTCTAGAACCGTTTTGAGGGTGCTGTTTCCTTTCTCCAGCGGTACAGGCTTTACTGTACCACATTTTGGTGACATTGTGCAAACAATGCATCGGCTCTTCACCGCCAGCCTTGTGATTGAGCTTACGTTTGTATATAGAAGGAGGTAACTCTAGCTTGTGAACAGAACCTTAGTAGGTAACCGTTGAACTTACCAATCCAGCAGGCTATCATCTGTGCCCATCAGGATTACCATCCTATCAGCATTATCGAAGCAGGTCTATAACATATAAAGTGGTAGATGGCGACGACGGGAGATGAAGGAGGAGGATAGGTGGAAGGCTATCTACCATCCAAAGTCCTTTAGATATGTGTATAGGAGAAACTTCCATTGCTGCCATACCTCAAGTCATAAAGTATCCATCCTATATTCAGAGTTATGGAGTCTTTCTCCTCGAGCGACGAGCATCCGAACCGATAGCCACTCCATCTCCAAGCGATCTCCGGATAGACCGCCATCTCTTCTCATGTTCGTCAGGCAGGGTGGGTGATGGGGAACGATCGAGCGACCAGCTGGCGGCGTCCTGTTTGCTCAAGTTGTTGGCAACCATCCTAAGCTATAGGATGCAACAAAGTGACAAACGCCCCGCCAGTCATCTTTGGCAAAGTAGGCTTATTTCTTCTTGTCGGCTCTCTATATGCGGTGTCCTCGTTATGTGTCTAGACTCATCCATCCCATCCTCATGACCATCCCCACACATCATATCACATCCATCAGAAGCGACCTCAACCAACCTCCTTAACTACCATCTCAAGTACATCAGCCTATATCTGAGTAGATATGCCTGCATCAGAGCCCGGAGCGAGCAGTGCACCGGGCCCCTCGTCCATGTCCTCCCCTGGAGCATCGGGATCAGGCGCGTCCACTAACAGAAACAACTCAACCGGGCCCTCGACCGGCCGAATCAACCCAGGTCAGCGTATGTTGCCAGTTAGGCACCAAACATATACGCAGGACGAACCGTTGCATTCGCGGCTGGGCCCCATTCTAGAGGCCCAGTTGGGTCCTATGATCGCTCCTGCAGTCATTACATTAATCGAGAACCTGCAGCGTATGACAGCTGCTGAAAACGATGGAGATCAGGCCTTCCGATCCGGGATCCCCTATACGAACGGATCCGGGCGTGTTCAAGATGGGGACTCGCAGCTTGATACGGCGATGTCGATTTGCCGTACTGAACTGAACCATTCCTTTGACAAGTGCATGACGGCTGTCAACGATCAATTGCATGACTGTAAGCAACAGAACCGTGAGTTAACTAGGAGGCTTGAAAATGAGACGAATGAACGATCTTTTTTGGAAGAAAGGCTACAACAGCTGCATCGTGAAGTCAACAAGAACCCTCAGCCGCAGGTTGAGCTCAACGAGGCCGTCAAGAAAGATGATTTGCAAGAGGCACCATGTACCTGCAAACGAAAGCGTAAAGATCCCCAATTCCAGCTGTCAAAGGCTAAAACAACTATTGTGAAGCATATTAAAACCATCAATCAACTTCGGGCCGAACATCGCAACGACAAGGAGCGGGTGACGACGCTAAGGGCCCAACTACAGGAGCTGAAAATTATGAATCACAATCTTATACTTCAGCACTGCGACGCTAGAAATGAGAAAAATGAGCAGGATCAGAAATGGCGTGGACAGACGGCATTGCATTAAATGTCATCTATGAGTGAAAGGATCTGGTCTCATTACAGATCATTAGTTACAGAAGAACCCACAAACCAAGAAAAAAAATAAACGGTCATCAAGTCATGTTCATAATTCCCACGAAAAGACATTCATGCCACGCATCCGTCATAAATCGTAGAATCTCCCTACCAGCCCCGAGACTTCCACTGCCCAGCATCCTCAACACCCTGCGCGACCTTGCGGGCCCCATCCTCGACGCCACTTCCGATATTGCCCAGCGCATCACCCACGGGTTTGCCCGCACTGCCTGTTGCGCCGGTGATGGTGTCTCCGATCCCTCGGCCTGCAGCTCCGGTGACGCCGCCTACGGTCCGAGAAACTCCGCCAACCGTATTTCCGAGGGTAGAGGTGACAAACTTCGCCGCGCCAGTGACTCCGGAGTCTTGGGAGGAAGGCATCCTGTGGTTTGGTTGTGGCAGTTCGTGGAAGAGTTTATGGTTTGGTGGAGCTTTGGTTCGGATATGCGGCAAGAAAGCCCAGTGTATAGAAGTGGAGTATGGAGTATAGAGTAAGTATAGAGTAAGAAATTTGTTTTACTCGTAGTTGTGTGCTTCAGAGTTGCTTCATGATATTGCAGGGAGATTGAGTCTACCACGCGCATGTCAATTCTCCGGAGATTTATATACGTGAATGTGCCCATGTGCCTTAGGAGATGATCGTGGCCAAGCTCATGACGTCATGGCTGGAGTGGCTGCCGATCTAACCCAATCCGGAACGGAAACGCGTCAACACCGGATTCGCAACCACTCGCCGCATCGCTTCCTCTACCACACCACACCATAACTACCAACTCTCTCTCTCATTTGGCCATGTTCAGGATCTGAAGGATCCCCTCCTTATCTGGTAGCGCCTTGTTGTGCGCCAATGCGTCAGTCAGCGTCAGCTCAGCGATCTTGTGCAACTGCTCCTCCTGCGTGACGCCGACTTCCGAGAGCCGCGATGGCAGTCCCAGCAGCTTGACAAACCGATGAACCGCATCAGCAGCCTCGGTCTCATGCCACCCAAGCACTTCGTTGAATATCTGGAGGATTGCCTCCTGTGCCGCCTTGGTCTCATTGAGCGTGAATCGGAGCGTCGGGGGGAGTAGAATGCAGCTCTTGACAAGAGTCAGTATGCGTCGGTCCTACAGCAAGGGATGGGGCGGAACTTGACGCCAGCTTACCGTCACACCTATCGGCGACAGTCAGCTCATGAGACTTGAAGGATTGCGGAAACAAGACCAGAATTGAACTCACCATGCTGGACGCCTGCCACACTGCCCTATGTTGGCATCCTTCGATCAGCAAGCTACTCTATCCAGCGCAGGTGCCAACCAAACTCACCAGCTGATGGCCAATAGCGTGGCTTGCCCCCATGGGTATTTTCCACTTAATGAAGGGAATCAAAGCATCTCTAGACCCGCGCTGACTCTCTGCAATGCCTTTTAGCAGCTCGTCCTCGTTGCCACCCTCTTGTCCCTCGTGGTACTCCTTTAGGCCCCGCACCAAAAGCGGCAACCCCTTCTTGATATGAGTTGCAGCCTCCCCGTGGCATTCGGCGCGGCACAGACTCTCCACAAAGTGGTCGACGGCGCGCATGCCCGACGCCAGCCACAGGTGCGACGGAGTGGTTCGTGCGACCGTGGGATCCATCAGGATCAAGGACGGGGCCCCCTCTGGATGCATAAAATGTTGTTTCTTCCCTGTGGCATTGGTCCCGCTCGCGTAGGAGTTCCACTCGCCCGCACTAAGGCTTGTCGGCACACAGATCAGCTTGGTTGCAGGAGCCTTGACGGTGTCCGGTCCGGCTAGGCCTCGCTTCTGGTCCACCAAGGCTTCCATCTCGTCCTCCCCGAATCCCGAGGGGAGTGTAGCACTCAGCATCACGGCGATTTTGCACGCATCCGAGTAGGAGCCCGAACCGATAGAGACAACGGCTTGGATGTCATGGTCCTGGACTCTGTGTGCGATGTCGATGATGTCACTGTAGGGCGAGTGATTGCCCACTCCGACTTTTTTGTAGACCTGGTAGTTTGATAGGTCCTTCTCGAGATCACTAATGACCGAGGACTTTGTGTCGAGACTGGTGCTGACGACGAGAAGGATGCGTGACGCTTTCCACTCGGTCAGGGCGGCCGGGATGTCATCCAGATAGGAGGCCTCGAAGATGGCATCGTGACCATGGCGACCTTCGATATCAAGCTGTTGGATTCTCTCACGCATTTTGATTGAAGCTTCGTGTGCAGCAGTGAAACAAAAGTTAACCGGCGTAATCGTTCCCAAGCCTGGGTTTTGTTCTGACAGGCGAGATGGCGGGGTTATCGCTGAGCCCCGCCGGTGGAGCTGCAGGAATGCCGACTTTCCCGCTCTATCTCTCCTTGAGGGGTAGCCTCAGCGGTGTTCTCGCCTCAATGCCATTCCTTGTGTGATTGATCATCTTGAGCTTGAATGCCATTTCTCACTGCCTGCCATGCTGCAATCGTTGCTCAGTCTGCAGAATCGCCCGTCGGCGAAAACACGGTCGCAGCTCGCAACGGATGCAGCAGCACTGTTCCAGACCCGGGCTTACAAATGCCGGGCCTGGGGCTCCCACCTGTTCAACACTGATGGAAGGTGGGCCTCGATGATCCGCGTAGTTACCAGCAGAGGAACCTGGCTAGTGCCCTGCTTGACTCATGGTTTACCAAGAATATCTGGGTGAGACTGATTACCACTGAAGGATTGCGCGTCTATGCTTATCTAACCTTACTATAACTGCGAGACCCACGCAAACTTGGTTCACCATGTGCTTGGATGATCGCCAACCACAGGGAACCCAGCCCGCCAATGAGTCTGTCTCTGTTTCAGCCCGGGGTTAAATCGGCGGAGAACCTGGAATGAACGACACAACCCTGTTTCGGTGATTGAGAAGACGCGGCATAGAGGGAGACGAGGACTGGATGGATGGGTTACGAGTTCTTAGGGCTCGGCTGTCAGAGTGACGTCTCCCGCTCTCCCCTCACAGCTCACGTCATGGTTACAGCACCACAGCACCACAGCCTCTCAATCTCCCTCTCTTTTCCCCCGCACAACCTTCCAAGTCTCGAATGTCACCAACCAGATGCCCCCAATTACCCACCACTATCCATGGCGGACCGTGCCAAAGGCAGCTCGGTGGGTTGCCGGGTGCTTTAATTACAGCCATGTCCCCGCGACCTGAAGACTCGCCCTTCCGCTACATACTCCCCCAAGTGTAATCAACCCCGCTTGCCTTTTCACATCTATCATGGCTAGCATCGTCGCAGGGGGCCTTGAGCGTGCCCAAGAGGCCGTCAAGAGCGCTTCCAACAAGAACAAGAAGGCCGTAGACCTCGAGCGTGACATGGTTGATGTCACCACCGAACAGCGCCAGACCACCGATCACGGCGTCCCTATCAGCAACACTGACAATTGGCTGAAGGCCGTTGATGGCGATCACACTGGTCCCTCTTTGCTTGAGGACCAGATCGCCCGTGAGAAGGTAGATTGATCCTACCCTCACACTTCGGAGCGAGTTTAATTACTGACGAGTCCCGCCACCAGATTCACCGATTCGACCATGAGCGCATACCCGAGCGAGTCGTTCATGCGCGTGGCACTGGTGCCTTCGGAAACTTTAAGCTCCTCGAGAGCTGCGAAGATGTCTCCTACGCTAACATCCTCAATGACACTTCCCGCAACACGCCAGTTTTCGTCCGCTTTTCCACCGTCCAGGGCAGCAAGGGCAGTGCTGATACTGTCCGTGATGTCCGTGGCTTCGCCGTGAAATTCTACACGGATGAGGGCAACTGGGATATCGTTGGCAACAACATTCCCGTCTTCTTCATTCAGGACTCCATCAAATTCCCCGACTTCGGTATGTTCGTTACGCCTTCTTGTATAGAACCCCGCTAACAAGACCCAGTCCACGCCGTCAAGCCCGAACCGCACAACGAAGTGCCCCAGGCGCAGACCGCGCACAATAACTTCTGGGACTTCTGCTACCTCCATCCCGAAGCCACGCACATGTTCATGTGGGCCATGTCGGACCGCGCCATCCCCCGCTCCTACCGCATGATGCAAGGGTTCGGCGTGAACACCTACTCTCTTATCAACAAGGAGGGCAAGCGCCACTTCGTCAAGTTCATCTGGACCCCGCACCTGGGAGTCCACTCCTTCGTCTGGGACGAGGCCCTCAAGCTGGCCGGCCAGGACCCCGACTTCCACCGTAAGGACCTGATGGAAGCCATCGACAACGGCGCTTATCCCAAGTGGGACCTGCAGATCCAGACCATCCCCGAGGAGAAGCAGGACGACTTTGAATTCGACATCCTTGACGCCACCAAGATCTGGCCCGAGGACTTGGTCCCGCCGCGCACGATCGGTGTCCTCGAGCTCAACCGCAACGTGGACGAGTTCTTCCCGCAGACCGAGCAGGTCGCCTTCTGCACCTCGCACATCGTCCCCGGCATCGACTTCTCCGACGACCCGCTCCTGCAGGGCCGCAACTTCTCCTACTTCGACACGCAGATCAGCCGGCTCGGCATCAACTGGGAGGAGCTGCCCATCAACCGGCCGGTGTGCCCGGTGCTCAACCACAACCGCGACGGGGCCATGAAGCACCGCATCACCAAGGGCACGGTCAACTACTGGCCGAACCGGTTCGAGGCCGGCAAGCCCGACGGGGCGGCGCCGCACCACGGCCAAGGGTTCGAGTCGTACCCGGCGCCCGTGACGGGCCGCAAGCGCCGGGGCCTCGGCCCCAAGTTCCGCGAGCACCACAACCAGGCGCAGCTGTTCTACAACTCGATGAGCGAGCACGAGAAGCTGCACATGATGAAGGCGTTCAGCTTCGAGCTCGACCACTGCGACGACCCGGTCGTCTACGACCGCCTGGCCGGCACCCGGCTGGCCGAGATCGACCTGGGGCTGGCCCAGCAGGTCGCCGAGCTGGTTGGCGCCCCGATCCCGGACAAGGCGCTGCGGCCCAACCACGGCAAGCGCACCATCCGCCTCTCACAGACCGAGTTCCCTCCCAAGGAGCCCACCATCGCCAGCCGCCGCATCGCCATCCTCATCGGCGACGGCTACGACCCCGTCGCCTTCAAGGCCGTCCAGCTAGCCGTCAAGGCCGCCAGCGCCCTCCCCTTCGTCATCGGCACCAAGCGCTCGCCCATCTTTGCGGAGGGTGAATCCAAGGAGACGGGCCAGGGCATCGTGCCCGACCACTACTACGACGGCATGCGCTCCACCATGTTCGACGCGACCTTCATCCCCGGCGGGCCCCACGTCGACACCCTCCGCAAGAACGGCCAGATCAAGTACTGGATCGCCGAGACCTTCGGCCACCTCAAGCCCCTGGCGGGCACGGGCGAGGCCGCCCAGCTGATCAAGGAGGTCGTGGGCAGCGTGCTGGACGTGCAGGTCGCGACCGCCGAGAACCCGGACCCCGTGGAATGGTACGGCGTGGTGACTGCGGGCGGCGTGCAGAAGCCCGAGAGCATCGCGGAGACGATCAAGATCCTCAAGGACGGGAAGGACTTTGTGAGCAAGTTCTTCTACCAGGTCAGCCAGCACCGGAACTACCAGCGCGAGTTGGACGGGTTGGCTTCGACGGTTGCATTCTAAGTCTGGTTGTCGAGTTCGTGGTCAGTTTCGTTTGGAGTTGTGGATTGTATCTTGGACATGTGTAGGCTAGTATGTTAATAATCTGTATGACTTGACGATTTAATCCGATGTGTGTGGGTTGCTGCTGTTCGACGTAGGACATACCTGGTCGTGCTATCGTAAAGGCGACGCGACGGGTACTTTAGATGGAGACAAGCAGGCTACCAGATGCCCTACGCCGGTAAAGTACGGTATGCCAACAGCGCCCGTCGAAAAGTATCATTAAGCTAGCTGGACGAGCAACGAATATGACGAACATAAGTGACAGCAAAACACCACCCACGAAGAAAAGTAACAATAATAAACGCTCTCCCTATTAACAAACAGGAACGGCTTGGCGAGCAACGGTCACCGAGCAAAAAGATATGACAAGAGTGGGATTCGAACCCACGCCATCAAACGATGATCAGGAAGCTCGTGAAAGCTGAATGCTAAGGTAACCTTAACCTGACGCCTTAGACCAACTCGGCCATCTTGCCTTGATGTGTTACTATCGAGGGTTTTGTAAATATGATGCTTAAAACAAGCCAAACCAGGTGGAAGATGTGCGAACTTCTGGTAGAAGTGGTCGGTCCTCGAAGGGTGTATTTGATGCTGGGTGTGGTATTTCATGTCCTCTGTGGACTTTCAGTATTAATTAACCTTCTATGTGGTCTTTCTGGGGTTGTTGATGGGAGTGGGCTAGAATCGTGGGAACTTGCTCGAGGTATATATTCGTCACGCGGCCAATGTCGACAATATCGCTGAAGAGACACGCACAACTCCATTATTGCATCGGATAGAGCTTGAAGAGTGAATGGACAGTATCAAATCCCACTCGAATGTACGATCGAGTCCATACAACAGATGCCAGAAGCACCTGTGGAAGTCACACTATAACTTGTCAAGCCCGGACAAGAAAGGAGGGGACACCCACCACCTCAAGTTCAAGGTCGATTTCGTTGACAATAACTCGAATCCACACCTGAACCGACATGCTCCCTCATTAACCCAAGCTAGAGTCAACCTAGAAACTATGCAGTCACTGGGCTCTGTAATAGAGCCCAATGAGCGAATCATATGCCCCCAACCAGGCTAGTCCGCCTTACCCCATGAAGTCATCCTCATGTCAACATCCCCTAACGCACTATATATCCAGCTACCCAGCTCGATCCCACCCATCACACCTCCCAAGCATCACAGACTCAACTGCACCTCACTACCCCACTACACATAACCCCACTACACACATATACCAGCGCAGCAAAATGTCCTTCCCAACCTACAACCTCCGCCGCCTCGCCCTCACCCACACCCCCCTCGCCCAGCGTAAGCCCTACCCACCAGCCCAAACCCCTATACCACCACCCAACGCTAACGCAAACAGGACCACGCACAACCCCAGCCACCGCCGCCGTCGCCGCCGCCACCTCAGCAGCCAGGAGACTAGCAAGCAAAGCCTCCCCGGGCCAAACCTCCAACGTCGCCAACCCGCAATCCAGCAGCCCGGAATCGCAATCCATCAACGTCGCCCGCGGCAAGCAGGCGCGCCACGCCGACACCCCCGACACGGCGTCGGTGCAGTCGCCCATCTCGTCGCAGTTCGGGCCGACGAGCGAGGCCCACGAGGGCGAGGAGCAGACCTCCGCGGACGCGCAGATCAAGAATCACCCCGGGGAGTCGGAGGCGACTAAGCGGCGGAATGTGGAGAGGGCGGGGGAACGGCCTTTAGGGGCAGAGGATCGGCAGTAATTTTTTTGGGGGGGGTTGTTCTGTACATATGGGAGGGGAGGGGGGTGGGATGATGGTTTTTGATTGTGATTTTGGTTGGTAGATGTGGATAAATGGGGGGGGGGGTTCCAAACATGGGGCTGAGGGGTCTACGGTTGATGTACTGTACGATAGATACAATACAGATATTATCTTGTCGAGTTGGATCTTTATCTAGGATGTATCTGGAAATTGGCGACTTGAATTGTTGTATGACCGAGAAGCCAGGAATCTGCACGGTTACTTCATCCAGCATGGCCATTGCGTGGGTCACAGACCTGGACCGAGACCACGCTCGGCCCCGATTAGGGTTGTGGGTGTCTCATGCAGTGGACTCTGCAGGCCCCGTAGGCGCTGACGGCGCGATGACGGCACCAGATCCCCCCTTCTTGACCCTAAGCTCCCTCCCTAACCACGCCATCGCAGATCTCCCCATCCAAGATCCGGTCTCCATTCTATGTGTATGTCATTCACCTTGCGTCTTGATGATCCGTTCCTTTATCTGTGCCCCCCAAGATTAAATACAAAAATGAAAGAGAAATAAAATCGCACCGATTATAGAATTAGAAATAATTAGACTCCCGCCTCGACCGGATCCTCATCACACCAGCCACACCAACAACGGTGCACCCTTCCACCATCGCAAACCCAAGCCAACACGAACGACAAAATGGCAGATAGCATGGACTTCCCCAAATCCCTGACCCTTAAAGACGCCGGCGGCAGTAGTGTACGCCCCCGATCTCTCCCTTCCCCCCCCCCCCCCCCCCCCCCCCCCCCCCCCCCCCACAAACATCAAAAATCGCACTCACCCTCTCCTACCTTATACTAGGAACCAAGCTAACCCCCCCCAAGTCCCAAGGCTCCCGCCCCACCCAACAAGACCGATACACAATCCTCCGCCCGGAAGCCTTCGAAAGTAAAAACGACCAGCTGGCGCTCTTCGCGGTCTACGATGGCCAGTACGCTCTCACCTCGTTCCTACAGAGATTCTCCACCGCTAACAGGTGACCGACCAGCGGCTCAAGCAAAGTCGCCAAACACGCCCGCGACAACCTCCCCGTCTTCCTGCGACACAGCCCCGACCTCCCGACGGGCGAGTACGAGAAGGCGATCGTCGAGGCCATCCGGCGCGAGGAGGAGCAGCTGCTGCATGAGTTCTGGGAGGGGGAGGATAAGCATGCGCTGGCGGGGACGACGATGGCGCTCGCGGTCGTGAACCTCACGCGGGGCGTGTTGGTCGTCGGGAATGTGGGCGACTCGGATGTGTTGCTGGGGGAGGAGGGGGGTGCTGCTGGGTGTGGGACGGGGATGGAGGTGGTAGGTTCTGTACCCAGTCCCTGGGGATATGGGGTGGTGCTGCTGCTGATGATGATGGTGGGAGCAGACGAGATTATCGACGACGCATAAGCCCGAGAGCGACGGGGAGAAGCATCGGGTGGAGTTGGCGGGCGGGACGGTCAATACGGAGAGTGGGACGGCGCGAGTGGGTGAGTCTTTCCTTGAACTAGAACTACCTGGAATCCGAACCCGGGCTGAGGTCCCTCCCTCACCAGGAGCGCTGAACATGTCCCGTGCCCTGGGCGACCTGCGCTACAAAACCCCCCTCAACAACATGACCCAGCGGGCCAAAAGCGGCAGCGGCAGCGGCAGCGGCAGCTCCGAAGGAGGGACCCCCTCCGCCGCCCACGACACCCCCCCGCAGCGCGGCGACTTCATCTCCAGCGAGCCCGCCCTCAACCGCGTCGACCTCCGCGACGATCGTCGCTACGTGCTGGCCCTGCTGTCCGATGGCGTGACCAATGTGCTGGACGACGCGACCATTCTCAACCGCATCGTCGAGCTGCGGCAGTCCGGGTTCGACGCGACGCGGGCGGCGCAGAATATCACCGAGGGGACGACGGCGCTGCCGGGCAGTGATAATGCGACCTGCGTGGCGGTTTTTCTGGAAGGGCCGAAGGTTGGGCAATCATGACCTGAGCCTTATTCTAAAGGTTAAATGAGGTGATGTGTGAGGTGGTGAGGTGGGCGGGGGTGTGCATATTAGATAGCATTGCATTGCGTGCATGCATAGCATAGGTGCATTTCACAGGACCTCCGGATGCGATTAGATCGGTGGGATGATATACAATACAAACCTACTGTAGCAGCCAAGGTTCAACGCACTGCAGCATGGATGAATCATGGATCTAGACCCCCCCCCCCCCCCGTGACCAATGATCATCGCCGGAAGCGATAGCCGAGGCGATCGGCGTGGCCCGGTCACAATGAGATCAGCCTATACTCGTACCATAGAACCTTGGCTAGTAGCACCACCACATGTTCACGTCATGCTTGGCATCCAGCAGACAAGAAATATATAGATTATCCCGCGATGTAGCCCGGATGGATACTCACCGTCACGAATTACCCAATTGCACCTGCCATGTTCGAGAATATCGTCGCCCCCCAGCTGAAGAACCGGCTCCAGCGCCCTACCCCCACCTTCGGCCCCTTGGCCACAAGCAACATCATCGACATCCGGACGGACAAGAGCGAGACGCAGCTCCGACAGTCGCTGCAGGACGCCGTGCACGCCGCGTGCCATGGACAGGCCGCCATGCCCGACTTGCTCCTCTGGGACGAACAGGGGCTGCGCCTGTTCGAGGAGGTGACCTTCTCCCCGGCCTATTATCTGACCAACGAGGAGATCGGGCTGTTGCAGAAGCACCAATACCAGATCGCGGAGCACATCCCCTCCGGAAGCATGCTGGTTGAACTGGGCAGCGGGTGAGTTGCGAGTGGCCCCTCTCTGGGTCGTCGGGGGGAGAAGAACGACACTGACCCAGCAAGCAACCTCCGCAAGGTGAAGATCCTCCTCGACGCACTCGACGCGCTAGGCCGCGAGGTCGACTACTTCGCCCTGGACGTCTCCTTCGCCGAGCTGCAGCGCACACTGAGCATGGTCCCGCCGGGCATCTTCCGGCACGTGCGCTGTTTCGGGCTGCTGGGGACCTACGACGACGGCCGCGAGTGGCTGCAGCGGTCGGACCTCCGCGCCCGGCCGAAGACCATCCTGTCTCTGGGCTCGACGCTGGGCAGCTTCCCCCGGGCGGAGGCCGCCGGGTTCCTGGCCAGCTTCGTGCACGCGGATGCCGGCACGGGAAGCAGCCCGTCCTTTTTAGTTGGGTTGGATGGATGTAAAGAGCCGGCACGGGTGCGGGCGGCGTACAATGATCCCGAGGGGGTCAATCGCCGGTTCATCACGCATGGGCTGGAGCGGGCGAATGAGATCCTCGACCACGAGGCATTTGCGCTCGATCGCTGGGGTGTTGAGGGGCAGTGGAACGTGGAGAACGGCAGCCACGATCAGTTCTATGTGTCCACTGGGGAGGTGGATCTGGCCGGCAAGAGAGTCTCAGCGGGGACGCGCATCCGAGCGGTGCAGAGCCACAAGTACGATGGCGATGATCGGATGGCGCTCCTTGGGAGGGCCGGGTTGGAGGAGGTCGATGCGTGGGCATCGGGGAGTCAGTATCGTGGGTGCAGCCGCATCCTGTGAGAACCAGCGCTAACTGATGTGCAGATTTGCTATTTTTAAGCAGCTGATAGAGATAGACAAGGTTGTTTTGAGCTGAAAGATTTATCCGTGCCTAATGTGATGATTCTCCTGCGCATCTCACGATAATAACCGCAGAACCTGGCTGTCTGGTCGTCCGTAGAGCTGCAACTATGCAAACATGCAAACATGCAAACAGACCAAATCAATGACGACAGCAAATGCCAAATAAGCCAAACAGCACCAACAGCGCAAACACCCCGCATCGGCCAATCAGGGCATCCCCGCATTCTCGAAGGATGCTTTGCAAACATCCCCATCTCACGATGGTGTTTGATTCAGTTGTGGGATTCGGCGTATATAACAGCATCAGTTGCCTTGATAAAAATGATGCAAAGCACGCAGTATCTGTTGAGCCCTCATCTATCATCCCAATCCTTGATTTGGTTTTGATTTTCCATCTGGACTCATCTACTTAACCTTGGATTTACATTGTATATCACCCTACACTCAACAATAATCACATCCCCACCATGGCCATCACCGCAGCCCTAACTCAACCCACCATTCTCCCCCCCGCCCTCCGCCCCGGCGACACCATCGCGCTGGTCTCCCCGTCCGCCCGCCTGAACAGCATCCTCCCCACGCCCCTCCACCGCGGCCGCCTCTTCCTAGAATCCCTGGGCTTCCGCGTGCGCATCATCTACACCCCCTACCCGGAACCCAGCACCATCGCCGACTCGATCCGGATCCGCACGGGGGAGCTGCACGAGGCCTTCGGGGACCCGACCGTGCAGGCGATCATCTGCACGATCGGCGGCCAGCACGCCAACGAGCTGCTCCCGCACCTGGACTACGAGCTCATCCGCGCGAACCCCAAGATCTTCGTCGGCTACAGCGACACCACCTTCCTGCACTACGCGCTGGAGTCGCGCGCGGGGCTGCGCACCTTCTACGGGCCCAGCGTGCTGACCGACTTCGCCGACGTGCATCCGCTGCCCCTGACGGTGGAGCATCTGCTGCATGTGCTGACGGGCCGCCAGGGGGCCGGTGGGGCGGTGGGGCCGGTGCCGCGATCACCGCGCTGCGCCGTCGAGCACAACGATTTCCAGTTCGGGCGCGATGCCTCGGTCGAGCCCCGCGTGACGGCGCCCGCGCCGCCGTGGCGCTGGGTGAGACGCGGTCGTGCCGAGGGCAAGCTGTACGGCGGCACGGTGCATATCGTCGAACGGCTGCAGGGGACGGGGTTTGCGCCGGCCTCGTGGCAGGGCCATGTTCTGCTGCTCGAGTCGGCCATGGGGTTCGATACGATCGAGCGCCCGTATTCGGTGGCACGGTTCAGGGGGAACTTGGTGGATCTGGCGTTGTCCGGGGTGCTGGGCGAGATTAGTGGGTTGGTGGTCGGACGGGGGTATAAGTATGATGAGCGCATGCAGGAGGAGTTGGCGGCGGTGATTGTGGAGGTGTTGGACGTGGTGGTCGGCAGGAAGGATGAGCTGCCGGTGTTGATGAACGTGGATGTGGGCCATACCAGCCCGTTTGTCACGCTGCCGTTTGGGGCGAGGGTGAGGCTGGATTCGGAGAGGGACGAGTTTGTGGTCTTGGAGGCGGGCGTGTCTACGAGTACTTAGTCTGGATTTGGTGCATTGAGGGTTATTTCTAAGTTCTCTGAGTGATAGCAGTGGATAGCATATTTAGTACCTAATGATTGAAATTGCATATGGTACTGTTCACCTAGTAGAGTAACACCTCCCCTCCCATCATCCTTACATCATCCCCGCACGCGGAGATCTCCTTCCACCATCTCTTCATCTCTGCATCCACAACACAACTGGAACTCTTCTCCACGACAACCACAACGGACTCCTACCACAACAGCAACATGGGCTTTCTCGACGTCCTCCACAAGATCGCAGACGACCTGCTGGCCCGGGTCAAAATGGTACGTAGTCCTCCCACCCTCCCGTATCTGAGCCCACTAACCTCTCAGATCCAAAACCGCCAAGTAGGATGGCTCACCATCAATCGCAAGGTCAACCCCTCCCCCCTTCTCGATTGCCATAAGCAAAGCTAACCAACCCAGACTGGCCAGCTCGTCCGCGAACAGCAACCCCTCTGGAAGAAACTCAAACTCCTCCTGCTGTTCAACCCTCTCACCGAATGGCTGGACACCACCCACCTGATGCGCCTATACATGCACCGCGAAGCGATCAAAGAGGGTATTTCCTTTCCTCTCCCCCCCTACACCCCCATAATAATGGCGGACAGGCCAAGAAGAAGCCACCCCGACCTCGCGCAACCGCATCGCCGCCTTCATCGCCTTCTACCACATCGACATGACCCAATTCGACCCCTCGGATATTTCGGCGTACCGCAACTTCGAGGACTTCTTCGTCCGCGCGCACCGGCCCGGCTCGCGACCGATCTTCGAGCCCGACAACCCCCGCACGGCAGTGGTTGTGGCCGACAGCCGCGTCGTGGCCTACGACTCCGTTGCAGAGAGCCAGAAGGTGTGGATCAAGGGGTGCGACTTCTCGATCACCAACCTAGTGATGGACCGGCGGCTTGGGGCGCAGTTCGACGGCAGCGCGATCGCGAGCTTCCGTCTCTCGCCGCAGGATTATCACCGCTTCCATTGTCCGGTGCGTGGGACGGTGACAATGTATAGGGGTATGCCTGGGGATTATTACGAGGTGGATCCGATTGCGTTGCGGAGCGGGGTGGATATTCTGACGCGCAATGCGAGGGATTATGTTGTGGTGGATAGTGAGGAGTTCGGGGAGGTGCTGTTTGTGGCGATTGGGGCGGCGCAGGTCGGGACTGTGAGGTTTGTTTCTCCTGCGGGATGGGCGAAGAGGTGGAGATGCTGATGTGTGTCGGTAGGATCCACGAGCGGTTCCAGCAGCCGGGGGCTCGGATCGAGAAAGGCGAGGAGTTGGGCCATTTCCAGTTCGGGGGGTCGTCGATCATCGTCGCCTTCCAGCGGAGGCGGATCGTCTTCGACGAGGATCTGCTGCGGGCGAGCAAGAATGCCATCGCCACCGATGTGGAGGTGGGCATGAGTTTGGGACGGGCGGGAGAGAAGGCGTAATCTTCTACAAGTACCTGATGCTATCTGGCGAATTTGATACCAAGAACCAGCCCAGCAGTTCTATGTCTATGCAAGTATATCCATCTATCCTCCGCTCTGCCCATTCCCATCCCCACTGCTCCGCCCCTCCGCCAACGCCCGCACATCGCGCGCCACCTCCCTCAACGCCCGCATGGCCGCCTCGCTCCACGGCGCCATCTGCAGAAACCCATGACACAGCTCCGCATAATGCCGCCACACGACCGCATTGCCCGCGGCCTGGAGCTTGCTCGCCAACTCCACCCCGACATCCCGCAGCGGATCGAAGCCACACGTATACACCCTGGCCGGCGGCAGCCCCTGCAGCTGGTCGGGGGGTTGCATCCCCGGGGAGATATACCGACTGGACGGCGCCACACCGTCGGGGATGTAGTTGGCTGCGAAGTTGAAGATCCCGTTACCTGCGTGCCCATGTTAGCATCGCATCCCATCTTCAGCCCAGCCTTCATGCACCATAAACAGAAGAGCAAAGGGCGCACAGCCCCGTAAGAACATCAATAAGAGAGAAGGACATACAATCCAAATACAACCCCGCCCCATCATTATTCTCCACGGCCGCGGGCGTATCGAACGGCAACCGTGCCTCGGGGTACAGCAGCACCAACCCATCCAGCCCCTTCAGTTTCCTGTCCGCACGGCGCAGCGAAACCGCCGCCGTCATGTTCCCGCCGGCACTGTCCCCGCCCCCGAAGATCCGGGCCGGGTCGACGTGGCGCGCCTGCCCGCCCTCCCCGCGCAGCCAGTCGATCACCGCGTCGTACTCGTCCAGCTGCGTCGGGTACGTCCACTCCGGGGCCAGCCGGTACTCGACCAGGTAGATCTGGATGCCGGCGGCTTCGGCGAGGAGGCGGCAGCCCGGCTCGAAGTCGTCGCCGCTGCCGACGGTGTATCCGCCCCCGTGGAAGTAGATGAGGGCTGGGGCCAGGTTGTGCGGGGTCGGGCTGGCGGGGTCGGTGTCGGAGGGGCGGTGCGGGGTCGCAGCCGGGCGGGTTGGGTACAGGATGCGCAGGGGGATGGTGCCGTGCGGCCCGGCGGGGATGGCGGTGTGCTCGACGTGCAGGATTGACGGCTGTTTTGAGGTGGGGATGTTGTGCAGGCTGAAGGTTTGGACGTGGTGGCGTCGTTCTTGGAAGATGTCGCGGCCTGAGAGCCGGAGGGGAGGGTTTTGGGTGAGGAAGGATTGCACTTCTGGGTCGAGGGTGCTGCGGGGGGCGGTTTGGGGGATCATTTTGTGGTGGTTCTGGGTTTAAGGGCTCAAGGTGGTGAGAAGGATGTAGAGTTGCTTATGGGCCAGGGAGTGGTGGTGGTGGTGGTGCTTGTTTATATGCTTTCAGTTAGGGTATAGATCTGGTGGGGACTGTGAAATCAACCCAACGTCATTGTTCTCGGAAGTAGCGGACATACACTACATTACTCGATACTACCACAGCATTAACTAGGTACTAGTACTCAGTAATCATGAATTCAAGATGAATCATATCCCACCACTGCACACTACTCCTTCTCATCCGCCTGCTCCCCCCGTACCGGCAGCCCCGCCGCGCGATACAACCGATCAATGCACTCCATCTGCCAGACACTCTCCTCGCCGGGGATCCAGTACGCGGGCGTCCTCCCGCGCACCGCATCGACAAACGCCTCCAGCTGCCACCGATACGTACTCCACGCCGACTGGCCGCCGCGCGCCCCGTCGCTGGTCGTCACGTTGCCCCACAGCGGACCCCCGCGATACTGCCGGTGGGACCTGGTCTTCCCCGTCGTCTTGTCCGTGATGGCGATGTAGTGGTACAGGTGCGGCATCATCGCGTTGTAGAAGAAGATGATCGCCTTGTCCGTCTCCACCTCGATGGACGGCAGCTCCCAGAACCGCGGCACCAGGCCCCCCGCCGCCCACGCCCGCGCCATGTCCGTGTAGATCCGGCTGTGCACGTCGCGGCCCTGCGCGTCCTCGAAGGTCACGTACGCGTACATCGCCTCGTCGACGCGCGGGTCCGCCGCCGAGCGTCGCGCCGTCACCGAGTGGATCGTCTTGGGCAGTTGGCTGCGCAGCGCGTAGCGCGTGAACGAGAGCGCGTACGTCATGTCCATTGCGGATCCGCCTGCGCTTGTGTCAGGATGCAGTTGCTCGAGCATGAAAGATGAAGGGAGAAAAGAGGAGGCCAGGGAGTGCATACCCGCAAGATCATATTGCCACCGGATATCCCCCTTGGGCACCCCGGGACTGGCGGTCATGATGGCCTCGGTCCGGATGATGCGGCCGTACTCGCCGGATTCGAGGATGTGGCGGAAGGCGTGCGCCGCGGGGTGGAATTGCCAGTGGAACTGCGCCCAGATCAGTATATGCTGCATTCATAATAAATGCTGCATGCACAGTCTCGAAGAGCGAACGCACCGCTTCCTCAATCGTCACCCCCTTCTCCTTGGCCTGGTCGATCAGCGCGCGCGCCTCCTCCGCGTTCGAGGTGAAGGGCTTCTCGCAGAGGACGTGCTTCCCCGCCTGGATCGCCTTGGCCGCCCATTCGTAGTGCAGCCCGTTCGGGGTCGAGATGTAGACGATGTCGACGGCCGGGTCGTCCAGCAGCGCCTGGTACGAGTCGTGCGACCGGGTGAAGTGGTACTGCTTGACGGCGTGGGCGGCTGTCGCGGCGTCGCGCGAGGCGATGCTGTAGAGGATCACGTCGGGGTGGGTTTCGACGGGATGGATGACTGCGTTGATTAGAATAGGTTATAAAATTGTTGGCTCCTGGTGGTGAGGCGTACCAGCTGCGGCGTTGATCTGGGCGGAGGAGAGCACGCCGAGCCTGAGGGCATTCGGCGACTTCTGCGGCGCGGAGTGCAGGAATGCGCCCAGGTACTGGTGGAGGAATGTTGCACCCTGGAGGACGAGAGCCATCTTGCTTCAGTTTGTTGCCGATATCAAGGTAGTCGTGACCTTTATCGAGCCGAGAAGAGTGTTCCTGAGTTGATGTTTATGTGAGGTGGGCGGAGAGCGATAAGAGCGGAGTATAAGCTGTGAGTGATGACGTTGACAGCCCGTCACTCTTGCACTGGTCGACAGGTCCAGTATGGACAACGCTTGAATGGTGTAACTTTCGTCTCTTCCAATCGTATTGATCAATGTAATCACCTAGCATATGGTGCGTTGTGTTGTGGTCTGATTGCAGAGCCTAGTCTGGATGTCCACGGTTGACGGTCGGTTGACGTCTTGTACACATTGTTTCAGTATGATGCATCCTTCAGGTTGATTTGGAGTGTTGGACTCTAGAAGGAAATCATATCGCTCCGCTAGTCAGTCAGTCAGTGGAGCTCAAAATATACAAGTTGGAACTTCACCATCCTCACCTTGGGACATCTCATCACATTATAGACATAGTGTTGAACTGTAAATGAGTGCAACTTCATTTCAGGCTACAGCAAGAAGTAGGGACGTAATGCATAAATAAAACGTTTATTGTATCAATTGGCCGGATGGTGTAGTTGGTTATCACGTATCGTTAACACCGATAAGGTCCTGGGATCGAGCCCCAGTCTGGTCATTGCCTTTTGCTTTTGCATGCATTTTGCCACCCTTGCTATCTTATCGCTGGCCGTCCGACCCTGTCACATCAACCCCTCCTGGTTGATGCCAGCTATTGATGCATCTCTGCCAGGTGCACTTGGTGCACCAAGTCAACGGCCGTCCTTGAGACTTGGACCCTCTTTTGGCCCCCACGGGTCTCCCTCAGATCTCATGTTCATCTCTTCCGAGAATGGGATCTAGTCTGCCCCTCTAATCTTATCGCACCCAATGAACATAGCCCTAAACCCCCCGATCTGGGAACATGCTCGGATCCTCCCCTGATCATCTCGTCCTTCTCAATCTACGTGCAACGTCCGTTATATGAATGCAGCTATGGCTCATCTTTCCTGTCTGCTAGCATTCTTGCTTTGCATCGATCAAATGGCACTCACACCATTTCCAAGCGCCGCACTAAGACGAATGTACAAGCCACCACGACTAACCGCCGCAGAGTCTAAGCGCCGACCCTGAAACGGACTTGCAGCTAAGACCAATGCACTCTGTGCCGCCCTAGACTGTCCCCGATGGCTTTGCCCCTCCGCTCAGCCTTGCACCTTGCTTTCCCTATTGTTGTAACCTTCCCCTCTTTTACCATCTGCATCACTCTTACTGTGAAACCACAGCAGCAGCAGCAGCAGGACCGGACTCCTCACCCGCGCAACATATCCAAACATGACAGCATCACACCTTCTCTCACTCCTCGCGCTCCTCGCGACAGTCGCCTCAACGCAGACAGCAAACACCACCTTCAGCAAACGCGGCTCCGTACTGACAGACCTATCCGGTGGATTCTGTCGGAGCTATCAATTCGGCGGTACGCTCATCCCTCCTTCTCATCCATGTTCATCAACTAAAACAGGTGATCTGCAGTAAATATCGCCAACGATGTCCTCTACATGGTCGACCTGGATGGCGGCCTCGTCCCCGACGACGGGAACAGTTCCCGTGCGCCCACCCTCCCGAACCCCCCGAGGAGATTATTCGGATGTTGACGAGAGACAACAGATAACTACATGCTGCAGCTGGATTTGAGCCAGTCATTCTCGGTGAACGATGGCGCAAACTACAAGATGAGTCTGGTGGACGCGCAGATCCCCGTGCTGAAGGATCAGGCGCTGTGGTCCAGTCGCGATAACAGTTCCCTGTTCTTGTATGGTGGACGGCGGGCGAGCAATGTCAGCTTGGATGAGAAGGTGTGGAAGTATGAGGTGCAGGAGGGGAAGTGGGAGGTGCAGGAGACGAGTGCAGTGCCTGTGCGATATGATGGTGGAGGTGAGTGGCCATTTTCTCTTATCGGGGAGGAGCGTTGGGGTTAAATGGTGGAATGGACTGGTGCTGATGGTGCGATATAGTGAATGTCAACGTGCCTGAGCTGCAGAGCGCGTACTGGCTCGGTGGGTATCAGGATTCCTCGACAACAACCGCCATCACCGATAGTCGGCGGGTGTATGCGACCAGCATGGTGGAGTTCAACACGACGACCGGCGAGATCGCCGAGATCGAGGCCCCCGTCACGCCTGTGCAGGACGGAGCGTTGGTGTATATCCCCGTCGGAGAGAAAGGGCTGCTGGTGTTTCTGGGCGGGGAGACGCCCTCGATGGTCAACGGCACCAATGCGACTATGGCTGTGGTGAGAGCAAGCGTCATTGAACATGGGCACGAGCCCAGCTGACGGACTCCCTGCAGAATAGCTGGAACTATGTTCAGATCTACGACATCGCCTCCGGCAGCTGGTACAACCAGTCGACGAGCGGCAGCGTGGCCTCGCGCACGCAGTTCTGCGCCACCGTCCAGCACGATCCCTCCTCCGCCTCGTATCAGATCTATGTGCTCGGCGGCGCCGACTATCACTCCCAGGACGTCATCACCGACGTGGATTACCTCTCCATCCCCTCCTTCAAGTGGTACAACGCCGCCGGACTCAGTGAAGGCCGGATGACGCTCAGCTGCCAGGCTTATGGAAGGCAGATCTTCGGGGTCGGCGGCCGTCTCGCCTGGGCTGACGATTCAGACGCCGGTTGCTACACCATGCCCGCGTTTATCTACGATGCGCAGTCCGAGGTGGTTCGGTCGGGGTTTGACGTAGGTTGCCTAAGTTGGCCAACTGACACAGTCTGTGCTGATCGGAAAATAGCCCGGGTTAATGACATACTCTCTCTCGTCCGCTACCGCGGCGGACATCAAAGCCTCGCCATATCCCTCCAGTTGGGCCAGTCCGGCATTGAAGGAGCTGTTCGTCTCGCAAACCAACACCACATCAGCAACAGCTTCGCCCTCTCCGACGAGCAGTAGTGGAGTAGGCTCACATTCACACGCAGGAGCAATAGCCGGCGGAGTGGTGGGCGGAGTGGTCGGTCTCGCTCTGCTCCTCGCCTTGGGCTATCTCTTCCTCCGACGGCGGCGTCGGGCTGTGCCTCAAGCGGAGGAAAGCCTGTCGGTTGCTGCGGGTAGTTGGGAGAAGGCCGAACTCCCCACCTCGGGGTGTACGGTCAGTGAGGTGTCGGGCGAAGCGGCGGCGAGCGAATTGGAGAGCGAGCAGCTTATGACACGCCACGAGCTGGCCGGGAGCAACGAACGTGTTTATGAGCTGGATGCGCAGGGAGCGGGTCAGAGGTAATGTTAAATGTTTTTTTCTTTTGGAAAACAACAGCGTCGATGCGATGCCACTATGTACAGTTAAAGTGGAATATCGAAAGTTCTTTCGAGATGATAATCTTGATATATAGCCTGGTTTGTTCCATATCACACCGGACTTCTACAATCACTCTTATTCTTTTGATATGGATCTCCAATTGTGAAGCACATCGGTCTAGATATAATGATATAAGTCCTCAAACAGATTCGCCAGCCAGGAAAAAGGGCTCGGTTCCCGAATCAGGCGCTCGGCAAGGGTTGGTCGATGCTGTCTGATATACTGAACGGCGTCCCTCGTTGCGTCCGTTACCACGGTGACTAGCTCGGGCTCGAGGGCCAAGAGCTCACATACCTGCTCGTCGGAGAACCGATTTGTGGCGTCCGTCCAGAACAGCGTCCCGAGCAGTTTGTGCCATTCGAAGCCCAGCTGCATCAGATCGGTTCCGTTGACGACCGCCATCTGCACCAGGGCCGGGCCATCCTCCATCTGATACAGACTGTAGATTGTTTCACAGACTGAGGCCCTTGCACCGTAGGCCAGGACCAGCCTGGTTCGTTCCGCGTCCCCGGGCTGGGGGTACTGGCCTTCGAAGTAGAGACACCGGTGCTCTCGCCCAACCCAATCCAGCGCAGTCCCGGCACCTCGAATCCCCTCCTTCCGATCTGTTTCGTCCAGGTTGGGATCCGCGCCGTGCTCGAGCAGGAGCCGGACGATCGTCGTATGTCCGTCCCAGTTCCCGATGCACAACGCCCAATACAGCAGGGGCTTGTTGATACTCGGCCTGGCCCCCAGCCCAAGTCGGAGGTTAGGATTGCCCCGGGCTTTCAGATAGTTCTGCACCAGGTCGACCTGGCCCCGTTTGATGACGCGGTACAGCCGAGGGTACCGCTTCCATCTTTTGGGATGAGCTTCCACCGCGATTGATGCCCCCTGGTCATCTTGCCGCATCCTGGCTTCGATGTCGGCGGCCGTTTGCGACTCCCACTCACCCCCCCAGTAGTTGACGGTCGCGAGCGCCCACTTGTGGGCTTCGTGGGCTCGCTCCAGCTCCTCGCTGAACTTGTTCTTCAATTCCTTGCACGCCCGGCTCAGTCGGCTGAGGGTCCTAGCGTCCAGGTAGGAAGCATACTGCAGATGCAGTTCGTTGGGCAGTTTGATTAGAGGGTTAGTTGGTTGTTCCTCCATGGTGGTGAAATCGTAGGCCCGAGGGTTCGTGGGTAATGACCTGACTACGAGATGCGATGCAATATATAATCGGAGTTGCGGAGTCCGGTTCCCAAAGTTGTATCAGCATCCTTTCTAGTCACTTCTTTATATAGAAAACAGCCAAAGGGATGCCATTCTTCACGTCAAAGGCAGTCAGGGAATTCCCGCTAGACTATTATCGTTCAGTCTTTGAGGCATTTGTGAGTAGCCAGAGAGATTCTCTTTTGGGGGCAGAGAACAAAGGTGTTCATGACATCTTCAATCAACCGGAAGAACTAGACATAGTGAAAGGTTGCTCGGGACATGCAAAAGCTCACAGAAGGTTGCTACTTGACTACTCTCATTGACTATGAATGCAAGATGTGTATTTTCTCGAACAGAATTACTAAGAAGATTCTAATATTTGCTTGATTGGTACTGTACAAATGGCCAGACATGGCATGACCACATGAAGGAGTTAGGGTTGGAGTCAGTTATTTCTAACCGGCTTAGGGACCAGCTGAGGCCTTATGGAATATTCAGCCATTTGGGGTCTCCAAGGTAAGGTGCTGGAACGTATTGTATTGAAAATAAGTATAATAATTTAAGTTATTATAGTTCAAGAACTTCTTTAGCTTGAATTTTTATCTATTAAATTAGATATTTATCATTTTAAACTAATATTAATATCAAGAAATAAGCCTACTATAATTTATATAAATAATTAATCTACTGTGATTTTGGTTAAAAATTCGGAAGTTTATATAGAAACTAGATATATGTTTATTAAATAATATTTAATGTGATATAAAGTATATACAGGAAACTTAAATTTATTTATATTCATATAATAAACTAAGCTGCCAACAGTTCTACGCCTTTTTTATATATAACTTAGTACCGATCTTTTTGTTTATAAAAGATATAAGATATATCTGACATTATATAATCTTAGATCTTATAAGTTCTACTCTAGAAGCCATGTAGCTGCAAGTTTCTCAAGCAGTATATATACTTCAGCTGACACAAAAAGAGGGCTGTTGAGCGCCTCCTGATAGATCTCACGCCCTCGCTCCATGATCCATGTGTTGGCCAGATCGTCAATCCGAGGATGATTGATCACCTCCATGTAAAGCGCGACGGCTGGGTGGTACTTCATGATATCATCAAACGACAATTGAACCGCTTCCTCCTGCAGACTCTGAAGATCCGGCTCTATGGCTTCCAGGCTCTCCAAGTACTCCCACAGCTCCGGCGCGTTGAGAATCTGACAATAGCGCTTGCCTCCTTGCCTAGTGATCCAGGTGTCTCGTATTTTCCCAATGCGAGGGTGTTTGGTCTGTTCTAGAGACCACGCAACCGCGGGCCGGTCTTTCATTATATAGTCCATCGCGGTCTCACCCCCCTTATCGACCAGATCCAAAAGTTCGGGCACGAGGCCTACCAGGTCGCACACCTGTTCGGTGCTGAACTCCTCACGGTTACCCCCCCCTCCCAATCTCAGAAGATTCTTGAAGGCAGGACCCACCGCGCGGACCACGTTCGTACCGTTGGCGATCGCCTTGCGGACTAGCCTCGAGCCATGTTCAAGACCATTGCCATCGTAATTTCTATGGACAATCGCCGCCCTGTATAACGTCGCAAGCACGGGAAATCTGCTTGCCTTCCCACCATACGCAAGAATCAGCTCCAGCAATGCCCCATCGGCGGGACTCGGGTCGAAGGTCGCCCCAGCATCCAGCGCGGTGTGACGGTAATCGTCGAGGACGTTGGGCCGGGCGCCGACCTCGAGCAAAAGGAACACCGTGCGGATGGGCTCCTTGAAGGCTTTCCGGCATTTAATGACCCCGTGCAGCAACGGCCCGTAAAGGCCGCGCGACCACACGGTCGGCATAAGTCCGGCTTCCAGAAACCGTTGGATCTCCTCGCCATTCCCCTTTCTCACCGCGTCTTCCAGTCGCTGCCGGTGCCCATACCGACCAAGAGGTTCATACGCAAACCTCTCGGGGCCCGTACTCCGTTGAAATCGGAACCACGAAATGATGTCGGGATGGTCCTCCGGGAGCCTGACCCCGTTCCAGTAGTGGTCGTACGTTAGGGCATCCGCTTCCACGTGCTTGATGATCCTCTGCGCCTCATCCCGGAATACAGCCCTCAGGGCTTTGCAAGTCTTGCTGAGTCGGACTATGGATTGTCCATTGAGGTAACTGGCATAATGCAGATGGAGCTTGTTGGGAAGCTGGGGTAGTATGGCAGTCGTTGGTTGGGACATTTTGGATGAATCGACTGTGAGAAGGCCGCGGAATTACTTTCCTCTACCGATTACGAGGGCTATAAGTAGTGGTTGATGGTTCTTTCAACGGCAAGAGCCTTGGTAAAGATGTCGTAACTTTACTTTCTCCAATGTAGGGACTGGTGAATGAGATCTATATCTCCAATAAAGGTGGTGGCGAGCGCTCTTTGTGTTCTTACTTGTACTGTAACTTGTACTGTACCTTATACCTTTTACCCCGAGACAATGTCTTTGTTTAGGGCCCTTCACGCACACAGCGGTATTATAGGTAGATTGAATGGTTTCTCATTGTGGTGGCTCAAAGAATAGGAGCAACTACGAAAATCAACGATAAGTAACCGCACCACTGTTCCTTTGACCTTTTCCTTTGAGTCGTCTATACTATGGTGCCTGTAGAGTCAAACCTGGCAGACTAGTGAATGGCCCATAAAGGATCATAGAGTAAGTAGTGAAGCATGGCTGGTCTACAACCTACGTAGTATTTTCACTTTTGCTGTACCTGAGGGGTAAACACAATCTTAGAATATAGATACAAAGTACTTTTAATTGTGCTTGAGTCTTTATTTCGCGGCACTACAATCACAATTCCATGTCAGATCCCACGATAGATGGGCGTCCTGGCTTAGTGTCGGTAAGCGGCAGAGTAACACATACCTCCCTTTCCACTCAGTCGGGAGCTGTGAGCCTTTATGGTCCTTGGACCTTCCAATGTACACAGTAAAATGACCAAGGTAGACCGTCTTTGCGCTTGAGATGCGAAATCAATAACGAAAGCCAGCATTAAAGCACCTTGATGCTCTCCTGTCTATCTCAATTGTCTATTATGGAGTGGATTTACCTCAGCGCGATATTGAATCCGCTTATGAAGCAGGAGGCAATCGGAAAGAAAAGAAATGTCGGATGTGTCGGTGACCGTTGATATCCGGGTGATTGCAAATTGGTCGAGCTCTTTCCCCGCATGATTGCTGGGCTTGCTTGACAGCCTATGGAATTCGACATCATAAGATATCTCGCTCCTCCAACCCGAATCGCACCGACAGCGTAACAGTACCTCTCAGATGACTTCTACGCTCTGGTGACTCTGTGCGAGCACGATCGGCATGTAGAATTGGGCATTTGGGATACAGTGATATCAGTCTTAGAGTTGGACGGACAATTCCCACAGGATGAGCCCTGAAACATGTCCCAGGAAATAACCCCATATACCCACACGTACGACTTCGATCTAATGTATCTGATGATGTAAAGTGATACCGAGTTAGTCAAAATAGCCCTATTCCGGAAACAACGGTCTTTGCCGAGGACGAGACTCTTAAATCCCGCCGGCATATTTTGAATACGTCTATCTTTATTGGACGTGACCTCGGACACTACGATACTACCGGCATTCGTAACGGTCAGCCAGGATGATGAGTACATATAGCACGAACATCGCGACTATCATACTCACGACAGAGTTCGATGGCTATATAAACCTCTCACTGTATCCGCAAAATCTCTTTCTCTCACCACCTAGAATCAGAAATTCCCATTCTTGGTCTCTAGACTTCATTCCACCTTCAATCACCACTCTCAGAATGCGCTTCTCTCTTATCGCGCTTGCAGTGTTCGCTGCTGCCTCCGCCGCCATGAAGCTGAGCGACGTACCCGGCACCGAGGCCAATCCCCTAGATCTGGACAGCAACTATGTAGTCCAATGGACTTATGACGAGTATGTTTCTTCTTTAGATGGGCCACAGAGACCGTGATCACGGATACTAAGATATGTTGGCACAGAAATGAGAGAGACAAGCCCGTCTGGGTGGCTCTCTCGCACTACGATCAAGGCGGGTCCTCGGAATGCTACCTGCTCTCCGGCCAGCTGCGCGCGGGGGACGGAAGCTTTCGCATCCCATTACACCCTGTCTCCCAGCCGGTTACCCAAGTGTACGTTTACATGTCTTATCGTTGCTCCGATGACTACCCTCAGTTATTGGAGCTATATGACGCAAGTTCTGATATCGACCCCCATCCCTGGCATATAGCACCGGATATCGGTTCCGCCTGCACCAGACCAACCAATGCGTCGCCAACCCCGGCATCGAGGACCAGACGAACCAGTTTCGCCTCAGGCCGTACTACCCACCTACAAACTAGGCTTCTTTCATGGGCCGGTGAGCTGGGGTGAAAGTGGTTCGAGGGCACTAGGTCTTGGGTCTCTGTTCATCCACAGGTTATGCTGGGAAGGCCGCTTACAAAGCAGCCTGATCAATATCTATTCCAGGTATACAGTCTACACTGTCGCCTGTTCATTGGATATGAAGGATTGTGGATGGTCTTGATGTGTTCTGTCTCCTTGGAATCTGGAAGAGTGATGTGGGGAACCGTGTGTTATCGAGAGGCTAATTGAATTGCTAAAGCTTTTGGAGAAATGTTACTTTGTGATAGATCTTGCGTAGAAGTAGCAAGGGTGCTCAAATATCATAGATCAAGTGCGGCAGATGATCCTTCCTACCCCTCCATTGTTAGGATCAGCACACCCCAAAGGGGACGATGTTGCTGTCAAGACGAACTGAACCCTTGGTCTCAGCCCCTTGGCCCAAGCCCCGCTTGGCAGAGCCCTTCCAGATGGCACACTGATTGGCCCCCTTAGTTAGCGCCCTATCGGCATCCAGAATGGCGTCCCGGGCTTGGAGAAACGTTGGATTGCAAGGTTGTCTAGTAGACTTGCGTTAGTTGTTGACCAAGGCCAGAAAGAGCAGTGAAGACGATTACTCACAGCGCCATCGCATCCATCACCAGTTTCATAGCAAGATACCTCCCGTCCGTGGGCACCTTGTCGCGGAAGACCGGCTTGGGGCCATCGTTCTTACCGTATCGATCGATTAAATTCCACAGAATCTCGTACAGTACGCTCGCCCACACCGACCCTGCGTCATGGAGCATCAGCATCCCGTCCACGCTGGCGTAGGTGAGCGGGTTGGTGGTCAGCGAGGTCGAGTAAGGGTAGAGACGCGACCCCTGCCCCGAGGCGTTGGACGCCCAGCCACCGAAGGCGTAGTCGGTGGCGCGTGTGTCGTGGGGCTTCAGACGCACCGCGGTGGCCATGAAGTCGCTCCACCCTTCGCCCATGCCGCCGGCTTCGAAGGCCGACAGGCACCCCGAGTTGGCCGGGCCGCCCGTCAGTCGCGTCGACAAGCCATGCGTGTACTCGTGGATGACCATCCCCGCATCGAAGTCGGCGTCGCGCGGCGGATCCGAGTGCGTGAAGATGTTGATGCGCATGTGTCCTGGTTCGCCGTCGGGAGGAGCCTTGAAGTACGCGTTGTTGTACGACAGCCCGTCCTGCGCGTTCAGGATCACGTAGTCGTTCTCGCGGCCGCCCCGGCCGCTGTTGTTCCATTGGAAGTTGCCGGCTTTCTCGGTGAATCCCAGCGTGTAGAGGAGATCGTGGTAGGTGTTCGCTGTGTAGAGTAACTGGGTGATGGATGCGTTGACGTACGCATCCGGAGGGGACATGGTCGGTGAGTAGGCGTACTCGAACTTGGAGGCTGGGCTGCTGGGCCGATAGTTGTCCATGTATGGTGCCAGACCAGAGGGATTGGACTGGGCAATCCCGTTGTTTCCTCGCGTAGTGGTGTAGACGGTGTTGCCATCCCCTTGCCAGGTGAAGGGAGAGGCGGTTTTGTCCCACGGGTCGGTGACAATCGTGCGTACCCCCTCCGTTGGATCATTCAACCCCCATTCACTGCGAGAGCATTAGCTGATGTGTTTCTGTGGAATGAGAATCATAATTGGACTCTACCCACTAAACCTCGTAGGTAGCAGAAGAAGCATAGTCCACGACACCATGGACTGTCGGATTGGCGCCTGCATCCACGTATGTCAAGTACCAATTCGAGTCCATGTGCGCCTCGACTCTCCAAGTTAGAGCGAGACTCTCATCTGACTTAACTAAAAAAACTAATCTTGCTTTGGGCTCAGTGATGGTCTCCGACGTGCCCTGGAATACGTGATTATTTGTCCCCTGAACTCTCTCGCACTTCAAATTGTCCAGGGAAAGTGGCAGGCTCAATGCTTTAGATGCACGGTCAAGGGCCGTCACTGGATCGATGACACCCTGTCTCAGAAGAGGGTCGCCGTGGGGAATCTTTCCAGTATAGAACGAGTTCCCGTACGAAAAGACTGTCCCATCTTTTCCGACCTATATAGATCGGTGTATTATAAATCATATACAACACGAAAGGCAGATCGCAACACCCACATTGACATTGAAGTCGGCATTATCAATGTCCATGTCATGGACAGTTTGTCGAAAGTGGACATGCGCCAGGTCGTTCTCACCGATGTAGTGGTCATCAATAATGCGAAAGGCTGCCCCGGGGACGATGGTCTCGACAAGCCGCGTTGCAGTCTCCAGATAGTTGGCTTGTTCAGCTCGAGCAGCTAGGCGGATGTTGTCAGCCACCGCGTCAATTGAGTTCACGTAACTGGCCCGTGAGGTCAAACGTAAAGTACTCGGGTCTATAGCCTCAAGTTTCAAGCTGTTGGATAGCTGTAATGGAAGAGCCAGCACGCACAAAGAAAGCGAAACTGCAACGATGATAGAGGCCCACATCTCGATTGTCACGATTTGAAGCAGAAAATAAAGATGGACGGAGCTGGGCTGAGTCAGGAATTATCCCTTCTCTTCCACATCCTCGATTCACTCGATAGGAACACATGAAAGTCTTTTAAACGCTTAGGACATATGGTCATCCTCTGCAGTCGCCAGCCCGGATCCTATCTTGTACATGCCCTTGAGTTCTGCAAGATGTTCTGCCATCGTGCTCGATGAAGCCAGGCCATAATAACGATAATTCCATATCCAGCGAGTTGCAGGAAGCATCTGGCAGCGATCTCGCCTGTATCTGAAGCTAAAGATGTGCCTATGAAATAGAAAATTGAGATCACGCGGAATTCCATGCGCATGTGCCTTCGCTGAAGCTTTTGTCCCTCAAGACATAGTTACACCAGCCAATCCCGTTTTGACATCCAGTGTAACCCATGGCTGACCAGGGGCTCTGCCAGGACCCGAGATATGAAGAATGGTCTATTCTTCCAAAATTCGTTCTCTCTACCGCGGAAATTTAGCACCCACTCCCTAGGATGAGAGATGAGAGATTGGGGACGAAGAAGTGGCTTTTCTCTTTTTCTTTTCTTCATTTTGCCTGCCAGCATGCCAGAAGGAGACATCTGAGTACAGGCCTCAGCAAATTCATAGCTATGCACTACATGCATTGCCGATGCGCAAAGTCCTCTGAGCAGGAAGTATTGACGTGGCTCTTCAGAACATGTATACATCACGTACCAACCCATTGGTAAATGTTGGATGGCATATGTACTATACGAGTGTTGCCCTGAGAGTATGTCTAATTGCTCTCGATGCAGTTCCTGTGACGGACTACGCTTATTTGAATTGAGAAGCTTCAACAGCACACGACTTGTGACTTGCCGGGTGGCCAAGGACCAGCAAACTACAAATCGGATAAAATATCATTCGCCACGTTTCCCGCTCCTTAGTTCCTGTGAGACGTGCTGAAAGTCAAATCGAATGCGACCCTTTCGGTCCCAGCTGGCGAAAGCCCGGGTGCTGCCGTGTTGCATTGGCCTGGAACTGTCTTCTCGTCGAGATCGATGATGAGGTGGCGGAGGATGAAGGGGGATTAGCACTGTCACCGCAATGCAAATTGCCCCCCTGGGTGATGAAGTTCTTACTGACGTGTCGGGGTCACTGAGGTGTGTGTGCCCTCCATAGCAGATCTGACTGGAGGACAGAGCTTATTACTCTAATCCAATGATACAGTCGAGTCAGACTTTGAACTTTATGATTGATGATCTTTGAAAAACTTCATCTGAACATGGATCTATACAGACGTATTTATCCCCCGAGGACTGGTCAATGACAAAGGGAGACCAGAAAGCTGACGGAAAGACAGAAAAGATGAAGAAAGGAGACAGCAGACCCTGTCAGATGCGCGTATCCAAGGCAATACATATGCTAGCGGACGTTTAGAGATCTTACCTGTGTGTAATGGGGTTCATCAAGTGTGTGAGGGAAATGTTAGTTTCATTCGCATCTCTTTGTTCGCAACACTGCTCACCCACGCTACAGCCAAAGCTTCTAGAATTACTCGAGTCATGTAGAGATAGCCGGGTAGAGTCAGGGGGGCCAGCAAAAAAGGAACAAAAAACGACAACAGTCGGATTTGAACCGACGCCTCCGAAGAGAATAGATTTCTAGTCTATCGCCTTAGACCGCTCGGCCATATTGTCTTTTGTTGAAATTGGCCACAGTTTCTAGCTTTATGTCACTGTGCCAAATGAGTCTCAGCCGTGCCATTCAACAAGCATAAGTTATCTTCCTATCGTATGTCACCAGAGATAAGTTAGTTGACTTTGGTTGTAATGGTTCAGTTGTCGCATTTATCCAATGGCCTACACCAAAGTACTCTACAAGAGACCGTGCAATTTCACAGCTGGAATTCATAATAGCATTCTGGAGTTCAAAGAGAGAGATGAATAATTGTATAGTCAAACAAAGAAATAAAAGACCTTGGGGGGAAGGGCGGGGGGGGGGGGCAACCCCGACACAGACGCTCATTCGCAACATGCACTTGAACTTGTGTCTTTCTTTGATGAAGTCCTTTAAGAGTTAGTGTTTGAATCAGAACAATAGACAACAGCTACATTCAAGGCAACCTTGCCTCACCGACTCCCAGCCAACGCGTGGTGAGTATAATTCGAGAGTGAATCCGTGTCGATAAGGGAGTTCTCTTTTCGGAATAGGAGGAAACCCTGCAGAATATCATTGTTGGGTGAAATCCCGCGTTCTTAAAGTCAAGGTCAATAGACATAATATACTTTCCTTGATGTTGATCACAAAATCGGCCAGTTGTCACAATCAATTTACTATCACAGTAAAGATGGAATTTGGTCAATCCATTGTACAAATTCAGTGAACTTAGTGACTCATGGTCTTGGGTGCGTCCATGCAGAGCAGCTAGCAGATAGATTGATGAAGATGATCAAAAATTCAGCTAGATGAGGCTATCTGAGCGAGGAACTATCAAAATGCGTGGCGGGCGGTGAGCAGCCTGGCTCTCGAGGTCTGGACAGTTTCTCCTGGACGTCAGTCTGGTGGCTGTTGCCTTCACCTTCACCTTCACTGTCAACGTCAAGATCCTCGCTTTTCTTTTAGTCTCACATCATTTCGTCTCAGCCCAACGGCCCACACGAATTTGAGTTCGGCCTCAGGTCCGGTCTTCATTTTAATCACACTTGAAAGGGCGCTCGGGTTCATTAAGATTGACTAACTGAAGATGGCTGCTACGCTACCACTGGAGCTACTCATCCAGATAGGAACATCTCTCGAGAGTACGGGCGCCCCCGTCACGCCGTGTGTGACTGTCAGTCGGCGCTGGCAGGCAGCATTCGAGCCGTTGCTCTACCGCAAAGTGCACCTCTACACCTCCGATAACCTTGAGGATTTTAGCCCAGGTCGCGCGCTTTCCCTGGCGAACTTTGGTCGGATCACATTCGGGCTAGGAGTTTTTCGAAGAGCTTGGATCCGACACATTGAATGTTGTCTTGTTGTTCCACACGCGCTATATGACTGGCAGACAATTCAACTGGAAGATTATACCACCGATAACGAGGTACGAAGAGACAACGACCGTGCATTCCAGTCCGGTATCATCGCCCTTTTCAGGACGCTTAGTGACTGGGACCCAGGTCTTCGCCTCACACTGCAACTATTGATCTCAGGTCGGGAAGAGACGCTCGAGCCAAATACATACGATTGTACATTTACCGGACCGGTTCCCTGGAGCTTCCCAGACGGATGGATACTGGCTGTTCCTCTTTATCGGGCATCGTTCGGTGACATTGACCCACCTACGCTTCCAGTTGTCCCATGTATCGACCGACTTTGGTTCTCAGACGACCCTGAGTTCGATTTTCCTTCTGATATTTGGGTAGGCGCGGCCATGCAAATCGCTCGAAACTGCTCCACCATGTCTGGACTGCGGCTCAACATGCAAGAGCATGTCAAGCCAGATCATTTGGACTATATGCAAGCTCGTCGTCGGGGTGAGTACCTTTGCTACAAGATTGGGGTATTGAGGGGTTCTGCCTTCTGATGATTTCCATACCAGCACTTGCCGAGGGAATAAAATCACTTCCACCGACTCTCAGAGACTTGGAACTTTTAAGTTCATTCGAGTACCCTTGGAAGTGGTCGATGCCTGGGCTGAATCTTCTGGGATCCGATCACGACATGTTGTCTCTCAACCGTCGCAACCTCAGCATCAATCTCAGACGGCTAGACCTGGATGAGGTATCGCTTGCAGCTGACGTTCTGTTTCCCCTTGATGAACAAGAAAATCCCTTACCGGAAAGTCTCTCGCTTCACTGGCCACAACTTGAGGTCATCAATCTCCGTGTGCCGCCAGTTCTCCCCACCGGTAAGCATACCTCCAACATCGCAATAATCCACATCTCACCGTCATTCATAGGCAGATGGGTTACTCTTCACCTCCCCGAGCGACAAAAGGAGCTCGATGCAATAGAGGACTGGTCGGACATCATCCGTGACGTGGAAAGGGGATGCGGAGACCGTAAACTGTTGGATACTGACCATTTTCAACGAGTCCTCATCTCTCTCGGTCATGCTGCCCGTCGGATGCCCAACTTGACGTCACTGAGCTATGTGATTGATGCCTACCCGGAGTTTGAACTTCTTGTGGGGTTCACTCCTTACGAACATGCAGAATTATCCTTGTACTCTGAGCATCGACCCGATAAACATTAGTGGGGTGTAACTGCAAGGGTTAGTCTATCCGCCGCGGGCCATCCCCGCTAGCCCTCAGTGCTTTCCCGGAGTAGCCCTGGATCATTAAGATAAAAGTCTCTCGCCTTCCCACTATCTCCCCCACTACTTCGTTACCCTGATTGAATCCTCACCCAGAATGACCGACAAGTCCCTCCAAGGCAAAAACGCCATCATCACCGGCGCCTCCCGCGGCATCGGCCGCGGCATCGCCCACGAACTCGCCCACCGCGGCGCCAACATCCTCCTCACCTACCAGAGCGCCCACGCGCAAGCCGAGGAAGTCGTCTGCGACCTCATCCAGCGACACGGAGTAGACGCATTCGCCGTGCAGGCCGAGGGCAGTGACATCGACGCGCCTCCGCGCATCGTCCGCGCCGCCGTGGAGCGCTGGGGCGGCACCATCGACATCATCGTCAACAATGCGGGCGCCAGGGACGACTACGCCTTCGAAGAGATGTCCCACGCGGCGTGGGAGGCGCAGCTCGCCACGAATCTCCGCTTTCCGGTCTTCCTCATCAAAGAGGCTACCCCGTACTTTGGCAAGGCGCCCCGCATCGTCAACTTCTCCAGCAGCTATGCGCGCGACGGCCATCCGGGGTGCGCGGCGTACGTGGCTGCCAAGGGGGCGATCGAGAGTCTGACGAGGTCGTTGGCCACGGAACTGGGCCATAAGTATAATGCGACCGTCAATTGTGTGAGTCCTGGCCCGGTGGATACGGAGTTGTGGCAGCGAAGCATTGAGGATGCGGAGGCGCGGCAGGATTGGGAAAGGGTGGTCAAGAGTACACCTGCTGCCCCGAGGGTGGCGGACGTCGATGATATTGCCCAGGTGGTGGCGTTCCTCGTCGAAGAGGGCAGTCGGTGGGTTACGGGGAGTGTTGTGAACGCTAATGGGGGGTTGCTGTTTAATTAAATGTCTGGATGACATGGTAAAGACTTTTAAGGCCTATATTTGTACATATGCTTGGATGGAATAGGCCACATCTAATGCTAGTTAACGGTGTCTACCTTATGACCCATGATTTCATCGGCTCTTTTCAATACAGCGCGCTGTCCCTGCTTCAGATCCCTCTCTCCAGTGTTCCACTTCTTCAGTCCCAGAGATCTCAGTCCCTGCTTATTCGTATACCGAGCTAGGTCTGCCTGTGTTGTGCGTCCAATGTGTTCACTTTCGCCCTTGCCTCCCGGGAAGTCGGGCGGTGGCACACCATTGAGGAAGTCTTCCCTCTGGCGGCGAACATACTGCGCATTGGCCTCGGTCACAGGGCAAGCAGGAATGTACAGAACACTGCTGTCTCCGCGACCTTGGTGGATCTTATCGACGGAATGGATGGCTGATTCTAGTCAGCAAAATCACGCAGAGATATCGACATGAAGGGACGTACTATCACAGTGCCACGCGACGTAATCGCCCGGGGCAATCTTCGGCATATGCACCATGGTTTTGTCCAAGTGCAAGTGAGGATGCAAGATATCGTTCAGTTCCTGCGCGTAGCCCGGCGTGGCGCCCTCCAGTTTGCTGGACATCGACTTCTCAAGACGCCAGTTTGTCGGGTCGAGGTAGGTATCCAGGGCCAGTCGCGAGCAGTCTCCGGCCAGGGGAGACAAGATCGGCTCAAAGAACGGGCGCAACAGGTAGTATGTGGTGGCCATGGACAGCAGAGGGTTGACGAGAAGCGTGCCCTCCCGGGGACCTGTGTGCGACATGCTCAACCAGCCCTGGAACATCCGGAACATGGAACACGCCCCGGCCCCGTTATACAGGTCCGCAACTGCTGGCACTCGGCAGCTGGCTTCCCAGGGGTCATACTCTTCCCACTGACCCTCCCAGATACGTTGGTAGACCCGTCCCAATCCGTATCCGTTGTCTTCCCAGCGCTCAACGCTGCCGCCGTCCACATGAGGTCCCAGGGCGAACCCGGCATCACCTGGCTGGCGAATGCGCAGGCGGTCGGCATACGTCAAGGGGTGGGTGGGGGAGATGAGGGCATCTTCCGCGCGCGAGTGCCAGAAGCTCATGAGGAATTGCTGGGTCTGCAGCATGTGGGGATGCAGACGAGCACGCATCTGAGGCTGGGACCAATATAGTTCAAATACTTGCGGATCCTGGGGAGGGAATGCTACGGTGGATCATGTCAGCGAGAAGGAGACTCTTCGATTTTTATCTCAAGGGAGCTTGTCATACCTCGAGTCTGAGGATTGGCGCGCACGTACGCCTCAATCTCCTCCTTGTAGGCGCGGGCCTCGCTCTCAGGAATCACACCCCGCACCACCGCGACACCACGCTTACGGAGCTCGTCCTGGAACTCCGACGGTGCAGCGTGGATGTCTTTGAAGTTGATGGAGGGGATAATGTCCGAGCCCCTTCTGGCGATGAGTTCCACTTCATCACGCAACCGGCACAGGAGTCGATCCCAGCTTTGTTTCACCTGATCTTCGCGTCCAGCAATCAGACGCCGCTTCTGATCGACGAATCTAGGTGGCAGTGCTTGCTCTTTGACTCCTGAGAGGGAGACAAACACTGAGGAGATGTCGCCTTCTTTGCGAGGGGTCTGTGTCGAAGTGGCCAGCTGCCGATGTGCTCTGGGTTTGGAGAGGATGCGCAGAGCCGGACGGAGGCTCGCGGTCTGGACTTGTGAAATATGCATGTTGTAGAGAATTGGCTTCAAACCAAGTTAATTGTCGCCTTGTTTGTGTTTCTGTCTAAGTATTGTGCAAGATTCACAGGGGCTCTTATACATCATAAGCCTGCGAATATCTGCCTGGGAAGCAGGCGGGTGGATTTCCTAATGCGGTAACTTACCGCCCGCCAGCCCTGAGCGGCGCCACTTGACCCTCATCACTTATAAATCAATCCCTGCGCTCCTGCATTTTCCAAGCATCCAAACGTGACTAAAATCGCAACTTGGCTGAAATTACATCATGGCCCAGTCTTTCCAGCCAGCCGGTCCAAGCGAGCGGCATGCATTTGCCGGGGTTCTTCTAGACTTTGATGGAACAATCATTGATTCGACCGAAGGTAGGCGTGATGAATCTCCCCACGGGTGAATATGTGGCTGATATTGACGCGAAGCAATCGTGGAAAACTGGAAAAGGTATGCCTTCCACACCGTGGCTCCTCGCTGGTACATGACCAGTAGCGAACAACACCCACCTCCTTCACTACCCCCATCATACTGAATGTGTCTAGAGTCGCCGCCGAATTGGGGCTGGACTATCGCGACATCCTCCGTGCCTCTCATGGTAGGCGAAGCATTGATGTGCTCAACGAACTGGACCCCAGCAAAGCAAACTGGGAATGTATGTCTGAGCGTCCCCCCCTTCCGCTTTGTCTTGTTCCCGTCCGTTGTGGCAGTCATAGCACTAACGTACACCCAGATGTGAGCGCCATGGAGGCCAGAATCCCGCTTCTCTCCTCCACGCCTGCGGTGGAGATTGCGGGAGCCCGGCGGCTACTGGAGCAACTGAACCGCTATTCCACCCCGCATGCCATCGTGACCTCGGGCAGCAAGGCATTGCTGGATGCCTGGTTGACTATCCTTCAACTCCCGCGGGTAATGAAGGCCACGACCGCCGAGGATGTCAAAATGGGCAAGCCGGACCCTGAGGGGTATCGTATAGCCAAAAAGCAATTGCTTCAACATCGTTCTGGGGAAGGAGAAGTTCTGGTGATGGAAGACGCTCCTGCAGGAATTGTCGCTGGCAAAGCGGCGGGATGCAAGGTGCTGGCTGTGACAACTACGCATACGGTGCAGCAGTTGAAGGAGGCTGGGGCGGATTGGGTGGTTAGGGACCATCGCTTTGTTGGGTTCGAGGCTCCGGCCGGGTCTGGGGATGTGTGTCTGACCTTTCATGATCTTTTGTAGTCACCGGTATAAGAACATACCCTTTCTGCCTGTATCGAGAGAGTCCAGAAAATATCTAGACAGCGCAGATTGCTTGCGTATAAGCAAGCCCCCTTGAATACATAATCATTTTCGTTGACATTCGCCCCCGAGTTGTGACATAGCTCCCAACTGACCACCTGTTAGACCAATTACCATAAAGAAAAGCTTTGGCTTATGGCAAGTTCTACTTCGAATCTGAATTTTAAACTCTCTGGTTCAATCGGCCTTCATACGTATGGAGGTGGTAAAGGCCCCTGCAGTAATATTAGTCTGTCGACAGCAGAGGTATAGCTCGGTGTCCTGCTCAGCTCTTCAATATCGACCCACCCAGAGTCTAGTGGCATGTGCCCGCACGGCGAAGAACATCTCGATATTACAGGTGAGCATACCCGTGACTGGTCTTCCATGTTTTCCCTTTCAGCAATCAATGGGTCCTCTTGGTGTTTGCCATACACCGGAGGAATGATATGTCTGGAATAGAGGGATGATGCCTTGAGCTGGGTGATATCCACATTATGCATGAAGATTACAACGGGTATCAAGGCACGGACCTGACCGCTGGAGTTTAGCGCAAATCTTTTCACCATCAAAGTCCAATGCACTTACCGACGACACGTGTCCGTCCATGTTGATGATTCGGATGGTGACGATCACGTTGTGGGTGATATCGAAGTGGGAGGATTGCACCGCCTGGGCGCAGTCGTAAATCGATGTCGGCAAGGCGACGAGCGGTGCAACTTCAAATCCGCCCTCAATCTCCTGGGTTGAGATATCCCCGTCTTTTGTAGACGAGAACTCCTTTCCACATACTGCGCGCGAGCGATCAATTCGTTTCACAAACCCACCGTCGAAAGATGGATTTGGCGCAAAGTGGTGAGTCTCAACGACTTCGACTGTAATGCTTTCAATCTGAAGACCCTCGGTCAATGGGGAGATTTGTATCCGAGGGCATAGATCCGATCCAAAGGGTATCTGAGTGGCAGGAATGCTGATGGAATATCGGATTTTGCCCGGCCACTCGTTGTCCAAAGTCTGTGAAATAGCAGGGTCAGGGGCTGCTTGTCTCCGTCCGTCCAAAATGAAGAGAAACCCACATGTGCAGTGGCAGAAGAGTACCACTCACTGGGCGCATGGCTGCGATACACCTTGATGTTCTTGTGGCATGTCAGATCGCTCGCAAATTTCCTCGTCACGCGTCCAATCAGCAGATACGAGACCGAATAGCCTTCCACGCCGTCCACGGACTCTCGCATATGCTCTCCTGATCCTAGCGCAAGGCTCAAAGGTATCTCATGTCTGCCCGGGGCATAGATGCGGGATTGGAAGACGGTTGTCCGCATCAGCTGCCAACTGCGCTGGAAGATAACCGACTCGGTGCAGCTTTGGGTCAACGTCTGGGACCTCTCGAAGCTGCCCCATCTGGGGATGCTAATGCATCAGCCTGATCTTCGGTGACAATATGTGAGCTAGGCTGCTTGTAACACGTACCGTCGCTTCATGATTCCCCGCAGTTGAACGTCGATCGATCCTATCCGCATGGGCTGCGCTAGACTCAAGACCAACTTGCCCGTGATGTGAGGACTCTCCGAGATGAGGCTGCCTTCTGCCGGCAGAAAGACCCTATGGGCATTTACGCTATGGCAGCTCACAAGTTAAACACTGTTTCATAGAAGGGCTCGTAGCAGGTTAGAGGACATACTCCAATTCGAAGTGTAGATTACAGCCGTGGTCCGACATCGTCGCTCAAGGATAAAGGGCGTTGAACTGTACTGATTGTACGTCTATCCCCAAGCAATAACCGATAATCTTCGTTCCTTTAACCCTTGTTTCTCGGACTGCAACTGATAGATTCGCCCTGCATGCGGCCCCACCTTCCCTGCCCATTCAGGAAACTTTCCCGCCGAGATGGCGGCCCGCAGAGCGGCTATTTCCCCTTGAGGAAATTTTCCCGCTCGGCTGCCGCCTCCCGCGCCTGCGCCTTTTTCCACTGCTCGCTCTCATTAACAAGCAGTCAGTAACTTAGTCACAATGCATTGATGACAAGCATTGACAAGCATTAACAAGCCTCTAGCTTGCTTCATAGCCATTCTCTGGCCGATTGGAGTCCCCTATCCTTCACTCCCTCCAGATCAAGATGGAGGTGACCTGGCTAGCCGACTCCCCACAAACCCGCTCTCGAAAGAGGGCGTTGAGAGCCTGCGACCTTTGCCAGCGGAAAAAGGTGTGTAGCCGCTCACTGAAGCCGCGGCATCTTGCGAAAGTATGGCAGCACTGACACATTCTCTCTGCCGATCGAAGAAACGCTGTCAGCATGCTGGTACGCAGCCAAATTCCAGTCGCATGCGTCGAAGACAGGCCGGACCCAGCCCCACCGCAACGCGACCCCAGCATCCGTCTCGGGCTTCGACAACACCAGATGCCATTCTGCCGGCTCGTTTTGTTGGCGAGATGAATCCGGAGGCTGTGATCCGAGAAAGACTGGCAGGGGGTACCAATTCTACCCCTCTACGCGACCGAGTGGGACTCTGGATTCCTGCCTCTGGCGTTGAAAGTGGAGGGGATCCATCGAGGAATGCTACCGATGACATGAGCAACCCAGCGCCAACGTATCCCGCAGGGGAAGTGTATCCGCCTCATGTGTTGGACACTTTAATTCGTCGACGGTTCGAGTCTGCAATGAAGGCCTGTAGGCCACTGCCTTCATCCACCCGCCTTCCACTCTTCGGCATCTATTTTTCCCAGGTCAACCACATCCTGCCCATCGTCGATCCACGCATAGCTATCTCCTCCCCCTTCCTGGAGCGAGCAATCTGTCTAATTGCAGCCAAGGCAAGAGCTGCTGCTCCGCATCTTTACTTGACCGAGAATGCCGCCGTGGTGTCGCCTCGAGTGTTCTGTACGGAAGTCTACCAAGGACTCGAAGATGCGCTGACCGAAGGGCTCGAGCAGGATCGTGTGACCAGGATTCGAGTGCTCGCATTGATGGCCTTGCACTGTGAGAACTCCGAAGGATCGGAAATTGCGTCGATGCATCTCTCGCAGGCCATTCATCAAGCACAAACCGTGGGCATGCACCTCAAGCGACCGGGTGATGCCGACTTTGTACATCTCAAGCTTTTCTGGAGTCTATGGACCCTGGACAAGCTTCTTGCATCGATGTTTGGTCGCCCGGCCCTGATCAACGACCATGATATTAGTATAGAGAGGCCGTGCAGCGCAATGAATGCCCCCCAAACCCCTACAACCGCCTTTGACGTCTGGTTCAGGATCTCGGAACTCTTGTCCGAGGCTATCTTATTCTACCGACCCGGAACCAACCACGAGCAAAGGGCAGAGAAACCATTTCCCAGCTTTGAGGAAATAGTGGGCCCTTTCGGCGAGGAACTTGGCTTTGCCTCCTTGGGTGAGTGATTTTTTCTTCTTATCCCGAATGGAGCGATGTAGGTACTGTCGCGGTAGAGAGAGACTGACGGGATTTATCCTTATCTTTGTGCAGAACTTTTGGAGCTCTATTACCAAGCAGTCGCAATTGTCTTTCACCGAACGATGGATAACGCGACCTCCGAATCGCACAACTTTGCACGCAACCAACGAGGTCTCGCAGCCATTCGCGTTCAATCCATCGTGGCGCGAGAGTGTTCCGAGGACTTGCCTCCTTTGCCGATCGTATCGTATGCAGTCGGATTGTCCATGAGCGTGTCCTATCGCCAATACCGGTCCAGCAATCTTATCACCCATCGAAAACGAGCTGCAACCGACATCGACGCGTGTTGTTCACTTCTTGAGGGCTTGAGTGTCTCGTGGTACTCTGCCGAAGCGATGGCCCGGTTGGGCCGCAAAGCTCTCCAGCAAATCCACGAGAGTGATCCAGGCTTGTACGGGGATGAACTCGATGTGCATGGGCCTGCCGTGCAGTCTCCACAAGCGACTCGGAATAAGCGTACGCGAGCGGCTCCCGCCGCGACTGGAGACGAAGAAAGTATGTCAATGAACGTGACTTATGCGCCCGTGGCACAAGAACCCGTTGTATACTATACCGGAGACCACGATTGGGCGATAGGTGACATGACCGACCTAGATCTTGCCTTCGATGACTTCTTAGATCTGTCTTTGCCGACCAATTTCTAATTTGCTTCATGTCTCTCCGGGCCTGATGTAGAGCCCCGAGGCAATACATCACAAACGTTAAGGACGACAGAATTCATTCCTACTCAATAAGTTTGAGGTGTGGTGGTAAGCCTAGTACTTTATCTCATTTTATCTTCTATGCTGCTAATCTGACCTTCATTGCCCTTTAGCCTTGTGTTTTGTGGCAGATGGTTTGTTACACACCATTCAGGTAACAAAGCAGGCTTTACCTCAAGGCAAGGTCCAAGTTCGCAACGGCATCTTCAGTTACAGTTTGGCAGACACCGTGGAAATATCCTTCAACAGCCGCACAGTATCCCGAACAGCTACCTGACCTCGCTCGATGGCTCCATCGACAAAGCCCCGCCAACCATCCGCCCAGTCCGCACTTGCGAAAAGAATGCGACCGTGCGGTTTCTGGAGCTCTTGCAGATGGGCCGATGCACTGTTGGGGCCCCAGCAGGCCCACACGCCCTTGGAATACGGGTCGTTCATCCAGTCATGGGTCGCGTATGCTTCAACAGTGACACCGGGCTTGATATCCCGCTTGAACCTTTGCACGATATACTCACTGTCGGTCTTCTGGGTCAAATGCCCATTGTACCCGAAGCCTATGCACCAGGTGCCCGATGGTCCCGAAGGCTGGGTGCCGTTGTGGTCCGAGAACGCAAAGACGAACTCCGAGTCGCTGGCGTCATTGGCCGTCCAGAACCAGCCGGGCAGCGTTTCACGTAGCTTGAAGTGGATCTTTGCGCCGCGGTTGATGTGGCCTTGGCTCACGGCGGTTTGACGAAGGGGCGAGAGGGAAGGGTTAAATCGGATGTCGCCGAGACAGTTCCTGGCTGTGCGTTAGCAACTGCATTTACACTGCCGGAACATACGCGACGAGAGGACTTACAGTGGGATCGTTGAGATGACCGCGCCAGCTCGGAACCTCCGTCCATCCTTCGTGTGCACCTCAACACCATCCACCACATGGTTCACTTCGGCGACAACCGTGCTAAAACTAATGTCCCCGGCATACTCGCTGAGAATCGCCCGAGCAAGGGAGGTCATCCCGCCCCGACCCAGCTTGTAAATCCCTGCCAGCTCGAACACTCCCGCCATGCTGTGACCCCCGAGCGCAAACCAGCGCAGTGCGTCGGTGAACCCTGTCTCCTTCGCCGGGGCACTGCCGAACGTGCTAACGTTGGACGCGAACAACTCCTTCTCCCATTGACCCAAGTCTGCCAGCTGATCCAATCGGTCCTGAACACTGAGATGATCGTACTTCTTCCACGGTGTGGGCGTCCGCAGCGGGTCATGGGGATACGGCATCAAGGCCCGACTGTCCAACCCGTCGATCGCGAAGACCCTCTGCGCCACACGCTCCAGAACCGGTCCATATTGCTCGTGGGAAACCTTCTCCACCGCACCGCCTGACGACTTGAACAACTGCTCATGGGGCGCGTAGGTCCCCGCGGAGGTCTTCAGGTTCCGGCGCAGTCCGTACCGATGTAGCTCGGCGTAGAGATGCGGCTGGTTCCAGTGCACCCAGGTGCCGCCCATTTCGATCTCCTCCCCGAGCACTCGGGCCGTCCATGTGCGCCCGCCGATGCGATCGCGGGCTTCCACCAGGAGAACGGCCAGACCGTGCTTCTGACTCAGGTCGCGGGCTGCGGTGAGGCCCGCGAACCCAGCGCCGATGACGATCACGTCATAGCGGTTGCGGAGGGTCGGGGAGCTTGGTTGCACTGCATCCGTGGGCAGGCCAGAGGTCGTTTCGGTGGGAGTCCATAGGAAGCCCTCTTTTGAGCGAGACATGTTGCGAGTGTGGTTGATAATACGGAGAAGCGGTTTTCAAGGCATAGAACCAGAGATCCGGCTTCGCTAAATAATGTCATAAGAAAAGGATTGGTGACCGCGTCATGCCATTCCATAGAGCACTTCGGCGCCCGCGCATCCCGAAAGCATCTCGAGTTCATGCGGACTTGCAAATTGTTATCGCTCAGCTGAATATACCTCGTACTCCTCATGTATGCACGTTGATCGCGCTGCGGGTGACGCGAGAGAGTCCAACGCACTTTTTTGCCGAATCCGGTAAGGCTAGCTCAGAACCCTGAGGTGGAGTACAGTCGCAGATCAAGAAAAGCATGTGGAACATCTTAACCTGCGTATCTCTGGGAATCCTTAATATAGTGCCCAGTGATAAGGAACTATGTTGACACATACGCCTGACCATAAATTGTTGCGATTACATTCAGCCTTGCTGGTCTATCGAGATGTTGATTGCCCTATCGTACACTGTACAAGTCATAGTGTTCGAGGATAGCCGATATTTCCCCGTCGGCAGAGGATCATTATTTGTTTCTGTGATACATGACAATGGATGTACAATGTATTCAAGGGTACATGGCACTCCCCAGTTTACTCAGAGTTTAGCCGGCAAACGCCCCCCACACTTCCACGCCACCCCGTAACTATCCGAGGAAAAGGTGATGGTGCTACCTCGAGGAAAGAAGAACGTATCGCCTGGTCTGACGGTGGCGATCTGTCCAGTTTCGTCACGAAGGTTGATCTCTCCTACCGAGTGGTTCCAATCAGCTAACCTAGGCTTCGGTTCCAGGAACATGCGGCTCGTGCACTCACCCTCAATGACTACTCCAACTTCATCGTAGGTATACTCTGGGGGTGTTGCTTCTGGACCTTTTTCGATTCGGAACCAGGAGCCAACTATTGGATTTCCCAATTCGCGCTTCTCTGTTCCGAGGAGGTCGTCTTTTTCGTTTTTCAGCCCGTGATGTTATCAGACTCCTAGGGGGGTGTTGGGGCAAAGGGCTGACCGAAGAAGACATTCGAGATGCTGCCGTAGTTGGGAAGCTTGTGGGCTTCGACCTTGCTTTTGACTTGGAGGACCATGGTGGGTGTTTAATGGTGGTTGTGGTGTGCTTTGTCTGTGATACTCTACCGTGTGAACGGCGGTTTATATAATTAGATGTCCGGGTCTTGGATCGGCACATGGTAGTCGGACGGTTGCTAATAGTATATCACCACTCGATGACTAGCGATTCATGTAGTGAAGCATTCGAGACAACCAAGTGGCTTCAAGACTGCGTGTATCAATTTGCTCGCTTAGCGTGTATAGGAAGACTTCAAGGTTGCTGGCAGTATCTACTGGTTTCAAAGATGATCGTTGAAAAAGGACTAGCGCCAGTATGGAGCACATACAACCAATCGCATCTTGTTCCTTGACGCACTATTTGACCAAATGCGGCTAGCGTCAATAGCCTCAGGCTGTGTATGCAATAATCCGAACCATCTTCATCGATATTGGCAGTCGATGCCACCCTTAGACAATGCTAGCCAAAGATTGTCTCCAATCGCTCGGCAGCCATCACTTCCGTCCACTGGACGTACTCGAAATCCCCACCAGGCTCGTCTGCAACCCTCCGTACATCGGACAGGAACCAGACCCGGTCCAGAATCTCCTGCGCCCGGGGGATGGCGGCAACGCCAATGATTCGGTGGGTGGTCTCGATGCGCTCACGCACAAAGTTCCGCCAGAAGAGATAGGCATCTTCCTGCAGGGTGGAGCTCAGGATATCTGGTGAGGGTTGACCAGTCTCGTGTGGCTGCGGGGCAGGGCACACAGGAATCTGCAGAGCGCTCCCGGCAATAATCAGCGGTATCGTGAGCAGGCAGTAGACGCCGGAGGTGGTGGGAAGGACTCCGATAGCGGCCAGAACATTCGTGGCCAGGGTTAGAATACGGTGGGTCCGACTCGATGCCCACGAAGCCTGGCCATGCAGCAGCGTTTCGTCCTTCGACCCCGCATGGAGGTCGGGGAAGGTCATGTACAGTTGGAGGAGGCTTATCTGTTGATAAATCCGGGCCAGTCGTTGCAGGTGGTCGACAGGAGTTCTTGCATCCACTGGGTCTTCTATCTGCTCCTGCCCAGGGACTTGGTAGCGGAGGAGCGTGGTTTCAACGCGTCGAGCGTGTACGATCATCTCGGTGCTGGCTTGCTCCCACCCACTCGCTGAGGGGGCGGCGACAGACATCTGACGAAGCAGAGACCGGTGTCTTGTCAGGGTGCCGATCTTAGCCAGGCAGGCAAACAATCGCGTACAAATGCCGGTCCAGGGGTTGACGTAGATGGTGGGCGGCTCATCGCCCGCTAAGTAGGCGGTTGCGTCCAACGGTTGAGTGTGGACGAAGGAAGTCACTGCTTCCCAGTAGACCATGAGACCAGTGATCAGACTTCTGGTTCGAGGACAAGCTTTCACTCGGGAGGATGGGCCTGGTATCGTAGAGGCTGACAGCCATTTGCGATATAAGACACGGGCGCCGTATAGATGAGTGATACCTAGCTGCATCGGATCATGCCATCCCTATCTCAAGCTGTCAATTGTGGTGGTGCAAGGATAGAGCGGATGACTTACCTCAGTCATTCCCAAAAGTATGCTACCAAGAAGCATCTCGACGGTCCTATCCAGTGACGATGCGCTCTCTCTCCGACGCAGGGTAGACACTGCCTCTATCTCCGCTTTCAGACAGGCTAGTGCTGTTGATCGGTGGGTCAAGGTGGTCACCATATCACCTCGTATTGGGGTGAGATGAGCGGCTGACATGGCCAGGACACAGGAGTGGATCAGTGGACGAGAGCTTATCAGGGCTCCGAGCTCCATGCGGAAGAAGTTCTTGTGCGAGTCAAAACAGGAGTTCACTGGACAGACCTTGGAGAAATAGTGGCGTAGCAGAGCTGTGTCGTCATCTTCCAGAGTTGTGTAGACCTGACGTAGGTTGGCCAACCTCATTAGCTCGCTGGTAGTGGGACTCCCTCTGGTCGATAGAGTGGAGATATTGTCTTCATCAATGCAGAATGGTGACTCGGTGTCAGCTTGGGTTCGGTGAGCGGCTTCAGCTCGATGAGCATTGACTATGGAGTCGTTTGACCTTCTCGACTGAATGAAATGTGCTTGCAATGTTTCCATGGTCTCTTGCAGCTCGGTGGGTGAGTGCGCGATGGCCATTTCCACCTCATACTTGGAGGACCACTTCAAGGGTCGTCTGTACCCCGGACAGTCAAAGTTCTTCCGCGTACATTGGGTACACGCCGGTACCGTTTCGTCACACTTGATTCGCTGTGTAGATTTGGTTAGCAGGGCACATGGAGCTCCGGTCTGACGAGTCTCCCTACTCTCTGCTTGCACCGGAGGCAGCCAGCTTGAATGAGCAATAAGTTAGTTCGAACACACTGGTAGACACCGCTGCACTGGGTAGCAGGTCGCACTCACTCCGAGCTTTAACTCTACGACGAGAGACTGGTTGCAGGGTTGACATTGGAAATGTGTAAAGCAGCTTCGGTTGCGACCTCGGTGGAAGTGAAAAAGCTCAGGATAAGAGACTGTACCGAACTATGATGAATGACCCAAAGACCAGGACGCAAAGAGACACTGTATTCAATCTGTCTTCTTCCCCGCATTCCGCTTCAATGCCGAGCGGAGATAAGCTCCCTGGATAACTGCTGGATATCCTATTGGCTAACTGTGCGGCTATCTGCGTCCCGAGTGTCGGCCTGTTGCCTGAGGCAGAACCAAGGCAAGGTGTGCCTTACAACATGACCGCAACGTAATTGAAAGATTTTCACCCAATTCCCGCGCCAAAGTCTATGTACAATCCAGCCATAGTCGCTCCAACGTCTGCCCAAAGATCCGAAACTCCAGCGCTAAAAATCCGATTTAGACTCCGTAAAAACACACAAAAAAAGGATAAGAGCCTCTCAAAGCAGTCCTGTATCAATCGATTGACCCATCCACCACTTGGTCAAGAAGACCACGAGTGAACACTGCTCCTCCGCCTCGATCCGGAAGTCGTAGAGCCGCGAAAAGCGTAGAATCAGGTTCTTTCCGTCAAAGTTTGCCTCCATGACCCGGACCCGGGAGTCCAAGAAAGAAAACAGCAGCACCTGGCCGATCCATTAGTCACCGTTGATCATCATGTTCGGATTCGAACAAGATAGATGAGAAAGAAGGAGGCGAAAGGCTGCCTACCGGGGCATCTGCATACGCACGAGTCGCTTTATGCGTCAGGCGCGCTTTGATGATCGTAGTCAGAGTCAGCAGCTCGGCACGTAAAAGCTGCTGGTCCGCATCCTTCCCATCGGTATCGTGAATCACCATAACCTTTAGATGGGGATGCTGTCCGTTGGCTGCGTCCCAGACCACTTCCACTTGCCACCGCGGCGCCTGATTCTCCAGAAGAAGACCGAAATTGGTGAAATCCCCGACACTAGGGACACGATTGGTCATGGGTTAGATCGTTGGTTGATCACGATTGTTCTCCCGGCAAAGGGACAGAGGGACAGGAAGAGGGAAGGGGTAAGGAGAAACCAACTCTCTATAGCGCGGCCCTGGAGGAAATTCCTCTCGCTGAGGGAACACGCCATGACAAGCCAATTGCCATAGGCAGTGTACCCCGGTGCCCGCGTTCGATTGGAGGAATTCATCATCCAAATACATCGGACCGGACTTGAGATAGTGCTCATCCTGGATGAGGATATCCCCCTTGTAGGGCTCGAAGAAGCGGGGCCACATGGAGATAGGGCGCCCAGCTGAATCCCAGTCGATGCTACATCTGCTGTGCTGAAGTACCCGTAACCCAATGCCTTGACTTTGTCTTCGATGGCGCAGAGTCTCTGGCGACAAAGCTTGCGCTCAGGTCGTCTATCGATGAGCGTCATGGTATAGTTGAGACAGTTTTTGGGGAAGGTGAGTTAAGTGGGGCTGCTAGTCTATTCAACAAAAGAGGAGAAGAGGAGGGAAAAGGATTGGATAAATATGTTTCCCACTAAATTGGCGGGTTGCATGGCAACGCCTCTCACCGCTTTCCTAACTGGACGATGTCTGTCCGTGTCTTCCCAGCATGTCGGAGCTGACTACCGGGTAACTTACGGAGAGCAGTACCTGGTAGAGTACTCGAGGTCAGCCTACACGTACAATTTCCACTGCTCTCAGTACCTCACAGCTAGGTCTTATCTGTCCACCGATAAGCCTTCAGAGCGGACTTCGGTCATGCGTCATTCGAAGCCCGAGTTGATGGGTATCTTGAAGATGGACCCACTGGGAAAGTTCGCACCCTCATCGAAGTGAAACCAGTGCATCGAAGTCTAAAAAGGACATTGGTCAACATGCAGGAAGCGGCGCAAATGGTAGCATGGATCAAATCGGATCCAGATCTAGACGGTAACCTCAATAGGATTGGCCGGTAAGTCCTCTCAACATCTTCCATGCTTCAGGGCACTAATAGAAGGGAATGTGGGTAGGCGAGTGCATGTCTCCCAGAATTGGCATCAGGTATTTCTTAATTTGCTGAGTACGATCAAGTTTATGTCGACTATCTGAACAACAAGCCTGGCCGAAGTACGGGCCTTACAATGCATGAGTACGGCCCATGGAATATAACATCATCCGTTCAGATGAATGAACTGGGCGCCATTCTGCTTGCGATTGCTTTGCGGGCACATTCAGACTTGCGTGAGGAGGAGCGCCGACAAAATTAGCCGGACAGACAGTGTCTTGGGGTCGTCCTGGATGTTGCGCTTAATGGTACCTACATCAGATTATCGCATGGCGAGGTAGCTGTTTCGTACCAAAAAAAGAAAAAAAGAAAAAAAAGAAAGAACACTCTCGATGGCACCGTGCTCAAAGATACACTCGGAATGTGATCGGATGTTGAGTTCAGATATACATACCAGCAAGCTGTCTCCGCATAGTTCCATTATCGGCCAAATCAAATACAAGCGCAGCTGCCTTTCAGCCCAACCTGGTTACTTCCATGAAATAAACAATTCTACTCATCGTCTGCCTGGGAATGCTGACGGCAAATCTAACCGGGGAACCAGGCCCATCACAATTGCCAAGGAAAGGAGAGAGAAGAGGCCAAGGCTTTACTACTGTTGTTCACTAGTCCTACCCATCTCTTAGGGTTGATCCCAGATTCTCCATGTTCGGCGACTCGTTTGTGCATATTCTCATCTACCTGCCATTGAATCACGGCGCTGCATTCGATGCTGGATGCAAACGACCTAGTAGTGATAAGAGCTACTATCGATATTCCCGGCCGCGTGATCCTACTGGCCCGCACTTTTTGTACAATTTCAGCAATAAAGTGCTACCTACCTACCTTATCTCTACTCAAGCTGCCAACCCGGCGAGTGGCAACTCTGCCCAGCAATAATTCAGATGATTGGCGGCCTGTGAGGGTTACATAGAATCGATCATTGTAGTTAAGATGCATATTTGCTGCTCCCCTTATACACGCCTGCTCTACCCGCCCAGAGTTTGTGTCAGGCATCTCACCACCGTACGATCGCTCGATCAAAATGGCTACAAGCATGAAAGCTTCGAACGACAGTTGCACCGCCAAGTCGGGCGAGGTGGACGATGAGGTGCACAGCGGGGTTGGAGAAGTGGTCGAATTGAAGGCAGGTAGCTGCACCTTCATTCATCTGGCATTCGGTAGTATGCTGACATTTACCTGTGGAAGAGCAGAAGCCTTTCTCTCGATTCACAATCCTGTCGCTGACTGTCGTTCTGATGTCAACATGGGAGGCCTTTTCTAGGTAAATCCGCGCTGTCGCTGAACAGATGATGGCACTCAGTGGGCTGACGACCACAATTTGTACAGTACGATGGCAGCGGGTCTTGTCAGTGGTGGTCCTGTTTCGCTGGTCTATGGGTATCTTTGTTCGTTCTTCTGCCTCAGTCAATTCACGGATGGTTTTGACCAGAAGGATAGTGGCAGTTGTTGGCTCGATTGCGACCGCAGCGTCGTTGAGTGAAATGGCGTCGATGTGAGTGCCTCCTGCCGAAGATTGAGTGCACCAGGCTCACACTACTTTCTCTATAGATACCCTACCGCAGGGGGCCAGTATCATTTCACAGCCAAATTTGCGCCAGAACAATTGCGGAGATCCTTCAGCTGGGCTGTTGGATGGATTGGTGAGCTCTTTAGCCCGCAGGGGGCCAAAACGACCAGCTGATCTTTGAGAAACACCATTTCAGGGACTTTTGGATGGGTGTCATTCACTGCCAGCGCCCCTTACCTCTCTGCCGGTATGGTTCAGGGCCTGGTGGTTCTCACCCGCGAGACGTATCAGCCCCAGCGCTGGCATGTATCACTGATCTACTGGGCTATGGTCGGATTGGCCACCGTTCTGAATGTGTGGGGTAGTCGTCTGCTATCCTTGGTGGAGACCATTTCACTACTGATCCACTTGGTCGGATTTGTTGCTATTCTGATTGCTGTGTGGGTTTGTGCGCTGGCAACGAATGACGCGCACTTCGTATTTACGACATTCATCAATAGCACTGGCTGGTCCACTGATGGACTGGCCTGGTGTCTGGGTATGCTCTCAAGCTGCTACGTTCTGACAGGTTTGTGCTCTGTCTGTCTGCCATTGGCCTCATACGTTGATCCTAAATATTGGCACAGGCTACGACGGGGCAATACATCTGTGCGAGGAGATGGCCAACGCCACCACAGCCGTTCCATACTGTATGCTTGGCTCCCTGGCTATCAACGGCATCCTCGGATTCGCATACCTTGTTACTATTCTTTTCTGCATGGGAGACATGGAGAGCGCGCTGGACACTGGTACAGGATATCCGATTATTGAGATCTTCCGCAATGCAACGCAATCTTCGGCCGCGAGTTGTGTTATGACCGCCGTTCTCATCATCACGGCATGGCTGGCTACGATCGCGCTGCTGGCATCAACCGCTCGAATGGTCTTGTCCCTGGCTCGGGATAGAGGTACGATGACTTGCTCAACTGCGTTCTGGGATTCAACACGCTGATTAACAATCTAGCCCTCCCATTCTCTACTTATTTTTCCCACGTTGACAATCACACCCACCTACCAACACGTTCTATCCTTGCCACCACCGGCCTCCTCGTGTTATTCGGACTGATCAATATTGGATCGACCACGGCTTTTAACGCGATCCTCTCTCTCGCTGTTCTCGGGCTGCACGTCTCCTATGTTGTTCCGATTATCTTCTTCTTGTGGCGTCGCATTTGGCTGCCGCATAGCCTGCAGCCGGGGCCGTGGAGTCTTGGTCGGGTGGGAATCATCGTCAACATTGTCGCCATTCTTTATCTCTGCTTCACGAGCATTTTCATGGTCTTTCCCGCTTACCAGCCGGTTACTCCTTCGAACATGAATTACGCCTCGTTGATCTTCGGGGCTGTCTTGCTGTGGAGTGGGGGATTTTGGTTATGGCGAGGCCGAAAGGAATATGATGGACCTGTGGTTGTTCTGGCCGATGGTTGATGATTTGTTCTGTGAGTATTCAGAAGATTTCAAGTACTCTCTTGATGATTATTTAGAGGTACCTAGTAGTCAGTAAATTGATAGTGGGTCAATGAGGGTAGTGGGGGCGCACCTGACTTTCCTGTGACCGAATCTAGACCGAATGACAGTACATACAGTACATAAAGTACCCAGTACAGACAATACATACAGTACCGTATTTCCACATCCCATCCGGCTGCCTGCCTCTTCTTATCCATGGTTTCTTTTCTCTCTCTACTTCCCATCGCTCCTCTCTCTTCCTCTACTTTCTTCCTCCTCACCACAGTCAATCCATCGCCATGGCACAGTTCCCACCGGTATTCCGCCGTCTACGACGTCCACTCCGACGAGGCCCCCTACCACGTCTCCTCGCCACGATCACCATCGCCCTCGTCTCCTGTGCCGTGGGATTCTACCTGCTCCTGGCGTACCCGCTGGCGGACGATCCCCGACTGGTGCCGGCCAGCGTGCAGCGCGCCCGCAACATCCTGCTGGTGACCGCCCACCCGGACGACGAGACCCTCTTCTTCAGCCCGACCATCCTCTACCACCGCACCAACCCCGAGGTGACTCGCGCCCTGCTGGTCCTCTCCTGCGGCAACTACAACGGGCTCGGCGACACCCGCCAGGCGGAAATCCACCGCAGCTGCGACCGCCTGGGCATCGCGCCGGAGCGCTGCGTCGTCCTCGACCGGGGCGACCTGCAGGACAACCCCAAGGCCTGGTGGGACCAGGATCTCATCCGCGAGGTCGTCGCGCAGTACGTGCAGCAGTGGCACATCGATCTGCTGTATACCTTCGACGACGGGGGTGTGTCGGGGCATGTGAACCACCGCGCTGTGAGCGGGGGTGTGAGGTGAGCTTTTCCATTCCCCTCCCCCTCTCGATACCTCTCCCCAATCTTCATTCCCTATGCACGACTGGCAGAAGGTAGGGGCCAGCTAATGAGTCAACGGTGCAGAAAGTTCATCCAAACCACCCCCACCGCCCCGCCCGCCTACATGCTGCAGAGCGTCTTCCTGCTGCGCAAATACGCCTCGCTGGTGGACTTGCTCCGCACCGCGCTGCCCTTCACCGGGCGCATCCTCCGCGCGCTGATGGTGAGCCCCGAACATGATCCTGGTCTTGCGGTCACAGGCCGCTACGAGGACACGGCGCTGCTGGTCAGCTCGTGGGAGACCTACCGCGTGGCGCGGGCGGCGTTCGCCCAGCATGCGAGCCAGTACTCGTGGGACCGCGTGTTGTATCTGGTGGTTAGTCGGTATATGTGGTTCAATGATTTGGTGCGCGTGCAGTAGCCCTTTAGGGGTGTGGATTTCATGCAGTGGTTGTTTAGTGGGAGTGTTTGCATTTGGGGAGTATACTAGGTACGAACTACCGGGTCCGGAATTAGGGCACTGGAGGGACAACCACGAATCTACAGATAACGATCGATACCACGAATATGAACAATGGGCTAATGTACATAAAATCCCTCGAGCACTGAAACACAAAGCTACACCATCTTCCCCTCCGACTTGGCCGCCTCCGTGCGCGTGGGATCCGGTCGTCGCGCGGCGCGTCGCCCCCGCGCCACGCAGAAGCAGACGGCCCCTACGAAGGACAGCAGGAACACCACGACCACGAGGAAGGAGAGGCGCTGGTCGCAGTGCGCGAAGAACTTGATCCACCGCGCATCCCGCCCGTGCCACGACGAAGTGCCTAGGTGCTGGAACAGCGGGGTGTTGACGTGTCCGTTTAGCATGTGCAGGGTCGGGTGGTCCGCGGTGCCGGCCAGGACGCGGAGGGCGGACCGGTTTGATTGCAGCGTGAAGATTGTCCTACCACGGGGAGCTTACGTTAGGGGCTTGTGCGTCCGGGCGGAAAGACTGAAAAACAACTTACGAGGCATAGTGACAGCCTGTGCTGAACATGATGGTGATGTAGGGGAGCAGCGCCCACCGCCGGTTGAAGCGGGGCAGGTTGTCGACCAGCGCGCGCACGTAGGCGTTGTTGGGCGCCGCGAGCATCATCCCCACCGAGATGCCCACGGGGTGCGCGGCGGGCGCCACGAACTCGAATTCGCGGAGGGGGTCGAGGGACTGTCTGCACGCGAGGTCCATGTCTAGGATTGCTCCTGTTGAACATCGCGTTGTTAGAAAGAGTGCTTCGCTGTTTTCTTTGGAGAAAAGGGAAAAGACATACCGCCGTATGTATGCAGCACCATATACCGCAGCGCATCCACCCGCTGCACCAGCGCCGGATATCCCTCCCACATCGCCAGCAGATCCGGATACTGGCTCTTCACGAACTCGCGGGCGTTCTCATCCTCCCACAGGAACACCTCCCAGTCCGGGTGATGGTCCAGACACTGTGCGCGGGCACTCAGCCATTCCGCCCGCGGCGCACTGGGGCCCAGGTGGACGTGATGGAGGCGGTTGGGGATGCGCGCGTTTTCTGGGGGGCCGCTGCTGTTGGCGTAGGATGCGAAAGTGACGTCGAATCCGTCGCGTTGGGTAGAGAGGATCGAGTCGGCGGCGGAGGTCTTCCAGACGAAGGGCAGACGGAGGAGGAGATATAGTTCGTGCATGGGCAGGAACAGACCCGCTAGTGTGATCACCGCGACTGCGACGAAGAGCAGCCGTACTCGTAGAGAAGCCATCGTATCGACAGTGGATGCTGGTTATCGGCGAGAGGAGACACAAAGAATGATGAAAAAGTGGGTGTGTGTATGGGTGCGTGTGTAGAGTCACATAAAAAGCATCGAGCCAAGAACTTCCCCGGGCCGCGTGTTCAACATTGTTGGCGAGATCCAAGGGGGATGAGATGTCACGGCCATGTAACCACCCGCGAGGCTCATTGCATTATTCACCGGAGCCCAGCCCAGCCCATCCTGCAGGTCCGGCCAGCATGCATACAAGCCGCCATGATAATGGCTGCCTAAACCCTCACCTGTACGACCTTTTCCCAATTCCAGGATGAGACCGACCTGCCGATTGGTGTAAGCGTGTAAGCGTAAAGCCTGCAACCTGGCCAGGCAAGCTAGCCCCAAACAAGGCATTCTGGTCGTTCTGTGGTCCTGAGGGCAGTGGAGCCGAGCCGACCAGAGAGAAGATGAGGGCATTCGGGTTCCGCGGGTTACAGACGGACATCCCCCGAACAGCCACCAGGTGGGGGCCGGTCAACCTTCACCGCATCGGAGGGATGAGTGCAGGTTAGAACAAGTAAGATTGTAGATTGTTATAGTGATAGCTGAGACAAGCACTTGGATCGGCCGTGCTGATGCAAAGCCAAGTCCAACCCTTCCAGAGGTGGAGGGGAAGAATTGAAAAATATGGTGGAAAACCCCAGCAGTGTGTGGACTGTCACTCGCTAGGCAGGACAACCAAGCTTTTTGGAATTTTGGCGGCTAAGGCTGGAAAAGGGGTGCAATTCCGTAGGGCTGAACTAAATCGGAACAAAACAAGACTTGACCCTGAATCACACACCGACTGGAACCCTCGGCCATTTCCGCCTTCTGCCACGAGTCTCAGATTACAGCCACGTCCCGCCATTTGGTGGGTGTTTGCTCGCCTAAACCTTCCCGCACGGAAAACCCTGAACTGAAGCCTAGTTTTAGTGCTGGTCAAATGTCTCACATCCGGACTGACAAGCAGCAACGAGGCCTATTCTCAGCCTCTGTTTGGTCCACAAATAGATGAAAATATACACATGATCCATATTTGAGTTGGCCAGGGGTTTTGAATTTTGGGGTCGTGCGTTCGGGGGTCTTTGGTCGTGAGCAATCATTCTACTCATTATCTTGCTTGCGCCCACCGGGCTCGACCGTTCTGCACCTGCATACGTGATAGGGGGTATTGTGGCGGCAGTGGACCGGCGCTGTCTCCAGGCAGACATATTTCACATTCACTTCCGGTGGGATGTGTGTCGCATTGTGTCGTAGACCCAGTAGATCTTGCCCTCCAGGTCTGATATCTCGCTGCCTAGGTATTGTGTAACCGTTGTAACGGATGGCATCTGGCACCACCCACGCCTGGGTCGGCGGCTTAGCATCGGAGCTTAATTATGATGCGTGATTGGAATCAAGCGTGAGGCCGTCAACCATCAACACCACCATCTGTCACCCAGTATAGAACACGAGGAGCAGCAATGGCACCCACGCGGCTGCGACGTCTGGCTATCTTCGCCCTCCTCGGTGCAGTGCTCATGATCTGGATGCTCTATCAGCGAGAAGAGTGGGATAACGAGTTGATGACTTTAGAGAATCAATACCCGTTGCTCTATCATCATGTCCATACGCATCATGCGGAAGGAGGAGGTACGGTCCCGCCCACCATCACAATCCCACAAACACAAACATGACTGACAACCTGCACAGCCTGGTATATCCCCCCAACATGGATGAGCGCATCCGACCACCAACCCAAGAACATCGTCGAAGCCGCCGAGCTGGCTCTTGGCCTCGTCAACACCGACCAGCGCTATCTGCCGCACTCGGCCATCCCCATGGTCGTGCATCAGACCTGGAAGAACACCCACATCGACACCTGGCCCCAACTCCTCCGCCACAGCGCCGAGCGCTGGTTGCAGGCGACGGACGGGCAGATGGCGTATTTTCTGTGGACAGATGCGGGAATGGCTCAATTGATCCGCAAGTTTGAACCAGCCCTGGAGATGCAGTTCGCGAGTCTGGCGAGCAACGTCGAGCGATCAGATGTTTTTCGTATTTTGGTGTCCAAGTGGATTGGGGGTGTGGTAAGCCCAGCCCAGCCTGGTTCAGTATCTGTATCTTTTCGAAGAATGGAGACTGATAGGAGACAGTACGGCGATATTGACACCGAGCCCCTCCGTCCCCCAACGAAATGGCTCAGCGCGGCCGACCTCCTCCCCTGGAACGACACGCAGACCGGCGTCGTCTACAACTCGACCAGTCCAGTGCACGCCGTCGTCGGGCTGGAGGCCGACTGCCGTGAGGACACCGACACCTACTGGCGCATGGGCTACTCGCAGCCTGTGCAGCTGACCCAGTGGGCCTTTGCCTGGGCACCCGGCCATCCGATCCTGCAGACCTTCCTCGATCGCTTTTCAACCACCCTGACCAACATCGCCGCCCGCTACGGCGGATCTCTCGACTCCCGGGCTGCGCGTCAGGAGCTACTCGCTCTCGATCCCCTGACGCTGACTGGACCTGCCGCGTTCACGGATGCAGTGCGCAGCCGGCTGGAGGAGGTAGCTGATCTACGATGGCAGGCCTTGTCGGGACTCCAAGATGGGGGGAGGAGTAAGTTGGTCGATGATGTTGTGGTTCTCCCCATCACGGGGTTCAGGTATGTGCACCATTTATAGGTTACTGGCTATGGCTGACTGAGATCACGATGGCAGTCCCGGCCGCGGGGCATATGGGAACATGGGCTCGAAGCCCATCACTGACCCCTCGGCCAGACTCCGACATCTGGCCCAGGGGTCGTGGCGGGCATTCGATCTGACGGTGGAATATGGGAAGTTCTGTCGGACGGTGCTGGGCATGTGTCGCGACTGGTCCAAGGTGCCTACTGCTGCGATCGTTTGATGAATCCTGTATGGTAACTCTGTGGTGGTCTGTTATTGTGATTATGGCGTTGGGGGAGTCGGGATGCTGGGGATACCCTTTGCGGACGCACTGTGCTGTACACAAGAAACCATGAAATTTAGAATAGCTTTATCTGTGCATGTAACTATCCACGGCATTGAACACTATGCAACAGGCACAGAAATCTCCTCCCATCCGTCCTCGCCCGCCTGACGGTTTTCTCGGATGAGCTGTAACCCCCGTCTCCCACCGAATCCGTCACCACAGAACCCATCGTTATCCGCCACCCGCTCGACCGTCTGGTACGATCCTCCATTGGGATGCCTCGCATCCGGCACCCACATCCTCTCACGCACCACCTCTCCAGCGATCTCCGTCCTCCGCGGATTGAACCGTGGAAAGCCGGCCAAGCGACTCACGATCCCGTGCACCAGCGAGTACAGCCGCTCGAAGCGTCGCGTCGTGTGCAGCCACCGGAAGCTCCGCTTCGTGTACGCCGTCCGCACATAGGGGTTCATATACACCCCGGAGTCAGCCAAATCACCCACCCTTGCTGCGGCTGCTGCTGGGAAATCCTGCAAGTCTGCGTGAATGATGCAGCACTCGGACCCGTCGTAGAACAAGTCGGTGTCCGCGCGAAACCGCACAGGATGGTCCGGGCGCTGGAAGTACGTCGCGTTGAAGGCGACCATGCCACCCCAGCAGCTGCGCACACGCACCGCGTCCTTCTGTGCCAGCACGTCCTGCCGACTGCGGGCGTGGCCGGCCGTGCTGAACCACGGATAGAACTGCAGGCCGATCCCGTACCCTTCCAGATCGCGCGTGGCGTAGGTGTCGTAGAACTTGAACGGGTTTATAAAATCCACGGCGCACGCGGCGCGGTACCGGGCCACGCCGTCGGGTGCATTGGCAGCATTTGTGGAGAAGAGCAGTTGCACTGCGTCGATGGGGTCGAAGATGACGTCGTTGAGGTATAGGATGCGATCGTAGGGCTGGGCTGCGGGGTCATCCAGCGGTCGCAGGGCGCGGTTCCGCAGCTCGGCCAGGTAGTCGGTGCGCTTGATGCGTTGGGCACCCCCTGGGACAGTGACCCGAGAAAACGTGCTCAGATCGAGGTGAAGGTCGGACTGGATGGATTTGTTGCATGCGACGCGGTCCTCCAGGTGCCGGAGCGCTTTTTCGCCTTGCCCGCTGCTGTCGTTTTCATATATGCTGAGGAAGACGTTGGCTTCGCCGAGAAGATCGATCAGCTGTAGCAGTGACTCGCCCCATCTGCCGCCCGCAATTGTGCCCTCAGGGTCGTAGAGAATGGCTGCGATGAAGATGCGCTCGTTGCGCGGGTTGCCGCGGCCATGCTGGTCGGACTGCGTGGCTTGCTCGACCACCGATTGGTAATGGGGCGGCAGTCGCGTGTAAGAGGGGAAGAAGAGAGCGGTGCAGCTGATCAGAACGATGAAAAAACTCAGTGGTATTCGAAACAGTTGTCGGATGGAGGACCAGCGAGGTGAAGCAAAGCGACGTGATCTTGCACGCTGGGGTTGCCAAGGAGTAGGAGTGGATCTGCACAACTTGCGCCAGAAGGAACGATGCGATCGACTGCTAGGAAGAACCAGCCCAGCTTGCTCCCAGTCGGAGACTGAGGCAAATGAGTCGATGGACGAGCGACTGGCGAGGTCGTGATACTCGACTGATTGCACTCTGGGAGGTGGCATCGTGAGCGGTGGATTATTACTGCTTGGATTCAGTCTGGCATTGTATGTATGTTGATAATTGATAGGGTTCTGGACTGGCCTGGTGGAGAGGAGAGTGGGTGACGTGTGGACAAAGTGCGTGCGCTTAAGCCATCCTAGGCAGCCGTCAAAACAGAACACAGCACGGCACATTCACCGTATGAACAATCCCACTGACAATCCCACTGACGGGATAGGCTCGGAATTTTCCGAGCAGGGTGACGTTTGACTCTGGCTGAAACAGCATGCAGCCTGCAACTGCCGCCAGAAGACAGGTCTCATCGATGACCCCCAGCAAGGCAGCCACGCGTTGCCGTGGCGATTGTGCGACCTGCAGGAGAGAGAAAAATTTAGGATGAGGAGGAAGGAAGATGGAAATAATTTTGTCACTTTTGGCCAACTACTCAGATGACATTGAAGCACAATAATGCTCGTCAACCTCGCACTCTCACTGCTGGCGCTGATGCTCCCTTCGGGGACGGATCTTCCTCATCGTGTGCGGTATTTCTATGCTGGGGGCGAGTACACTACCCTGGCAGACACCGGCGAGCACATTCGCACCGGCCAGATCTATGTGGAGAAACTGACCCCCACGCGAGTCACTCAACCCTACCCCATTGTTTTGATCCACGGACAGGCTCAGACTGGGACCAACTGGCTGAACAAACCGGACGGTCAGCCCGGATGGGCCTCGTACTTCCTGGCCCAGGGCTACGAATGCTACCTGCTCGACCAACCCTTCCGCGGTCGCAGTCCCTGGCAGTCGTGGAAGGGAGACCTGGAGACTTACTCGGCGGAGCATCTGCAGCGATACTTCACTGCTCCCGAGCGGTATGAGCTATGGCCGCAAGCCGAGCTGCACACCCAGTGGCCGGGATCCGGGGTGATGCACGACCCGATCTTCGACGAGTATTACGCCAGCACCGTGCCCTTCGTGAGCGACAACTTACTCCAAGAGACCGCCATGCAGAAAGCGGGCGTCGCTCTGCTCGATAAGATTGGCACGCCCCTGATCCTCCTGGCACACTCTCAGGGCGGCATCATGGCCTGGTTGTTAGCCGATCAGCGACCGGATCTCGTGCAACTGATCGTCTCCCTGGAACCAGGCGGCCCCCCTTTTCGCGATGTCGGCTTCGGGAATGGATCCGCCCGCGCATATGGCTTGACGGACATTCCTATCGCCTACTCGCCTGCGGTGGTCAATCCCGCAACCGATTTGGTGACGACTACCATCCCCGCCACCCACCCGGATGAGGTGGGCTGTGTGATTCAAGCAGACGACCCACCTCCGCGTCAGCTGGCTAATTTGCAGCGAACCCCTGTGGTGCTGGTCTCCTCAGAGGCATCGTATCATGCGCCGTACGACTGGTGCACCGTCCGATTTCTGCGCCAAGCAGGGGTGAGCACAGAGTATGTGCGGTTGGCGGACTGGGGTCTTCGTGGTAATGGCCATATGATGTTTTTGGAGAAGAACAGTGATGATGTTGCAGCGCTAGTGCACGGGAGGATCCAAAAGTTTAATTGAGTACTAGCTAGCAAACGGGAAGCGCGTGTGAGCGTGTCAAGTCACTGGGAATAATCGCTGCGTTGCTTGACCTCGGTATAACCCTTAGTGCCTGAGGCATCCAGGTTTCCCCTTTCAGATTAGAAGCGGTCATGTGCGTTTGGGCTTGTGAATGCCTGACTGCCTGACTGCCTTGGTGCCTTTGTGCCTTGATGCCTCCAAGGAACGTCTTCTGCTCCTCGGCTAATCTTCGGCAGGATCCAGAATGATTTTTGACAGCTCCGTCAAGAGATCGGACTGACTGACTGGACTGCTGCGTGAATTGCCAGATCTGGAAATGTAACCAACTGCCCCCGCATCCCCAAGTCATCCATAGATAGTCGCTTAATTACAGTACAATCCATGGTCTACCAACATCTTAACAATGCTTCATCTCTCAATCTTCCCACTCCTTGCCTCCTAACCTACCAACCAGCACAATGCGACCGCAACCAGACCAGGAAATGATCGATCTCTCGCAAGAGCAGCCAGCATCAGTCGAGCCTCCCGAGCCAAGCATTGCCGACAAGCGATGGCTGTATGCCAAAATCCTCAGTGCCGGCTTCTCTTTCTTTGTCGCCGGGGTCAATGATGGGAGTTTGGGCTCATTGGTCCCCTATGTGATCCGCTCCTACCATGTGAGCACCAACCTTGTCGTCGTGGTCTACGTATCAACCTTCGCAGGATGGCTGTTGGCCGCCGTGACCAACAGCGCCCTCTGTCAGTATCTCGGCCTCGGAGCTATCCTGGCCCTGGGCGCAGCCCTTCAAGTGCTCTCCCACGCCCTTCGAGCCTGGCTGCCCCCGTTTTCGCTTTATGTCGTCACCTTCTTTCTCGCCAGTCTAGGTCAAGCGTACAATGACACTCACGCCAATACCTATGTTGCGTCCGTCAATGCCGCCCATCGTTGGTTGGGGTTTATCCATGCCATGTACATGGCAGGGTGCTTGGTCGGTCCATTGGTGGCCACGGCTGTGGCATCGGCGGGAACAACTTCGCAGTGGAATCTGTTCTATCTGGCGCCTCTGGGCCTGGGGGTTCTTAATTTAGCATTTGTGCTGACGGCGTTCCACAACCAGCTCGCAATCAAGTCTGCTACTTCCGACCCTTCACCACAGGGACTGCGAGATGATCCTCATTCCCACCCCCACTCCAAGAGTCACCGTGCGCTAGTCGAGATCAAGAATACTCTGCGCGTGCCCACGGTCTGGCTTGCCAGTCTGTACTTCTTCTTTTTTCTTGGAGCGGCCATTACCGCTGGAGGTTTGTCATCTCCGCACCGGGCCTGTTTTCTAGTGAGTCAGGGACTAATGCGAATCAGGCTGGATGGTTGAATATCTCGTCAAAGTGCGGCACGGCAATCTGGATGCGATGGGATATGTCCCCACTGGGTTCTATGGAGGCGCTTTCCTGGGCAGGTTGCTTTTGGCTGAGCCCACCTTCCGACTCGGAGAACGGCGGATGATCTTTCTCTATGCCGTAATATGTGTGGGACTGCAGCTAGTCTTCTGGCTGTGGGTGTTCCTTCGATTCTCCTGGATACAAGATCTACTGCTAATGCATCACGTGCAGGGTGCCGAATATCATCGTCGAGGCGGTCGCAATCTGCGTTCTAGGGTTCTTTTCTGGACCATTCTTTGCCGCTGTAAGTACCGCGCTGCCAATATGTTTCTTTGAGGGACAGTTCGCCGATGCTGACATATTGAGCAGGGTATATCGGTCGCCTCGAAGATATTTCCGCCAGATGTTCGGAGTTCAGCAATTGGTGTGTACATTTCCCGCAGACTGTTCTCCTTTCGTTGCTTGGCTTCGCCTCAACTACAAAGCTATTGACTAACTTCCTGCCAGCATTTGTATTTGTGTTTGGACAGATCGGAGGCTCTTTGTTCCCCGTCTTGACCGGGATCCTTTCAGCCCGCACAGGAGTTAAAGTCCTGCAGCCTATGCTTGTGGCCCTACTCTGTGCTACGGCGATTAGCTGGCTCCTCTTGCCTAAGCCGCCGAAACCACGCGATTAGACACCATAGACCCACAGCTTCCTTTTGCAGGAGTATGCAGATGATGATCACTACGTACTTCGGGGGGTCAATGATATATATAACGAGGATGAGTAGATCAACGTGAATGCACATACTCTAAAATAGCATCCATTCTGCAAGACCACATCAATCCAAACATATTCAGAGGAGCAATTCCCCGATCTCACCATCTAAATGACTTGGACCTCCCATGCCTTTCTCTGTGCTGGTCACTGGGTGAAGGTGGCGGACCGAGAGTCACGTGCCTCGACTGAACGGGCCCGGTCGACAAGCTCGACGCAGATTGGGCCATGACCTGCTGCCATCAACAAGCTGTGAGTGGACTCCACGGAGTTCTTGTGATCTTTTTTTCACTTCTGTTTCTGCATCGATGATCGAATCCGTATCCACTGAGTGATCAAGAATGGTCCTCGCGGGTCCCCACGAGCCCCCATATCCGCATTCGACATGTCTATTTTTGTTTGTCTGGGACGCCGATCGGGGAGAAAGAAGTGGGTACCGCGTATGCTTTGTTACTGGGAGAGTGTTGGTCATTTACCCAAATGCTGACCACGTTAGTCGAAAGAAATTCTACATCAGCGGCTGTGTCATTCAATCCTGACAGTCCTGACTTGCTTGAAGTACTTGTGGCGGAGCAGTGCATAACTGAGCCAGACACCCACATGCCAGAGGTGATATATCTTGCGAGGTTTTCCATGCGGCAACCACCCTCTCCCTGCGTAGACAGCTCATGAAATACTTGTCAAGGACCTGCACTGGAACATACCATGCTCATACATTAACGGTGATCTGGGGAAATCTTGTCGTGGGCTGCCATGGCATGGAGGAGGGTTTGCCGCATGCGGATGTCCCCACAACCCTAACTCAATCGCCTTCCGCCGCCCACCGATTCGACTACCTGATGCTCCATTGTTATGACGTGAGGATTTAACTTTTGCTCTGACAACACAACATTATGACTGTCATGAAAGTGATACTGGGGTTAATGCCGTTGAAAGACTGGAATCCCCTTCTCAGAAACGGAAGAAGCCCCAAGCAGACGCGAAGGATGTGCGCTGTCGGCAGCGGGCATTGGAAGAGGTCATCCTGTGGAAGAAATACTCGACGATAATGTTTTCCACAGCACCGTGCAAAGTCAATTCAATCCCTGACAGTAAGATACTGCTCAACCATGTTTTGGGTGAGCCCAACGCAAACTCAACAAGCTGCCGGCGCTCCACACCCCAGAGTATCTTCTTGAGTGGAAGTTTCACCAGAAACACCCAACGTGGTTCCTCAAAAGTGATGTCAAGACTGACTTAGAGTAGATTCCAGAGCTATCTACCAACCACTCGCTATGCTCGGGGCTTATGGACAAAGTGGATCAATTCATGAATGTTGCGATTTGTCAATATTCTGGAAGTTTTGGGTCTTCCAGCATTGACCGGAGAACTCAGCCTAATGTCGTGCATCTCATTCTGACGTCTTACAAGCGTCCAACGAGGAATCCAGCAAGCAGGTCGAAACTTGAAATACAGCGCAAAGGTGCAGCACTCTGCTCATCGAGAAGTATATCTTCGAAGCATCTTGAAATCAACACCTGATTCCATGTTTTTTTGTCACTTGTCCCTGCTTCGCTCAACATTTATGCAAATTGGTTTAAAGTTTACTCCATCACCTGAAACTCCATTCTTCCGATGAGAATCAATACCCTGCATAAACAGTCCTGCCGGCGAGCAACCACGTGTAGAACCGACCATGGCTACCTCGTTCCAACCTAATGTCCATTACACCTTCGGCTCCCCTCTGTCCACCACTGCGCTCTTCGGGACTCGACGAGCGTCGGATATCCTGGAGCAAGAGGGATACACAACCACATACCAAACTTCCACCTCAAGGCGGGGGTCGCGAGCCTTGAGTGGTGGGGGAAGCTCCACGCTGGCGGATGTTGTCAGCTCACTGACTCGTCGCGGCAGCGACGCTATGATCTCGTCGAGCATCACAGATGCGGATTACGCGACACTCCTCGAATGGATTCGAGCGGAGCGAATGCGCAAGCTCCCTGCCGAGGGGAGCAGCTATGACAAAGCGCTTGTCTGGGCGGCTTTGTTTGTAGAAAGACTGCATTCATTTGACACGGCTCTGGAGCAATTTGCCGGGGATAGTCACATGGCCGCCCAGCTTGCCTATGTACACTGTGCGAGTTTACTCGAGGTATGCATGCCTAACCCAGCCACATAGCCATGCCGAAAGCTAAGTTGTCTGGTGTAAGTTGGCGGAGAACAATGCCCCTGCGTTGATGGATCTGTTCGGATTCTTCTACCGCTCCTCCATGGGCCTGGGCAACTTGCTGGATCGCACAGAACTCTTCTCCGTATCCCAGGAGATCAAAGACCAACTCATTCTGGCCCTGGCCGACCTCGTCACCCTTGTTGTTGGCGTGGCCAGACACTTCCACCGGTCTTTGAACTCTTCTGAATCAGTCTCGATTGACATTTACAGCACCTTTCCGGGTCCGATTGACAGCTTCAAGGCTCGCTGCGAACATGTCTCCGAGTCAATGTGGCGCCACCAGCTGATCCGAGAGGGTTTGAACGGGGACAAAGGTGAGCGCGATTGCTTTCAAAATCCTCCTATCCGGAACAGTGGCTAATGCTCTTGTGCAACAGTCACCGAGATCCGAGCCCTCAAAGATTGGCTGCAGCCTGAGGACCCCGTGCTAGTCAACGTGGCGGAGACAACCGCACACTTTGCCCAGGAGCGTGAGGAGTCCACCTGCCTGTGGATGACTCCGTACTTGACACGATTCCTCAAAAGCAGCCGCAAAACCCTGACGGTGCATGGTAAACCGGGTTCAGGCAAAACCATTCTGGCGACCGTGATCAACGACCATCTCCAACACCCTGTCGGAGGTACCCATTACAAGTCGATCTTTGTCCCGATCAGTAAGTCACACTTCCCAGCACCAGAGAGCCTTACTCACAGGCATTATAGGCAGTCGTATCCCAGCCAACACCACCCCTCGTGCAGTCGCCAAGATGATCCTGTCACAGCTCTTCGACAAGCGCATTGGCAATGTGCGACTCTACCAGACTCTGTCGGATGCGTACACACGCAGCCAGTCGACACTGGAAGAGGACGCGTACGACGATCTACTGTGGGCTGCGGTGGGGAACGCACTGAAGAGCAGTCTCCAGGGTGCCAAGGAACTCGTCCTGGTGGTGGACGGAATGGATGAGGCCAGCTGCGGAGAGACCCTGATGCACAAGCGACTGACTGAGGCTGCGGCCCCCGCGGATAGAGTCAAGTTGGTTGTTTTGGGCGCCCAGCAGCCGCTCTCCACGTCTTCGCAGAGCACTGTGCATGTCTCGCCGGAGCTTGTCTTCGACGACATCACCGCTGTCGTACGGAAGATCCTGCAGCATACTCGTGCTTTCACATCCTTGCCTGAGGAAGAGCAAGAGATCAACGTCACGCGGATTGCTGAAGCGTCCAGTGGTTCATTCCTCTGGGCCAAACTGGCCGCCAAACGCATCCGCGAGGAGGGCTCGTCCAACGCGCAAGCTCTGACCAGAGCCATTGAAAGTGTGGCCAACACCGGCAAGACACTCACCGACCTGGTCTCGCATAACCTACATGCGAAGCTGAGCGAAGATGCATTGAAGGTGTTGGCTTGGCTCTCCACTGCGGCTCGTCCCATGACGCAGAAGGAGCTGTCGGCGCTGGGCTCCGTCCACGTCGAAAATTCCACCGTCACCGACAAGTACCTTGACATCCAGCAGCTCCTGAAGCCGGTCGCATCGCTTGTCTTCATCCAGAGCCATCTGGTCTACCTGCGCCATGGACAGATTCGCACCGCGATCCTGGACGTGCTGGCAAAAGATAAACTATTGCCGTCGGTTAAAAACAGGAACAGCGATCTTGCACAGAGACTGCTATCATATACCAAGGAGGCCGTCACCAGCGAGCACGAGCCCTCGCTAGATCCACTGGACGAGAATACCACCCAGAATCTGCTGGCCAAATATCCTCTACTCGACTTCGCCCTGCGCTACTGGTTGACGCATGTCAAAATCGCGTTTGGCTGCACCACCGACCAGGAGATCACCACTGCAGCCAAAGAGCTGCGCAGTGCGCTTCCGACTTCGCCCACAGTGCCATTGCTTGAGATGACCGTTTGGGACAATAAATCCACCCCGTCATTGCGGCTGTTGCACGGCATTCAAACCCGACTGTATCGGCAGGCATTGAGCCCTACTCACCCCACCACCCTGCAGACTATCCTCTGTCAGGCTCTCTTCTACCGACGTATCCACAACACCCTTCCAGCCCATATTAGCAAGATCTTCTATGATGCTGCGAAGATGAGCCAAACCGTGCTCTCGCCCCGACACCTGATCACCATGCAGATGACCAAGTTCTACCTGGAAGTGACTGCCGACGAGATTGCCGATTCCAAGACCGAGATCATGGTGAAACGCACCGAGATGCTGCAGCTTCTGGTTGAATGCTACAAGATCCATTACGGAGGGTCAAGCAGCATGGTGACTTCCACTCTGACCCAGCTGTCGGAACATTTCATCTCGATGGGAGACGAGGTTCAAGCTAAGGAGATCACAACCTCGCTGCAGGGGCCGACCACGGACGGCGCGTCGCAACCCACGGGCTCGCGACCGACGGACGACTCGCTCTTGCTCCACCTCCACGGTCGCAAAGATGCAATGGAGACGCGGACGACTTTCTCTCTGGACGAACTGGAGCTGGACGATGTGATCACCCGCGCCTTCGACTTCAACTCTCTGCAGGCCAAGGCCGAGCGGTTCGTGGCCGAGAAAGACCTGAAGGCTGCCGAGCGGACGTATATTGAGCTCTGGCAGCAAACCAGCAAGGAATATCGTCTCAGCCACTCGTCTGACTGGGAGCTCAAGAACATGGACGCCGTGCTGGGCTATGCCAAGTTTCTCAAGTCCCAACACCGGGAGAACGAGGCCGCTTCTATTCTGTCCGGCTTCTGGGAGGGATATAGCCAAAGCACGTCGAGCTCTGAGGCAGTGGCCTCTAAGTTCCTCGAGGTGGCTAAGGTGATGAAGTCTGTGGGACTCTCCGTGCTGGCGCTCAGCGTTTTCAAGCACTGCGCTCAGAGTACCAACAGTCAGAGCGGTGTCCACCAGGAGGTGCAGCAGCATATCAATACCACTTCACGGGAGGTGATGAAGATGGCAACCTCGACCAGCTCGACCATCACCGAATCGAGTCTCAAGGAGATGGTCTTCAACACGTCGAGCACTGATCAGGTCTCCGTCACTGCCACAAACACTCTGTTGGAGCTGTATCTGTCGCAACATCGATGGCAGGATGCCACCAAGGCCATCAAGCAGGTCCTCCGGACCATGTGGCCTGCCTTCTTTGCACCTTCGGTGGATGAAGTGTTTCTTCCCTCGAGCAACCTGGAGTACTGCATCGAGCTTGCAGAACGGCTGGCAAATTGCTATCGCTCCCGACGCCGAGCAGGAAAGGAGGAGGACGTCCGACTGCGTCTGTATCAGGCCGTCCGCCGCGATCGACCGGCGGGCGACAAGCTGCGGGGCCGTGTCACAACGGCCATTCTCCGTCTATACGAGCGCATGTCGCAAAGTGATAAGCTGATCACCATCCACCAGGATATCCTGAGCGACTCCATCAAGCGATACGGAGCGGAGCACCCGACCGTCATCAAGCAGCTATGGAAGCTGGCAGAGCTGACTCGTCCTCGTCCTATCGCGGTGGACTACTATCGTCAGATCGTGCATGTTCTCAACAAGGACTCGGAAACCTGCTATCCTGATGCCTTTGAGCCTCTGCTGATCGTTGTGACCGAGCTCCTGAACCAGGCACGCTACGCGGACGCCTTGAAGCCCTGCCGCGTACTGTTCAATACGGCGCAGAAACCTAAGACCAGCCCCAAGCTGCAGGAACCGAGTTTCGTCCAGACGCTTTATGAGCGATACATTCACTGTTTGCGCATGGTCCACAGCGACACTACAGTCATTCACGACGTGACAGTGCAGTACCGCAAAGCCTGCATCAGCCTATTTGGCACCGCGGCCTCGATCACCATCCAGGCCACCAAGACTCTGGCTAATATCTGCCTGGAGTGCAAGCGGTACGAGGCAGAAGCAATCGAGCTGTTTGAAGAGTTGCTGCACAGCAAGTCCAACGAAGTCGACATCGACCGTGACGATATCCGTGCGACACTGGATTCGATTTACGAAGAACAGAACATCCTCGTCAACGTGTCGAAGACGGAGTCCATGAGCGCCGAGCAAGTGAAGAGGGTGATCTCTATTCGCACACAGCGTCTGGCTTCTCTTCGCTCCACCCACGGCTGGGCCCATGAAGAGGCTTTGTCGCACCTCAGCGAGATCGTGGCTCTGTACTCGAAACAGAGTAATACGCAGGCTGCCGTGACCCTGCTGCGCAACGCCACAGCCCAGGTCCTCGCCACCGAGTCGTCATCCATCCAGCTGAGCGCTGCTGCCAAGACCATTGCTACCGGCTACATCACAGCCGGTCAGGTAGACCGAGCGAGAGACATATCCCAAGAACTATACCGGCAGATTGTGGCCAAGGACACCACCAACGTCGGGGCTGTGGGATTCGACCTGACCTCCAGCCAGCGGCAGAGCCTGTCCTTCTTGGCCGAGCTGGAGTACAGCCTACGCCAGCGCGAGGACTCCTCGCTCACCCTTAACGAGATCTACTCGGCGCTGACCACCGAGTACATGTACTTCGAGCAGTTCCGCACTGAGATCGGCTCGAAGAACAGCAGTGTCATGACCGTCACCTCGTCTGCCTCGCGCCTGTATGGCTTCCTGTCCGCCAAGGGCCGTCAAGCTGACGCTGCGCGACTCGTCGAGCAGTTCACCAACTACTTCCTTGCCACGGAGGGTCCGACCGTCCAGGCGAACCCCAGTCAAGCCAGGGTCTTCATCGCCACCCTCCTCGAGTACTTCCACTCGCACACCTCGCAGCACTTCATCCGCTCCGTGGCGATCGCCAGCCACGACCGGGTGACCCAGCTGCTGGCCACAGCGGACTACAGCGCAGCGTGCGGCCTGGCTCTCACAGCCTTCAAGTACATCCGGGCGCATCAGGGCTACACCTCCCCCTCGGTGCTCAAGATCGTCTTCAAGCTCGGACTGGTGATCGCCGGTCGAGACGTCGAGACGCGGCCCGCCGCCTCGTCCCGCAAGGAGATGCTAGGCGTGTCCGCGACCATCCTGCAGGAGACGCTGGGCTACCTCAAGCAGCAGAAGGTCGACCTGACGCAGCTGGACCTGGTGCACCTCAACAACCTGATCTGCGTGCTGGACGAGCAGCACGACTACCACACCCTGGCCTGGATCCTGACCTCGCTCTGGAACAACCGCGACACCAACCACATCGCCAGCTCGCAGCCCCAGTCCGCCTACACCCTCGCCCTGGGCCGCATGCTCGTCATCACCCGCTATCTGATCGGGGATTATTCCGCTGCCATGCGCCTCGGCGAGGACATCGTGTACAACTGCGCCCGCGTCCATGGTCCGCGCCACCCCAGCACCGTCGAGATGACCGTCCTCCTCTCGCAGATGTACACCAGCGTCGCGCAGGGGTACCAGTCCCAGAAGGACCGGCGCGAGCTGGCCTACCGGTACTACAAGAAGGCGGCCTCGTTGCATGAGAATGCGCTGCGGGTGTTTATTGATCCGAGTTCTGTCTCCGCGACCGAGATGGAAGACAGCATGAGCAGCAGCGAGTCGGGGTCCGGCGCTACCAGCCCTGGCGGCATTGTGGAGGATGAGGGCAAGCATGTCCGACAGCATCTGCATCTGCTGAAGCTGGCGGTGGAGCGACTGGGCGACTGGCCCAAGGAGTACGCGGAGTATGAGCGTCTGAATGCGGACTTGTTCCGGACCTTCGCCAAGGATCTGAAGGATGTGGAGGGCGTCGAGAAGTGGAATTTGAAGCGGTTTGGCTCGGGTCGCGCTGAGGCGAGCGATGACTTGATCGCGACGGGAATTAATCAAGTGGTGGGGAGCCATGAGCGGCTTGCTATTGCTGTTTGAGAGTGCTTTGGGGGTGAGAAAAGTGTTTTGGTATTTGTTCACATATTGATAACTGGTCACGTACAATTGACGCCAAAATGTGTTTCATGGAATGCAACTTATTGTGAAAATCACCTAGGTTTTACCTGCACGACAGTGACGTAGACCTTCAGTTCCGAGTAGGTGAAATGAGTAGGAAGCGTGATGCCATCAGGTGGCAAACGGAGATACACATTGCGTCCATCTCGCAGCAAGCCCCAAGCCCAACACCCTCACCACCACAACCAACTCACCCCTTCCGCTCCAAGATCTTGGCTAGGGCTGCCACCTCAGTGTGGTCCCGAGTATTCTGCATGCGATGACACCATACCACGCGTCTTTCTTCGCCTCTCTCGGGACCCGCCTCGTACAGGAACTCGCCGCCATTCTGGCGCGAATCGCCTCCCTTCAGCGCCAACCCACTGGGAAGCTGCTTCAGCGTCTTCCAGAACGACTCGGCCACAATCTGCTTCATGCTCTTCTGGATATACCCGGGCTTCTCGCCGAGAGCTAGCGAAGAGACCAGCCCCATTTGTTTGTAGAGCTTGCGGGAGGGGTCCGCGTAGATGGGAAACTGACAGCCTGTCTCCTTGGCGTAAATGTCGATCAGACCCGGGTCCCCGCACCCCACCACTACCACAGAGGCAGAAGTGCTTATTTGGGCTAGGAGCTCTGGGGTGATGGTCTTGGAGAGGACCTCGATGTATTCCTTGCAGCTCTGCGGGTTGGGTTAGCATCCGCTGCGTTAGAAGCTGGGGGAAAGCAAGACACACTCCACAGAAGAAATGGCGGATGAAGACAACAAGAGTGCGGGGGGCAGCTTCTGCACCGCTGTAGAGGGATGAGTATTGGTGTGGCTGTCCTTCACGATCGAGGACGGTGTAACTGGCGACTTCGGCTTGGATCTCCGCGGAGGGGGGCTCGTCGCCGGCTAACTTGGCAGATTCATTGTCTGTGGTAGGAGCGGGGATGCTGGCATAGGAGCCCATGGAATTCTTGGGGAGCTCGGACTCGCCGACAATGTCTGCCATGGTGTCTGTTTGATGTGGAATGTGGATGGATGCATATTGCATGTGAGATGGCGTCGAGTTGTTCGACCTGTGGTAGACAAAGAACAGTCATCTGACCTACCCCACCCCCACTTGCATACTTGCATACTTGCATAAGGCTGTCCGGTCATGTCAGGTGCGACTCTGAATCTTAGCTTAGGTGACTGGGATCTTGCCTGGTCAACGCTAGATGCATCTGTGTAGTGTTAAGGAGTAGGAAGGAAAAATCCAGGTTTGTCGTGATTCACATTTTCATGCCTCAACACCAGGGTGTCAGCCAAATGCAAAGTCTTAGTCATAAGGTGCTGTGGTATACCTGGATATATATATTCTTGCCACTTGCCACTCCCACGGGTATTTACAACGAGCATCACCCAGTTATGCTGGCTTGTTCGTCGTCCACAGCATTCGCAGCAGATGATCTTTAGCATGTCTTGTCTGCTCCATCATTCCGAAAGCTTGGCGAATTCTTGTCGGTGTGCCAAGAGAATCTGCCCAGAGAATCTACCCGAGACATCTTCCCCCAGTTAACTCTTACTTGTCGTGAGGACTTGCCCTCGCTTACCCTCAGTATTTATATTGGAAAAGTTGACCGGTACGTAGTCTCTCAGAACCTCGAGTGGTCTTGAAGGTGCATCTCTCAATTCAAGGGTCACCCACTATCCCGCACCGTACCGAAACCGTCGTATGAACGGAAGATCTAGACCCCGGGCACAAGGCAAGAAAAGGACCAGCAAAAGTATATCTGAGACAATCTCCTGTTTTCAGCATGGGATGCTGCCAAAAACGTGGATGGGAGGCTTGTTTCAGAGTGTGGGCCAATGCTTAATCTGAAACCCGAGCAAATTAAGGTGCTGCCCCTTCAAAAAAGCCCTCGTGTCCGCTTCCTCTATAAAGCCACCCTCTATAAAGCCATCCAGCTCCGTGTCTCCTCAAGTTGATGCGATTCTACTTTCTCTTCTCATCCATTTGGCAATCTCATTCCTTTCATTGAAGGCACTGGTGGCCTTGACCGTTCTTTACATACTTTCCTATTCATCCTATCAATACTCCAGTACATTCTTTATCACATCTGCTTCAACTTCAAAATGCAAGTCCTTAGCACTCTCGCACTCCTGCCCGCCGTGGCACTGGGCGCCGTCCTGCCTGCTGCTCTTCAGAGCGGCACCAAGGTGGCCAAGCGCGACTCGTGGGGAGGCAGTGTGTCGCTGGGTCCCACCAAGTCCGACATCATCAATGCGGTGACCACCCTCATCCCCGGCACGGCCCCTGCCACCCAGAACGGCGAGCTCTTCCTCTGGCCTGGTATGAGCAACGGCACTGGAGACCTCATCCAGACCACCATGGAGAGCTGGCCCAGCAACGCCTGGTGCGGTGCCACTACGGGCCAATGGTGTGTGCGCGCCAGTATCTTCGGTTCCTTCGGCCAGCTCGATGGCACTGGCTCCGCTGTCAGCGGTGACGACCACGTTCGCATCGAGTACAACCTGCTTTCCGACGATAACACCTGGGTGCAGACGGTCACCAATGCCTTGACTGGTGCCGCGCTGTCCAACTACTCCTACGCGTCGGGTCCTTACATGACTGGGTGAGTTGCCTCCTTCAATCTTTCTAGAGCCAGTGCGCCCGGATGCTGATTTTGCTGCACAGTTATGGAACAGGCACCGAGTGCGACTCCGACTGCACGGGCACGGTGGCTGCTCAGGTGTACCTCAACACCACCATCACCCTCCGTGAGGCCGACACCACCTTTGGTGACACTATCGCGACTGGCGCCGGCGCCACCTACACCGGCCTGAGCTCGAGCGAGGGTGGTAAGGTCTGGACCATTGCGACCATCAACATCCCCGCCATGGGATCGGAGACGGCCGTCGCCTCATCCACCTCTGCCGCCACGGCCCACTCGACCCCCGTCGAGACTGCTGTCGCCGTCGTGGACGAGTCCAGCACTGTTGCCACGTCTGTCGCGACTTCTGATGCCTCTGCCTCTGCCGCTTTCGGCGATGACGCGAATGCGGCTCCCTCCGCCTCGCCCTCTGGACAGCGCTCCGGCCATGGGTTTGGTGGTGTCCCCAAGCCCAGTGAGAGTGTAGGGGCTGCTCCTTCCGGTGCTGCGCCTTCCGGACAGCACACCAAGCACCACGGCCACGAGGGCCACCACACCAAGCACCATGGTCACCAGGGCTCCGGCCATGGCCGCGGCGGACACTCGAAGACCGCTTCTCAGCCGGCTGCCGCGCCTGCTGCCACGTCTGCTGGCGCTGCTCCCTCGGGCTTTGTCTCCAGCCAGGGCGGAAAGAGCCCCAAGGCTGACTCCGGCAAGCAGGGAAACTTCTAAGCGCAGGATTGACCGACATTCAGAGTGGTGATCCAGCGTAGTGAAGCAGCTATGTATATGTACCTCAAATATAGTCAATATTCTTTTGCCCCAAACATGGGTTTGACGGACCATATCCCGTAGCTTATTCTAGCGACCCGTCCCTTAGATCCATGAGTAACCACGCGGAAGTAATAGTCAGCCGGCATTCCAGGTTAGCTATGAAACAGTTCTCAAGCACCACCATCAAGCCCCTAAAGCCACGGGACAAGGCTGGCACGGACCAGAGTTGCTTTTGCGGTTGTCTTCACCGGTCTTGGCGCTGTCCCGCGATGGAAATAAAAATAGGGGCGCAGAGGCGCATCCCAGAGCTTGGTTGACGGACTCTCAAGCTCATCGGCCCGTCGTCAACTCTGAGACACATTCGTCAGCCTGACACTGGAGTCAACCAGAATGCTTAGCACACTTCAATCGAGTGATTGGACCAGCGGGTGGGTTCGAACAACGGCGGTGTTTCAGATAAGGATTGTCTCGGCCGATGCCCGAACTTCACTCACTCATCAGGCTTGGCAGGTGGTCCTTAGTCTTCTTGCGGTCAAGGATCTGCGGCTTAGGAGCGAGCAGGTAGGTTGAATGACTTTCGTTGTCTAACTATGTCTGGCTCCAGGGGGGCTGTCAACATTGACTATCTGTCCCCATATCTGGAGTTTGTCCCGCCCTGCCCTAAATTAAGTCTAATGTCCGACCCGTGAAGGGAGTCGGACCCCATGGTCAGTTGATTTAACTCAAGCCATGGCCAGATTGCTGGCCCTCCTACTGGGTCTATTCTCTCGCGAGCTGATCGTGCGGAGAGATAAGATGAGCACCGACACAGTTTGTGATTATGCTGTACGACCACGACCAGGATAGCCATGCGGGCCACAACCATACCCTCGGTGCTGGGGCAAAGAAGATGCCCTCCGGGACGGATTACGGGCCGGAGCTGCTGATCAGTGTGTGGACGATGATGGCCTTTTCAATCCTCGTTGTTGCCTCCCGTACGGCAAGCAACTACAAGTTTGGGAACCTGCAGCTCAGTGATGCGATTATATTGCTGGCTCTGGTACGCTATTGTCCGCCATCTTCTCAGTGTGTCACTAATGAAGCCAGACTTTACTCTTGGTTGCAGCAGTGCTGTTCAACCTCGCGGTCAACCACGGGTACGGCAACACCACCAGCTCCCCCGGTCGCCACAGTGTGGTCGCAGGCTTCCGGTACTCGACCATCGGCTACGCGATTGTCATCCTCGCCGCGACCGCCGGTCGTCTCGCCATGATCATGTACATGATGGCGTTGCTGGCGGCACGGACGTGGGACCGCATGGTCCTGTGGGCTCTCGTGCCCCTGCAGGTGGTTGTCAATGTGGTCAGTGTGGTTTTGCTGTTCGCCCAATGCTCGCGTGTCGTGGAGGTGTTTCAGCCTGGCGCTCAGAAGCATTGCATGTCGCTGGATGTTCAGATCGATTATGGATATTTTCAGGGTGGTGAGTTCGTCCCCTTCCACCAAGCACTTCACCAACAAAGAACCCGCGACTAACTTCATGGGAGGGTAGCATTCAACTCCGCTAGCGACCTCTTTCTTGCCCTCTTCCCGATCTACATTTTCTGGCGGTTCAACTGGACGCTGCGAGTCAAACTGGTGCTCATCTCCCTGCTTAGCCTGGGGGTCGTGTAAGCCCTACCTCACCTCCTACCTCTGCCCCCAAGCCCTTATCCTCGGAGACTAACCCAAGTCTCAAGAGCAATGGCCGCCTCCCTCATCAAGACCCTGGAATACCCCACGATTCTCAAATCGACCAACCCGCGCATCAACCGCGTCCCCCTCCTCCGCTGGATGTTCATCGAGGCCGGCATCGTCCTCATCACCGCCTCCGTTCCGTGTATCCGGCCCCTCGTCCTCCACTGGATACGGAAGTACATCCGGAAGAAACGGACGCAACATCACCAGATGGATGGGGGACCCGCTCCTAATCAATCCACTGAGAACTTTGCGGCGGACTGGAAGGCCCGGTGGATCATGCCGTACATGCGGCAGCAGGGGCAGGGGCAGGCGTCGTGCTCGTCGGAGGAGCACGAGCGGCAGATTCTGGCGAACATCACGACGCAGATCTTCGCGGGGGATCGCGAGTTTCTGGATCGGCATGTTGGGGGGATTGTGAGGAAGGTTGAGGTGATGGTGGTTGCGGATGAGATTCCGTTGACGACCACGAGAGATAGCGGAATATAATCATGGTCGTGTGTGTGCACGTTGTACAGGGGATAAATAGTTGCTCTCGCTATGCTACTGTAGATGTAGATATGCACGAGAATGATGGCCAACATGAGGCAATTGTTTATGCTAGCGAATGCGGACTAGTCTCGCTGCCTGACTGACACCACTTTGTTAAGGCCACAATAGCCACCCCAGTCGGGAACAACCGCCGACTCCGACACACAACACAACACAGCCATCATCAACCAACCAACACCACAACAACAACAACAACAACAACAACCTCATCAACTCAACCACCACCACCACCACCACCTACCAAGTAAAGCTCTCCTCGATATATTCCACCACCGTCCCTCTCTCCAGCACCGCCCGACACGCCCTCCGCACCTCATCGCTCAACCCCCCATTCCCACAACACATCACCCCCATCGCCCCGACCTGGCCCGCCGCCTCCATCCCCACCACCGTCTGCACGTCCGGCCGCCCAGCGAACATCTCCACCGTCGCGCTGGGGCTCTTGATCTCCCTGGGGCTCCGCGGCCGCGTCACGAACACCTTCACCCGCAGCACCGCCCTCCGGTCCTCCATCGCCAGCACCTCCGTCATCCACGGTCGGATCCACTCCAGGTGCTCGGGGGACTGCACCACCCACACAAGCGTGATCCGTCGGGCGGAGACAGTGCCGGATGTGTAGCCTTTCAGAAGGTGGGGGATGAAGGGGAGACAGTGGGTGATGCCTACTCCGCCGGCGATCAACAGGACGGTGCCGTAGGAGTCGAGCGTGTGCAGGTTGCCGTATGGACCTTCTGCCAGGGCGGATACTCGGAGGGGAGGGGTGGTCTGCGGCTCGAGGAAGGAGGAGCTTGTTGCCATGGGGTCGTCGCTGTAGGACAAGGTGCTGCGGTGGGAGTGTTGGTGGGTGAGGGCTGTCTTGAATAATTTGTCGGTGAAGCCCGTGCGGCGTCGGATCAGCAGGGAGATGCTTTGCGATGTTGTATCTTGGGAGAGGTGATCGCTCGAGGACTTCTCGGTGAGTGATCTTGCTGCTGCGCTTGGGTCTCCTGCCCAGGCTATGGAGAAAGGGTGCGAGGTCCAGCCTCCGACAGAAGGGACACAAAGGAAGAGATACTGGCCTGGCGAGAAACGCCACGGTCGCGCCACGTGCAAGGTGATCCGCATTGTGTCGCCGGGGAGAACCTCGACGTAGGCTGTGGTGCGAGTCCCACTGCGGAAGTTCCGGTGCAAAAGGATCAGGAAGCGGGCTAGACGCTGCATTACAGGGTCACAGGGTTAGCCTGGGGACATCGATCTGGCTGTGGGATCCCGACCTCGCATGCCCAGAAGGCGACCGCTGCGTAGAGGTAGAACTTGCACGAGTAGCGGTAGACGTGATGCCACACAAATCCCAGCGCGATGCAGGCCAGTGCAATGTGGAGGTGCAGGAAGGTCTCGTAGAAGGCGTGCCGGATCGGCGAGGGCGACTGGACGAGGATGATGAGGAGGGCCACCATGCACTGGAGGTGGAGGTCAATCCCAATCGTATTAAAGCGAGATGATTGGCATCCGTTGCACTCACCATCAACCCGTTGAACATGAAGGGCTTGCTAAGCGTTGCGAGCATCCCCTTCCATCCATCTGCTGTATATCAGACATCAATCCACCACACCGAAGAAGGGGCCATACAATCCTGCACCTTGGGCACCTCCCACGCCACCACATGCGCCAACGCCTCCAGCACGACAATTCGCCCCAGCCACCGATGCAGGAGGTTCCAGGTGTCGAACGAGACCCGCAGCAGCGCGATCAGCGGGTTGTTGCGCCCTGCCATGACAAACAGCGGAAACAAATTTGCCGTCGCCATATATCCGGTCCGATTGCGGATCTGCATTGCAACGGTAGACTCCTTCAAGCCAAAGGGGATGGTCATGGTGCAAAGAATCACGTTCAGGGCGACAACGAAGGTGAGCAGCAGGGCGTGGAACCGACTGGGTAGTGTGCCCATATTGACGGCACGAGAAAGCTGCATTTCTCGGTTGTGCCGATTGCGCCAGAGGGGGGCGTAGAGGACATGCCGCTTGAGCCATGAGAGTCGCGGGTCCGCGGCCCGATGGAACTTCTGGGATGGGTCGGTGAAAGTCGCCAGTCGCCGGAGATGGGCAGCGAGCTGCTGCGTGGTCTGCCAGATGAAGATGATTGCAATCAAGGATGCAAATGTCCACAGGGAGACGTAGCAGAGCTCGTCGTTGAGGAACGCATACCACATGCTGTCCGCCATGATGGCCGAACGTACAAAAGAAAGACAAGAGCCTGCTTGGGGCTGGCGGAGAAGAACGAGATCAGGGTTGCGGTCCAGCCACAGCCCTTGAGAAGCAAGAAAGGCTTCAAGAAAAGAACCGAAATGATGGAGAAACGATCAAAGGAGTGAATGAGAACGAAAGATGCTTGCCGCAGAGATAGGAGATCGGAGCTCAGGGCAGAGATAAAGGTGCGGTCGGGTTCGCTAATGTACATACGGCCTTTTCACTGTACATTCCCTCCGAATCATGCTGCCTGTCGCAAGCGCCCACTGGGAAGTTCATCACACTCTTCTCGAGTTCATAGTGGAGCTGTCATCTCTTGGAAACCGCCCTATCTCCAGCAATGGCTGCAAATGCCTCCGTTCCATTGGGCGTTAACCGCCCAGCAACGAGTGGGTCACCACCAAGCTTGTTTCAGGGATACGACAGCCCCATCAACCAGGACGTAGGGCTGAACGCCAGGCACAACTCGCAGGCTTGGAAAGGCTTGGTTGGCGGTGCAAGGATGAATCAGGACTGATGCAGTGGTCCAGCAATTAATCTATTCGCCCCTGGAGAGCATATTGTTGTCTCATATCATACAGAACAGAACACCACAGCACAGCACCTCAACCGAAGCAATACCCCAGTCCATCGAGCAGATCCCTCGCAACCACATCTATGCCTCCCGAATGGGAATCCTCCCGCCCAAAACCCAAGAACACCGCATCGTCGATGTATCCATGGTAGCGCTGGCCCGCCTGTTTCCAGCTGATGGAGGTCACATACAACATCTCCGACTGCTGTTGGTCCTCCTCGACCCCCACACTCGCGGACCCCCTCCCGTGGATCCAGAGTGGCTTGGTGGAAACCCCAAACATCTCGAACGGCGCACGCTGGCGGAACAACATGACGTAGGGCTCATACACACTGTGGAAGGCCACGTACTCCTTGTGCTGGAAGATCATGAAAACAAAGGTGTTATCCTCGCTAGGCTGGCAGCTGGGATCTGCGCGTTCGCACAGCGTGATCGCCAGGGAGTTCGTCGCCTGGTGGATGGACTCGTGGTCCGGGTCTGTGAGGAGGGGCAAGTGCCTCTGCAGGCAGGGCTCATCGATGGGGGCGGCATTGGCCGCCAAATCGGGTCCGACGGAGCCATCGGCGATACTGAGTAGCTGCGAGAAGGCCCGCGTGGGCGCCACGTCGTAATGCACGTATGCCGTCCCGTGCATGTCCCAGAACAGGAACCAATTCTTCTCGATCGCAGAGTACCCCGGCAGTAGGGGTCGCTGGAGCTCGACCGGGTGTCGATACGTTGGGGTCTGAATCAGCTCCTCGCCTGGCCAGTCCACCAGCACGCGGAAGTCCAACGCCCACTGTCCAAAACACGTATGCTGCGAGTTCGACCCATACACCGCATACGGTCGGTCGGGCCCGTAGAAGATCCGCGCATCGTGCGGTCCCAGGCTCACCGAGAGAAATTCCAGCTCGCCATTGCAGCGCGTCTCGTCAGCGGCGGTCGCAGCGATGGGGAGGATGAGAGGCTGGTCAACACAGCGTAGCGTGCGACCTTGGTCCTGGAAGGCGGCGGTACAGACCAGCTCGGCACTCCAGACGGAGAGGGGCTCGGTCTGCGAGCGATTGCGCGCGAGTTGCGCGGTGATGATCCATTTGTCTTGCAGTACGGGATGGGGGATGATGCTGGGGTTGAAGCCATCTCGTTCACCAAAGTCAACGTGGAAATATTTCTGGTTGGGGGTCGATGCGGAAAAGACTTGGTGATGGGTGTCTGAAAGATGCGAAAGGTCGATATTATTGTGCTGAGTGGTTTCCTCCAGGCCAGTGGCTGACGGGGTTGCGACCCCCCTGTACAGGTAGTAGAAGGTGAGGAGCAGTCCCATTAGGAGCCCGGCAAGGGGCACCAGGCGCATTAGCCGGGCAGCAGACATTGCTTGCTGAGCTTGGGCTGGACTTGTCCGACCTGAGCAAGGAAAAATGGGAAGAATAGGAGGGAAAACCGGACAGCCCAGACTGAGCGAGGGAGGGGGGGAGTGGTCTGGCTCGTGTGGGAGTGAGATAAATTAGGGTTGCAGCCAGAAGGAATGAAGGCAGAGGGGCATTCAACAAGTAGTGGGAGGCCTGAGCTGCAACTTTTCCCCCTTTAGGCTTGGGCGGCCCGGCCCTGAATGGGATTCAATCAATCACTCACTCAGTTCATCAAATCATTGCATAAATTAATCTGACGGCGGAGCTCTTCCCCGCTTTTCAACTCGGGCTTCATGCGAAGTGATCAGCACGCCGTCTACGCCGTCTACGCCGTCGATAGTCGAGCATGTGAAATTACCTACTCCGTAGGTGATTGCCAGGGTCCGGGGAAAGAAGAAGTAAGACCGAGAGGATTCCCCCCCCTCTTCACTACGCATCAGTCTTCTCTCCTCCTGTCATTCTCTTCCCCTCTCCGGTTGCTTGCTGGACTATCGATGATAGCGCCATTCCTGGCCCGCGGTTGGTCTCCGATTCCGGAAATGAGCCTACAAACTAGCACGCAACCCAAGAAGCAAAACCACGCACTTACATTCCTGTCTGGCTATCGATCGCTGCTTGCTACTCTAGACTAAGACTAGTTAAGCGTCATTTCCCAGTGTTCGTCGGTACAGCCACTGCGCTACTCGCACGCTCGGCTCGTCAATCCAGCGGGTGACTATCTCTGCCAACCACAGCGTCACCGGCAGCAGGATCAGCTGCGGTGCAAGGAAGCTCACCTCCAGCCCCAGGGGCCCGACGCGCGGCAACGGCAGTCGGTTAATCCAGCCAGGGCAGTTCGACGCATGTGAATCGCGCGCCCATCCGACCGCGGCGTACAGCCGATCGCCCAGCACCCACAGCACGGGGCCATGGACGAGATAGAAGGCAAACGAGACCCGTCCGAGGTACTGATTGAAGGGGGTCTCGAAGAATCGCTTCAACCACGGCATGCGTGGCAGCGAGGCAACCAGAAAGGTCGCTGCCCAGAAGAGGTAGAACCACTTGTAGTCGAAGACCGCCTGAGGCTTCAACAGAGACAGGTAGTACCACCCGGGGGACTCGCGGAGGATCTGCACCTCGAAGCTCCGCGAAGGGACTCCCCCAAGATACATGCTGATCGCGAGCAGAACAGGAAAGATCCCCTCGCGGTACGGCTCCAGCATGACGAAGCAGTCGGGCAGCTGGTCCCGCGCCGCGAGCTGATCCAGATCGCACAGGAGCATGCCCGACATGAACAATGCTCCGAACCAGCCATCTGCAATGTAAAGAAAATAGAAGACCAGGCCGGCCTCGCAGGCTAACCGCATGGATCGGCGACAGCGGGAGAAGGCCAACAGCGCCGTGTAGACGATGATCGATCCGCGGAATTCCACCGGGATGGACCACGAGTGGAAATTGTAGGTGAACCACGGCTCACCTCCGCCCCGGAAAATGAAGCTGAAGTTCTTGAACTCGGCGTACCAGTTCCAGAGCTCAGCGCCATAGCTGCCTTGCAGTTCGGGCACCGTCTTCACGCGGAAGACGTGCAGGAAAGTCATGTAAATGAAGGTCGTGGCAATAACGGGCAGGAAGAGGCGGAACCAGCGACGGAACAAAGCTGACGCGAGATTGTCGCTCAGCGCCACACGCTCCCCTGCGTTGATCAACGCCAGCGGTTTCGCCGACAGAACATATCCAGAGAGCACGAAGAAGACGCTGACTGCGAAATGTCCGCCCGAGAAAAAGTTGCGAATCCCCGGGAAGGCGACCAGGTAGCGCTGGTTCTCATATCCGTACGCGTTCTCGAAGATGCGCTCCGCTCCAATCCCGTCGTGGGCCCAAAGTTCATGATGGCCCCAGTACACCAGCAAAGCGGCAAATCCGCGCAGACCGTCTAGATAGGCTGTTCGTCGAGTTCGAGGAGCAGAGGTCGGCAATTTCTCATGATCCGGGCCATGGTCTGATCGGGATAGGAATTCTGGGCACAGCCTCTCCATCCAGCGAGACTTAGGGATGGGCGGCGGTTCCAGCAGGGAAGACTTCCACTCGCCGTCTTCCAAGGACTTTTCGTGCATTGGAGAAAGTAAGAGAGCTGGCATGATGGCCAGAATAGCTTGTGAGGTTGTCGAGCTGGCGGCGATGCAGTGGTCTGGTGGTGCGGAGCGATATATGAGGGCTTCCCGTCGCCCCCGCCGCAAAAACAACCGAACTCCGACTAAGCGGAGCGATCGACCGGGGGGGAGGGGGGGGGGGGGGGGTTGGACAAGTTGAGGGTCTTCCAAGATTAGTCTCCTCGCTGACAATCTGCCCTGATCGTGTGGAAAACACATGTCTCGGAGCCATTTCCCCTTCCAGGCCGCCGTCAGTGCGCCACCCGAGGCTTTTCCCCCCAGGAACCTCCGAATGGTTTGAATACGATCATCCTGGGCCCATCAGTGCTACGCCAATCGATTAGCTCCATGGCCGGCTCAGTTGGGTCCCATTGAGGACCCTAGCGCAGCTAAGAGAGCTTAGCGACTGCAATTGACGCATATGAAGCATTCTCGTCACCGTGCGGTTTCCCCTCATAAACGTCCAGACCATCAGCCCTCGCCCTTTCTGCCCCCTGAGCACCACCACTTTCCACTCACTCACTTCTCTTCGTTGCCTGTGTCTCTGCTCGTCTCGCTCGACAGAATGCAGGCAAACACCCCTCTGTCTGGGGTCTTCCTGCCACGCCACCTCCGTCGAGTAGCCCCTGTATTCTTCTCTGCCTTCGTGCTGGTCTTCTACCTCTCCCTCACCGGGACCTTTGGCGAGGTCAATGGCAGCCTCTCCGGGCCCACCGCGCGCTATAAGCAGTTTCCCCGGAAGATCTGGCAATCGTGGAAAGTCAACCCTCTGGCTTTCGAGCCGCGAGATCTCCTGGTTGCTCGAAGCTGGCCGGAGAAGAATCCCCGCCATCGGTACGAGGTGCTGACCGATGAGAATGACCTCTACTATGTCGAGACCCATTATGGGCCGGACGGGTTGAACCGACCGGACATTGTTGAAGTCTACCGGTCGCTGAACGCGCGCATTATCAAGGCCGATCTTCTGCGGTACTTGATTATGTATGTTGATGGGGGAATCTGGGCGGACATCGACGTGGAAGCCCTCCGCCCGGTGGACCGATTCATCCCCGAGCGATTTACTGAGGACGAGATGGATCTGGTCATCGGGGTGGAGATCGACGAGCCCGAGTTCAACGACCATGCAATCTTGGGCCAGAAATCGCAGTCCTTCTGCCAATGGACTTTCATGAGCAAGCCCCGCCACCCGGTGATGATGCGGCTGGTGGACAACATTCTGGCTTGGTTACATGAGCTGTCGGTTCAGCAAGGCAAGCCCATCGGCGAGCTGGAGCTGGACTTTGACGACGTGATCAGCGGCACGGGACCCTCGGCATTCACCTCGGCCGTGCTGGCAGAGATGAGCATCCGACTAGGCCACGAAGTGAGCTGGAAGACTTTCCACAATATCCCCGAATCCAAGCTCGTGGGGGGGATCCTGGTCCTGACCGTCGAGGCCTTCGCCGCCGGCCAGGGCCATTCCGACTCGGGCAACCACAACGCCCGAACGGCCCTCGTCAAACATCATTATCATGCCTCCAACTGGCCCTCGAACCACCCTCGCTTCAGCCATCCAGTGTACGGAGAGGTGGAGAAGTGCAATTGGAACAAGGAGTGTGTGCGCGCGTGGGACGAGAACACCGCCGCCTTTGCCGCACTTCCGCCCGATGAGCAGGAACGCCAGATTGCCCTCAAGCAGGCCAACGATGCGGCGGAGGCAGAATTACAACTGAACCTCGGCATGGACCTGGGGCTGGATCTGGGATTGAATCTCGGTCAATAACATCATGCGAAAAGGGCTTGAAATGGATTGCGGTGGCGTCTGGGCATGTTGGCGTTTGTTTGTAATGGCTTGCTACAGAGTAGCTAATGTAGCTTCATGAAATCACCTTCTTGGTTCACTATAGCACGAAGTTCATGAACCTGTCTCGGGAGTAACGATGAACGATAGTTGTGGGTGAGTTTTGCGGCACACTGGGAATGTGGCCCGGATGCGTGGAGATATATAGTTGTTGGCCGATCGATAAGCTAGCAGAGCATGGATGTCCGGAGGAGAAAGACATTGAGAACAGAAACACACGAAGAGTGCAAGTACATAGTACAGACCCTCCTGCGATGTAGATGAGTGATTATCATGAACGTCATAGGTCTGCAGACACGGTACAAGGAATTGAAAAGATGAGGCTAGGTTATCTCCTACTCCGGTGAGGGCATCGAGACCACGACGCGAACAGTATGACACGTGATCAAACGTGATCAAGGCGCACAGTTACTTGCTGCGAGCCAAGGGCCAGAAAACACGGCAAATAAAAAGTGGATATGATGACTCTATAATCCTGGGTATATAAAAGATTCAGAAAAGAATGCTCGTGGGAACGCTCCACTAAGCCGCAAAAATCATCAAGCCAGTCCCCAATAGCATCAGTCCATCTTCTGTCCGACGAGTTTCCTCAGCACCATGACTTCCGCCTCCCATTTGGCGAGCTGTAACCGCAGATCGTCACGCTCGCGAGTCACTCGACCCAGCCGGGACTCCAGGTCGGAGACATGCTCGACTTGTCGCTGGCGTAACCTCCGCGAAGCCATCTTGTTGCGCCGCCGTTTCTCCTGGATGCGCTCCTCCTCTGAGTCTTGGGACGAGAGATTGTCGCTCCCCGTGGAGTCTTCTGTGGATGAATGCGACCGTGCTCTCTTGGTCCCTCGTCGAGGGGGTGTGGTGGTCGTCGATTGGGAGGGTGGCGCTGTGGCTGCCGGAACGGAGGTCTGAGGCAGGGGCGAGCAATGGCCAAGGTCGTGGATGGGATAGGATTCAGGCGATAAGAAGGAGTTGTGGCTGCTCATCGGGGAGGCCGATCGACTCAGCGTGGCGTCGATCGTTCTGGTGTTCGAGATTTGTCCTTCAAAAGGGGGATGTGGCATGAGGGAGACAGTAGGGATTGAGTCGAGATCCGCATAACACGAGGGTGGAAATAACATGGGATCAATGTCCAAGAGATGGACCATCTCTGAATCCCACGACAAAAACTCCGAGTATGAGGTCATGGGGCTGTACGGGAGCGATCGAGAGATAGAGGATGCGAGCAGGGTCATGTCTCAACCGATGGGTGCAAGATGTGCAAGATGTGCAAGATGTGCAAGGTGTGCGAGGTAGAAGAGATTCGAAGATTCGGGTTTCTTGAGAGTCATTATGAGCAACGATCCGGATGGAATAGTTATAGATAAGGATAAGTAAGGTATGAGAGGGAGGGGAGGGACTGTCTGTCTGGAGGGCATTCAATGGAATGACGATGATGATGGAGGTGGAGGACAAAGTGGACAAAGTGGACAAACGGGACAAACTGAGGTAAATCCGGCACTAGACGCCAAAATGTCCGGAGCTAGACGGAAAGGAGTTAGGTTCCGCGGATGGGGCGGTGGATAAGTGGCTGAGTCAGCCGCTGTCCGCCAAAATATCCCCGCGTCTTAGCGCGTCTTACACCGGACTTATTCCTGGAGGTATTCATTCATTCCCCTCATTGCCTTCCAAGGTGGCTACGTACACTAACTTACACTACACTACACTGTAGATACACCATGGACGCTATACTTGGCAGTGGAGATAATTCTCCCCTCAACCCCCCGTCGGCGAAAAAAAGAAAGCCGAGACCAAAACTCTCCTGTGTTCCTTGCCGTCGGAAAAAGTGTGCTAGTCCCAGCTCCAGCCCCTGCTGCCCCATCGGCTTCCCCACTGGACCCTCTTCCCTCCCTCTCTGACTCTCTGACTCTCCCGATCCCAGGTTGAAATGTAATCGCATCCACCCGTGTGACAACTGCATCAAACATCGCCGGGCTGAGATGTGCCACTTTGTGGGTCCCCAGGGGGTCTCGCCCGGGGATTCTCATGACATCCAGTACTATATTCACAAACTTGAGGCCCGTGTGCAGCAGTTGTCGAATGGGAACCCCTTGCCTCAGGCACAGCAACCACCACAACCACCACAACCACCACAACAGCTCCCTGCAGACATTGCTTGGACCTCAGGCCTGCTGCCAGTAGAACCTCAGTCCCTGACTCATACGGCGGAACCTATTTCCGAACTGCAGGCGGAGTTCCCAGGCACTATCTTTATTGAACAAGATGGTACAAGCTACCATAATCCAACACATTGGCAAGCTGTGCTGGACGAGGTAAGCAGGGACTCACTGACCATTGTACGAATCTCCTCAATTGACTGATCCCCTGGCCAGATCGCCGAGGTCAAGGAGTTCCTTCAGATGCACGAGAATACTTCTCCCGAGGAGGTGGAAGAGGAGGATGTAGTCCTGGCTGTTTCGGGCCCTGTATTGCTATTCGGAAACTCCATTTCTTCAACTATCGCGGAGCTCCTTGCCGCTTTGCCTGTCCGATCCATGGCAGATAGGTTGATATCGGCCTATTTGAATTCGAAGGAGTCCCCTCTGGGTGAGTGTCTTTTCGAAACGTATTGTCGGATATATCCTAACGCGTCCAAGTGCTTATACATACTCCAACATTCACCCGAGAGGTAAGCCACTGGAGACTGTCCCCCATTCCGACTCACGCATCCTAATCCGCGGCAAAGTATACTGCTTTCTGGAAGAACCCTCAGAGCGCATCCATTAGTTGGCTAGCCTATCTCTACACCATCCTCAGTGCGGCCGCTGGACTGCATCTGTTCACCACGGCTGGCAGGGCGGAGGGTCATTTTGCAGAAGCATTCGACGAGTATCTCCGCTTGGCGTCGCAATGTCTCACCATGGCGGAATATACCAGACCGGGACGATACAAATTGGAGACTCTCATATTGAGTATATGTTGTGAGATTCTCAGAAGCACCGACACCCACGCCGGGCCATCTATCCTGCTGGGATTAGCCACTCGCTTGGCTATTCATAGCGGCTACCATCGCGATCCTAAACATTATCGCGAGATCTCGGTGTTTGACGGCGAAATGCGACGTCGGGTTTGGATGTATCTCTGTCTCCTAGACCACTACATCTCGTGTCAGGCTGGCCTTCCCCCCACCACCGCGCAGGCGCAATCCGATACCTTGGAGCCGAGAAATCTAACAGATGACGATCTGGATCCTGCGGCCACGAGCTTACCTGCTTCCAGGCCTTCGACCGAGAAAACTCTGATTCTTTTCCCGGTCGCTCTCAATCGGGTGATGTTTGCGGGAGCCGACATTGCCCGCAAAGTTTGCTCAGTCAAAGGAGTTCCCTACCAGGAGGTGCTTGAGCTGGATGCAAAGCTGCGAGGTCTACACGCCAACATCCCACCACCTTTGCGGTTTCGCTCGCCGAGCGAGTCTATCGCAGACCCCCCCACTACGATTATGGACCGATATAATATTGATCTCATGTATCAGAAGGCTCGCTCAGACCTTCATCGGCGATATCTTACCCAGCATCGCCTAAATCCCAAGTACGCATATTCGCGCCGGGAGTGCTTGGATGCGGCCAGAAGGGTCCTGCAACATCAGTCCGATATTTTCAACGAGAGTTCACCGGGTGGGCAATTGAACTACGCCTCCTTCTTCTTCTCGTCATGTGTGATTATGCATTTCCGCACAGCGGCAATGATTGTCTCACTAGAGATCTCCTGTCAATCGAGACATGACCTCCAGCAGAGTCTGTCACCCAATGCAAGGCAGGCCATATTGGTAGAACGACAGGCACTTTCCCATGAGCTCGAGCGATCCTACAACATTTGGAACTGCCTTCGCCATCAATCCAAGGAGGCATTAAAAACTGCAGAAGCCTTGCGGATCATGCTGAATGTGGCCAACACCCACCTACAACACGGCGCAACACCTGACACGGATGCACCTTCATTGGCCCCCGCGGATTATGGAGTGACCAACGCCTTTGCTGAACTCGACCTCATGCCTCCTCACTTCTCTTCGCCAGCGAGCCAGAGTCAGAGTCCAAAGGGTACCCCATTCGATGTCGACCTAATGGATGCCACGTTCTATCTGGGACAGAACGTCGGGGCTCAACATGCTCAATTCAATGCTCCTACCAATGCTGCGGATTTCTTCGACCGCTACTGGGACAATTTGATGCTTCTAGGTGATGGCCAATCTTTTGGGGAGATACCGACCGATCCGAACACTGGTCATGGGTCGAGTCAATTCTAATCGCTGGTGATGGCCTTTGGCCCTTCATGAGTCTAATTCTTGCCGGACGTTGGGCTTATCTGACGGTAGGATTAGCGTGACGTTCTGTTATGCCATCTTCTGAGGTCGTCACACAATATCGGCCATGAATTTATGCGACAAAATCATCCGAGGATTCAGCTACCCTCGGCTCCTACGCAGTGTGAGCCAATACAATCACACTCATACACCAAGGCAGTACCATACGATGGTTAGTTTTATTAGCTATGATGATAGCTGTTCATTACAAAACATTAACTGCTTTCTACGTAGAGCGACACAATCATCAACTCTGCTGGGTTTTTAATTCTCACTGCGCCGGCAATTATCCTGCGCGTTCTCGTGTCATTCGGTATACTCATATCTAATAGTAATCTGGAGAATAAGACTTCGCGCGAAGTCGCGAGGTGTCGAATCCGTTTCTCCCTTTAGGGATGGTCTCGGGCCTCCATTTCTTCTTCAGCCGGTGGAACCAACTGTCAATGGTTGCGGCTTCGTACTTCACATCCAGAATCTCCTGGCCGTGGGCCGTGCAGCGAGCGTACTTGTGCTTCTCCGGCTTATACCGGAGAAGAGTGATAGCGTTATGCCAAACCACCCCACAGGCGAAGGGACTGCCGTAGGGAAGTGTGGCGAGCATGTGGTCGGAGTGGTAATTGATCCGATCGTCCAGCACCGTATTGTCGTGGTCCATATGGTCGGCGTCCCAGCCACACTCCCCCAGCACGAGGGCCAGGAACTTGTGGTCGATGTCCTTCTCGGGGATCTGCAGGTGGACCGTGATCGAGTGGAAGGCTACGCCGAGTCCGTCGCTGCTCAAGACGCCGCTAACCTCGTACCCTTCTTCTCTCGGGAACCAATGCAGCAGCCGCATGTGCCAGGCTAGCATTTCATCAGGCATGGATAGGACGTTGGACGCCATTGTGATGTAAGTGATTAATGGTTTTTCGGGGTAGCGTATTCGTGTCAACGCGAGAAAGCCGGACGAATCGAGTCGGTCGAAGCCGATGATGCTGGAACAAAAGTGAGATGACATACGTGGCTGGGGCTTAGGGGGACTTTATATAGTCTGTTTGTACCTGGCTAGGGGAGACTTTTGATGATTGCTGGAAACCTACGCTGATGGGCCCCTTGTTCCTCTTCTTATCTCAGACAGCAGCTTGTGATCGTGTGTTGCTTTATCCTTGCATCGAGAGGAGTCAGATGCTGTGGATCTCCTCATCCGTCTTTGTAAAGTTTATCCGTGCTCCATCCATTGAGATGTGATCAGAGTAGAGGCCCTTAGCTCGGAGCATCGGCACATGATTAAGGCATACAAAGAATCGTGGGAACATCACTCCATCCAACACCACGACACACAAAGAAACGACAATGCCATTGTTACTCCCGACGTCAGCTCCAGCGGCAACTTCGAACTGATCGCTCATCCACGGTATCGACTTAGACCACATATACAACGCAAGACTGACTGGACAGCGCGAGGTGATCGATTATACCTCCTCTATCCCCAGAGGATATTCAACCTGGACCATTTGCTCGTCCGCACAGGCTCATCCTCTACATCATCTCGCACTTCCTGGAGCGCTTGTTGAAGGGGGATCTCTTGTACGGGGATCAGTCTCGTCTTCTTCCAAAACTTGTATCCAAGGTAGAATGCCAGCACAAGAGGGATATCCCTGCTACTGTTAGCTCCGATAGGCATACTCGCTCAAGCAAGACACTCACAAATAAGAAGACACGAACGATGCGGGATCCCAATTCCCCTTGGTGAAAACGGTAAAGCCACCGGTGAAGAGAATGATGATGCACGACACGAGGGCAAACCACGAGCTATAGTCTGTCATGATTCAGAGCACGTCAGCTACCACCACAATCATACTCATCATTGAACGCGTCACTTACACGACCACCAGTTATGCCACGGTAGCGCCTCGGTCGCAATCCCCTGCGCTCGACATCCCTGGATCAAACGGATGTGGTTCAACGCGATGGTGATCCACGAGACCAGTACTCCCGCCGACGTGAGGTCCAACAACCAGTTGAAGACCGTATATGCGCCGTTGGAGCAGCTCAAGTACGCCAGACACGAGACGGCGATCTGCAGCGCGGCGCACATGTATGGT